ATTGGTTCAAGACGATTCTAATTGTTGTCAACATTGAGATTGATGTTAATCTGTTTAATGATTGCCGGTTTTATGGGCTACAATCCAAATGACAATTGAGACTGTTTTAGCTGCTTAAACCTCTGTTTAGTGAAAACTAAAATTAACAGAAATTGCGACTGAATTGAAGGAAACTTTCTTCGGACGGTGATTATGATGATGAGCATGATTGTCTTGTTGTTTCTTAATCATTATGATGATTAGTGTGATTAAGATTGTGTGCTAAGAATAGGAAGCAAATTACAGTAAATGATTCAGCTGATTGTCAGTGATAAACAGAGACTCAGAGAATCAACAGTTTTTTTCTTGCTTCAAATGTTCAGTTATTTATTATAAAAGTAAAAGCACAATTATAATCTTTATAATGATAATAATTTTGAATGAATGATAAAATGAATGATCTGAAATAGCCTACATAAATAACACCTACGGTTAAACCAGTTCTTAATCAACCTACGATTAATTGTTGTTGGACTGTTTGTTAATTATCATTGGATAAGTGAAAGTGATTGAATGGAAACAAACAAATAACTGCAATTTTGACTGTAAATTACAATTTAAATCAATGGGAAATTAGCAGCTTATTGTAGGTTAAATTGGGTTCAATATGATAAATTATCGCCAGATTTAACCATTTGATTAAACTGGATAAATTGAACTTTGAAATAAGATCAATTCAAAGGTCTAATTAAGTATCAAATCAAGAATATAATTTGTATTGTTAACAAAGAAAATTGTTGGTAAGAATAATCATGAAAATTGAATTGATTTTAAAAATTCATCCTTCAATCAGTTTACAGATTTGATAATGTTATTCAATTTTGATTCAATTTTATCGATTTTCTAATAAAATTAAGCTGCAATCATTTTATATGGAAATGAAATATCTGTCCATAAATCAGGCGATAAGTTGATATTAAGGTAGTTATTAATTTCACCTGTAAATATCAATGCAGGATTAACACATTTCAGGTTGACACTTGAATTAACAAGAGAGCAAACACTTGAACTGAATTAACTGCTCTGTAATTGTATCGTTACAATTGATTCTGCTGGTTGTTCAAGTTAATCATTAAATGGTGAACAGTTAACAAGTGTATTATCAAATTGTGGGATGATAATAAGGAAGATGAAAGGTGATGGTTTAGATTGAGTTATTTCTGGGGAAAAAATAATGAATAACAATGCAAGATTTGAAAGATTTAATTACAACTAAAAAGTCGACTCGGCGGTTTTAATCAACAGCCATTGAACATTTCAAGAGATAACTGAATCTTGGAAATTTTAATCAATAATCAAAATAGCAAGTCAACAGAGTGCACAATTAAAGCTGTTTGATAAACTAAACTTTCATCTTCACTGACCTGTAAACTAGTTTTCAAGTTACCTTTAGTAACTGATTGGATGATGATATTGTTGATCATCAGAAACAAGAAATTGATTGCTTGATGACCTTAGCTTTTAAAGGTTGTAACCAAATCTGTACAATTGAAGGTTAATCAAGGGTTAAAGGGTAACATTTGGTGACAATTGAATCAACCCAAAAGATGAATTAGTGGACAATAAATCCATCTGAGTTGATTGCAAGTTTGTCAAACAATTGGTTAACTCGTTTAATTAAAGATGAATTAACAGATTGTTAACATTAACGTTAACATATGGCTACAGGTCGACTCACAACAACCTTACAAGGTGAACAAGTAAACCTTATTATAACGCCCAAAGTAATCATCTTCATCTACCTGTTGATCCTCCTTGCCTTTCAACTCTCCCTGCCTTGCAAAGCAAGTTAATTGTCTCAATGAGTGTTACAATTAAAGGGAAATTGGTAAACCATTTTTTTCCTATGAAATCAATATGTAATCAAATTTTGTATTTCAATTGATTTGTTGCTCATAATGATAATCATCAGGAAACTGAGGATGACTACTTTTTTTTCCTCAATCAATCGCATTTGTTCATAAAATAATTTTGTAATATTGTTTTAAGGTATTCAGGTAAATACCGTGGGAATGAATAGTTTCAATTTCAATGTCAGAATTGGTAGGAAGTAGGAAATGAAAGTCTATCACTTTTTCAATCTTTTTCAGGCTAAGAAATTAAATTGATTGATGGATCACAAAATCAAGTGTGTAAACATAAATGTGCTATTATTATAAAACACTGATTCAGTGATAAATGAGTTAACATGTAATTTTCATGTTAAATTTCACATTAACATGACCGTTGATATGCTAATGATGAGTGTAAATATTAAGACAAAGAGTAAAAGTGTGTTTGTTGAGCCAATGGGTCACAAAAGGCTGAGTAACAAACAAAGGTTACAATTAACCAGAAAGGTTTAGTGTTGAAATTGAATGGCTTAACGGGTTTAATTGATTAACAGAGTCAACATTGAAAATCAATTGTTGATGGAACCAGAATTGGGTCAAATTTTGGCAAATCTCAAGTTAAGATGTTTACAGATTGAAAGTAACAATATGTAAATAAGGTGTTGTAAGTTACACTTAATAATGTATTATCTTGAAACTGTTTTCATGAGATTTTAAATTTTCTGAATCAATCTGTTAATTGTTCAATTAGATGTTAAGATTTGTCCTTAAAAATTGTAGATTAACTGTTGGTTAACCAGAAAACCAGAATTTTCACCCCTCTGTAAATGAATACATTTTCATGGCCATAGAGATACTGGAATTTATGTTTCATGAGATGATAATAATGAGATTATCAGGAAATCCTATTAATGAGTTAAAATGAATTAAATTGATTAAAAAAAGCAAGTCAACTCTAATCTTTCAGAATCAATTATGAACATTTTCAGTAAAAAAGTAACAATCATTTGTTTTTAGCAATGATAATGTCAACTGCACTGGTTAATGGCTCATTATTTTGATAATTGTAATAAACATTCAACTTTTGAATAAGAATTAACTATTCAAAGAATGGGAAGAGTTAATTGTTGAAAGGATTAATCAATTGAATAAAAGGTTGCTACATTAATCCAGTGAATTGATCAATCAAATTTTGTGGAAACACTTTTCTGAGAAAGTGAAAGTAATGAATGAAATCTTAGGTAGCCTACATGATAAATAACACCCACGATTGCATGTAATTTCCGATTCGCAGTTGTCTTAACGTAACTTAACAACCTACGATAATGTTGACCGTTTTTTTTTGCTACGTTTTGTTTTGCTTTTTGGTTGAGTAAAATGTAAAGTTGAGTTTTCATGAATGAAAATGTAGGTAAAAAGGTGAAAGTGAGAGTAAATAAGATTCAGCCCTTAATTTATTAATATTTACAGTAATAATAATAATGGTGATGATGATGATAGGAATTCAAGTTATAATGTTCAACGTATTATTATAATTGTCAAGATTGTTAAGTTAAATATTAACTTGTTTCTGGTTGTTATTCAAGTTAGCTTTGATCTGAATGAGCAAAAATAATGGAGACGCAAACAACATGGTAACTAAATAACGTTTGTTTCGGTGAAACAATTAACATTGACTATTGTGTTTTATATCATTGTAATTGTTTCATTGTAAACTATCACTTTATTAAGCCTAAAATTGTCCTAATCAACCGATTAATCAATTAATTGTTGAAGTTAACCTCGAATGGTCAAGACTAATAATCTTTTAGCACAAAAAGATATGAGACTTGAACAAGTTAGTCAAGGTTTGGAGCTTTTCCTTGCAGTTGGTTTTATTTCAAGTCAATATTAATTGTTTACAATTAACTTTTTTTTGATTGGAAATTGATTATTGATAGATTAATTTAACTTGAGAAATCATTTATTGCAATTTTTGTCATCTGTCTTTGAATTTAAAGCTCAATTAACGGTTTTTTTGGTGAATAATGTTAAGTTTTAATTTGAAGGAAATTGTTTATGATTGCATTGATTAACAATTCAATTAAATTATGAAGTTTAATATATTAGGTGAAAGACAAAAATAAAAGATGCTTGACTTATCAAAATAAAAGATGATGATCTCAACAATAACGGATTTTAGGTTTTAAGCGATGATTTGGTGATTGTTTGGTTAGTTGATGAATGTTGACCAATTTTTTTGGGTTAAAATGATTAGCATCTTCTTTATGGTTAGGCCACTTGGGTTTAGTTAAGTTTTGTTGGAGACGAGATTAGTTAAGGGTCAGGATTGAAGATAAATTAACCGCCACAATCATTACATTATATTGTATCAGTTGAAACACTTGGCAGTGATTTAATTTGAAAAGGTTAACTCTTTGCTGTGTGTGTGTTTGTAATTTGGACCCAAAAATTGACTGTTTAGTCAAAATTGTAAGGTGTTGAGATTAGACATGAAATGGTATTTTCAGTTTTTCCGAATTTTCACATCATATTTCAAGTCTATTCTATGGACTAGTAAAATAGTTCTGGATGGGTGAAAAGAGAATTTTGTCTCCTTTGAATTCCTTTCCAGTTCAAGATAAGTCTTTATATGTTTGTTATTTTTAGAAGATATTTTAGTTTTCAAAACCAACGGAAGACTTCCAAATGAAGAAAAGAAAGAGAAAAGAAGAAAGGGACAGAGAGAGGAGAAGAGAGAAAGAAGAGAAAGTAAGTAGGGAAAGTATGTTATTAATAGTTATAAGTTTGTTATCAGGCTTGTTAACCAATTTTATGGGTTGAAAAATGTATTATTTAAATACATAACGTGAAATACTCACTGAGAACAGTTTGATAAAAACATGATGCATAGTTGTTATCAAAATTGTAAATGCTGTGATTGAGAGAATTGAAATAACTGTTTTCACTGTAACTATCATTATGTCCAACATTTCCTTAGAATTATATTCTCAAACTGTTCTCGTGAGATTTCTGTGGGCAAGTGAGGATTAGGGGTTAGGATTTAAGGTTAAGAGATTTTGAGTTGTTTAAATTGTTTGAACAATTAAACAATTGACGAGCTTTTTAAAGATATGGCTTGAGACTCACCTTTTCAGACGAATCATCGTTGACAGAATAGCTTAATTCTGTTTCTTCGTAACCAGTTGATGACATTCTAGGATCATAACCATTGGCTTGTGGTTCAGGTGTGAATAGACAAGTTTTAATCAACGATTTACCAGTATCACTTGTTATCATTGGTTTTAATTTTTTGGTGGCAAAAGTATAAACATGACCAGTTTCACTTGCTACCAACAGCATGACTTGAGTTCCAGTTAAAGTGGATAGTTCAAAGGCCTGTGGAAATTAAGGGGTAAACGAAAAAAAGAGACAAAACAAGAAAAATGCATTAGATAATTTACATGGGAAAACATTTAATTTACCTTTTTCATGATTCCTGATTTTCTTTTGCTGAATGTTGTGTAACGTTTCAATTTGTTGGCAATAAATTCCATTTTAATCTTAACTCGACCTTTCGTTTTTTTACCATTTTGTATCTTTTTGGACACAGTTAAATTATCACTACTATGCACAGGTTCACTGTTACTATGTTCATGGTGAGAGTTGTGATGATGTTGTGGTTGTTGTGGTTGTGGTTGTGGTTGTTGCTGTTGTTGATGTTGATGTTGATGTTGCTGTTGTTGTTGAGGTTGGGGTTCAGGTTGTGGTTCAGGTTGTGGTTCAGGTTGGTACAGAAAATAGCAATCATAGGAATCAACAGACATTTCTGCTAGCTTTATAGTAGCAAAATAAATACTATTTTGAAAAACGAAATAACATCAAATTTCAAAATTAACAAAAATGACGTTCCACGCAACTGCGAAAACAGGTATAGTTGAGAGCTTAGCATGCTTCATGAACTCCATCTATTGATGGAGTTTGAATAGATTTCAAATCTTTCTATCCATCGCTATCTTCTGTCTTTGGTTGTTGTTGGTGCTTTTCATTTCCCTGTCTCTTGTTTTCAAAGTTCAATGATCATCACAAGGTTTACCATCATCATCAACATTTACTGACCAGGTTCCTTTTTTTGTTAAATTGTGTTTAGTTAAAAATGCCATTGAATCTGGACAAAAATAAACGAGACCTACTCTCTTCATGTAAGGAGGTTCTCGATGAGAAAAGCGGTACTACATGGTAAGAAAATTGTTTTTCATTCTTGTTATTCAATTGTTTTCAGGATATGAATTTGTTTTATTGAGAATTACGATCTAATCACTGACCTCTCTTCATTTAGGGCTGTCTACGGTTATGAAAAAAAATCAGATATTCTTGAATTGATTGGATGTGGAAATGGATTAGAATCTCTGGCTGATCAATTTTCTACTTCTCAAATTATGTACGCCTTTTGTCGATACAAATCAGCCAATTCAGATCTTCCAAAATATTTCATTATCAACTGGGTTGGTTTCTATTGTCAATCATTACTTTCCTATTTGAAAATCATGCTTTTAACCTGGCATCTTTTTTCAAATAAGCTTACAAAACACGATGTCAGTGGTCTGTTGAAACAAAAAAAAACGGTTTTACGGTATTTTTCTTAATAACGACATTAATGGACTGTAAATATCGTTTTAGCAGCTTAGGATATTGTAAATTTAGTGCTAATGTGAATTTACAAATCCTATCCACTCATCTTATCAAGTGATTTAACAATTTTCATTCTTGGGCGTCGGTCACTTCCACATTATTTACGCTTAGTCATGTGTTTATGCTAAATTTTATCAAAAAACCTTATTATGATTGTGATAGGAAATTTCACCAATTTATCGTTAAAATTTCGTATTATTAATATGTTTTTTCTCTCTTGATTTAATCTCTTACAGCAAGGAGAAGGTGCTCCACCGGCTCGTAAAATGGCCTGTGCCAATCATATCGACGATTTTGTGCGATTTTTCCGCGGAGCTAACATGACAATAGAAGCGAGGAATGAAGATGATGTTGAACCAGTCAGTATAATTAAAAAATTGGAAAGAATCGCAGTCCAATCCTTCAATCTCAAAGAAAGATCAATCGTAGAGAATGTAAGCCCTGTTGGTACCAATTATAAAAGGATACAACCTCAAAAGGAGATTGATGTAATTAAACGGGAAACATTCTGGAATAAAATCCAGGAAGAAGAAAATAAAAGACACCAAGAGGAGAAGAAGAAATTGAGCGAGGAAAGAACAGCTCGTGAAAAGTTATTGGTTGAAAGACAACTGAATGAATCGTCTCAGACCGTGATAACTGTCATTAAATCAACAAAGAATGAGATCAAAACAGATAAAGATATCAAAAGAGAATTCGATAGATCAAAACTTGGAACTAGAAGCATTGCTGATAACCAATGGATAAAAGTTAAAGATGAAGTTGAAGTTGAAGTTGAAAAAGGACAAAGCAATGGTAAAACTTCCGAAGAGATTATATCTTCAAGTTATGTTAAAAGTCGAGTTGAAAGTTTCAAGAAAGCCTTCGAAGAAGGTAAACCACCAATTCAGCCTGAAAAACCCATAAAGAAAATAAGTGAACCTTCAAATTTATCCAATCAAAATAACAATGATTCTCAGCTCCACTCAATAAACAGAATGTCTCAAAGTGAAAAAGTAAAGAATGTGCAAAGTGAAACCGCCCAATTAAGTGGTAAGTTGTTAAGATCTGTAAATATTCTTATTTTACTTGGATATTTCAAATCTTTCAGTCGACAGCATCAACTAACACTTATTTGAATTTTTCTTCCAGACGCATTTATATCGAAAGTCAAATTAGTTAATGAATCGGAAATAGATGTTAAAGAAGCCATAGAAGTTGAATCGATTACCAACACAAAAAAAGATTGTAGTAATTTAGAAACTAAAGTACAAAATGAGCTCACAATTAAACCTAAACCGCCTTCTAAATCTGAACAAACGCTCAATGTTGAATCAAATGCTGTTCCAACTCCTTCCCCTGAGCCTGAAATTGATCATGCTGATGATAATCTAAATGCTGAGATTCATGAGTCTGAAGACGAGTTGAATGACAACCAGTCCGAAGATATACTGAATGCTGAAGAACTGGAAGACGAGGAACACGAAGCAGTTAATGAGGAAATATTCGAAGGTATCGAGGATGAAGAATTAGAGGAAATTGCACGCAGTGTATGGAAACGCATGTCGAATGATCACACCTCATCAGAGAATGAAGCTGACGATAATCGTTACTTTACAGTGAAATCCTCCTACCTTGACCCGTTAGAAGATATTGCCGAGGAAACTGAAGGTATTTCTGATCCAAGATTTAATTATTCATTTAACTAATCGATTCAATTTTTTTCTAATGTCTTTAAATCTTTCAGAAAACATCGATGAAGAGGAAGAAAAAAGTGATGAATTGACTGAGCAAGATGCCGAATTTCAAGCAGAAAGAAAATTTTTCGAAGAAGTCGAAAAAAGATTCCCTAAATCAGAATATGGTTTAAGAGCTCGCGCCTTATATGATTATCAAGCAGCTGATGAAACAGAGATTACATTTGATCCAGATGATATAATTACCCATATCGAGCAAGTTGATATTGGCTGGTGGCAAGGAATGGCATCTGATGGAACCTATGGTCTCTTCCCAGCAAATTATGTCCAACTCATTGAATGATCAATTTTTTTCGTAAAGTTCCTTCTCCTCTTATCACATGCAATCTTTAAACACAAAATATTCTTGAACATTTTTGTTTCTTGTTCCTCCTTTCTTATCTTTCCTTCTCTCTTACTTAACCACTGCTTCTCATATTAACCCTTCTAATTTATTTTAACATAATTTCCTCACCCACTGTTTATAATTTAACTTTTACAATTCCTAAAATGTGCAGTCTCTGGTTTTTTCAGATTGAAAAACCATCCAGACAGTTAGTCAAAGACTGTAAGTTCCTCATTTTCTTCATACTCAATCTTTAGCTTTCCTATCATAATTAATCCCTATCATATCATATTCACGTTTGATATGAATCATTGATCACAATTTTTAGGTCTGAATTCATCTTTAAATCATCTCTTCCATGATCGGTTCAAATACATATTGTATTTGCTATCCTGGTAAACAGTCTTCACTAATCCATCATACCAATACTTGAATCAAAAGACCCAAAACTAACATGGTTTTTACCATTTTGTCCATATTCTATTCTGATTTCTTATCAATTCTTTTTTTCTCATTATTATATTTTTCTTTTTATTTTGTGTTACTCGTTGTATATTGCGTTTAATTAAATTCCATGAAAAGCATTGATTACCAGCTACAGGGTAAAAACTCAAAATCGTCTGCTAGGATTTACCATTTAAACCTTTTTTAGATCTACTTATTATTAATCATGACACAGTCAATCTGATTTTAAATTTAAATTTTATCCGAAAATTTAAGCCAATTAAATATCAGATTGTATAATTACGAAGCTTTACGTTCAGTTTGAAATATGAATCTCTCCAGTAAAAATGCACCGACAAACCAACCAAACAATACAATACAATAAACGAGTAATGCAACTTATGGTTTATCAATCTAAATTTGTTAAATTAAATGAAACAAATCTATTAAATTGATTTTGAAAATTTAAAATTTAATTTCACTAATTCTGTAATTTCCAAATGGTTATTCTACGAGATTTTGGCACCAAAGGATCAATTTCGCTAAAATCGTGCGTCAGATTGAGAGTTCCAGTTATATTAGGATTAAATTTCAAGAAATATTCGTTGTTGGCAACCGGATTTGGCGTGAATTCCAATTCAAACGCTGATTCAAGCAGAGTTTGACCAGTATAAGATTGTCCAAACTGGCTCTCATCATCTGAAATTTTTATGAACATACGATTTGAAGGCAAGTCAACACTCCAATCCAGAAATGACCAAAGCAAGTTAGGTGCTGGATATCCACCAAGTTGATAATATTTGAAATTTTTTGGAAAACTTTCTTTTAAGGAATTCTGCCAGCTTGAGGTTGCAATTTTCATATCGGCTTCTTGCAACGATTTCTGTAAGTTATCCATTTTATTTTTCAATTCCGCAGTTTCTTTCTGAACTGGTACCAATTTCTTTTTTAGCTTGTCGCAATTTTCTTTAACCAGTTTGTGAGAATTAGCACTTTGATCTGAATATTTTAGGCTCAAGTTTAACGCTATTTTCTGCAAATCTGCTTCAAATTCCCCTAATTTGCTGAGTAAATCCTTGAGATCAGTCAATCTATCGTTACCAGCCTTCTCTTTTTTATTCAGTCTATCAGTTTGAATTACAAATTCCTTCTCAAGTTCTCTTCTTGAGACAACGAATTTTTGGTGTTCACGATCAAATTCTTCTTTCATTGTTAAACTGTTGATTGTAGCTGTTAAACCTTCAAATCGCGCTTTAACTGAGACTATTAAAGCTACCAAACTTATCGTTAAAATAACCACTGCTGCACCAAGAAAGATGAAAGCCAGAGCAACTTTTAAGGGTACGTTATGGTCGATATGAATTTTAGGATGTCTCGATCCTTTGGCCACAAACTTTCTCGGACGCATTAAAATAATCAATTTACATTTCACTAGAGTAAAATATCCTTACGTTTATAAATCCTGTTATGATCAATTATATTGTCACTCTTTCATCAATATTTATCGATTCTTCTTTCAATACTATCGATATTTAAAATAGCTTAACAGTAAAACTGCAATTTTAACTTGTCTTGTCAGAATTTTTATCATTCGCTAGTTAAGACTAAACTATTATCGGTTAAAATCAAACCTAAGAATGTGGATAAACTGTTTTTAGATCATCTAGAGAAAATGGTTTGTTTTGAATGAAATTTCTTTACAAGTCAATGTAAAGGGTAAATCAGATTAAGTCCAGAACGATCAACTATTTTTTCAATATTTTCATCGAAATTTTTTTGAATTCTGAGAGATTCCAAGTCAGATTATTTTCATTGGCATATCTAGCTATACATAATGCCCGAACATCTAGATCATGTCTGTTGGCTCTATTTTGTCGTGGTTCATTAATCATTGACTCTGACATTCTTTTTTGATAAACAACCCACCAAATTAGTTTTATTTGTGAGGTTAGATTTACTATTTGTTTTGGTATTTAATTTAAATGAAATTGTGTTCGGTGTTCAGTTCTTGTTTATATAGCTTATAGTTACAGATATTTCAAGTTGAAGCAATCATGATTTTACAACAAAATTTGATCAATGTTTTCATGGAAATGTAAATTGTAAATTGACATCTTTCGGAATTCAAGATTTACTCGGGATTTCATTAAAAGTAAGTTTTCTTCTTTCCGCTTTTTACTAGTTGCAATTAATTATATAGCATAAATAATAAATTTACCTTTAATTTTAACAGGTGTAAAACAATAAATCATTAAGACAATTGAGAAAGTTCAATGCTCTTCGACAAAATTAAATAATTCTGATTACAACATCAGGTTTAAATTCACCATAGAAGTAATTGACCCGAAAATGCGAATAGTTAAAGCAGATCCTTTTACTCTTCTAACAAAAAATAATTCGGAAATGTGCATCAAAACTTATCGAGGTCCCAAATACTTCATGATTAATGAAACAGATTTTGCCACCTGTGAATTATCAGAAAGTGAAATGGAAAATTCAAAACTTCACTTCATTATTCCTGGATTATGTACAACACCTAAAATTCATCTTTGGGAGGTTCATAGTTGTGTCCAAGCCAGCAATGCAGTTGTAAAACAACCACAAGTCAAAATAGTTGATGATAACTTCTACATCTATTGCAGAGGTCATAATATCACTCTGTTTAAAATCAATAATACATGTCCTGATCAAATTCTAAAGATTTCCAGATCCATCAATTTTACCTTAGCGAATCAACCTTATACGGTATCCGCTGTTTCTACTTATCATACTGAACCAATATCGCCTTGGACAAATTTGATAAACCTGCAAATTATGCCTTACGAACCTTATCAGCTAGATTTGACTCCAATAAACGTAAAATATCTAGAAAGTCTAATTAAACAACAACAAAATCTTCCAAATCAATCAAAAAGTTATCTTGACATTCTAAAAGAATATGCAATTTCACTAACTTTCGGATTCTTGGTCTTTCTAATCATCATCTTTATAATTCAACAAGTCATCACAGTTGTCCTGACCAGGAAAAGACCTGTTATTGTATCAGTTATTGATCAGACACCACAACTTTATCGAAGGAAATCAACGAAAGAAAAACCGAAGATCAGAACAAAGAAGATCAAAACACGGCGACAACCATTAGAAGAAATTCCTCTTAGTTCTTTATATTAATTCATATTTCTCTTTACTTATATTTTCTTTTTTAGTTTCCATCCTCTAGAAAGCTGTTAGACCAACCTACAAAATATCATAGACCGGCCCAACCTCTACAATGTTTAACATTTTCCGTATGTTCATATTTCTTATTCCTGTCAAATGAAATTTGGACTTTCTTTAAGCCTGATGGTACACCCAAGGACAACCGTTTAACCTGGACCACCTTCAATATCACTTGTACCCAACTCAAAGAGCGAAGATTTGTCAAAGTAACTGTTTCAGCAACAAACCAAGAACAGCTAGAGAAGGGTGAAAAGCGCTTGAGAGAAGTTTTGGAAAAGGCTACCACTGGTGTTAAGAGATTACCGTCCAGCCATTGTACAATCTGTTTCAGTACCGACCACCTAAAGATCGACTGTCATCATTGTGCCGCGTGTGGTAAACCTGATCATAGGGTCAAAAATTGTAAATTTATTCAAAAAACCCTAGTTAAACCAAATCAAGTTCAAACACCTAAACCAAAACCTACTGGCATCCACCTCTCGAGAAAAGCCAGGATTCAATTGATGAAAAGAAAAACACTTAATTTAAACAGAGTTTGGTGGACAATGTTAGGTACATTCGACAGGTCATTACTTGATCACCTTAAACCAGTCGGTCCAGAAGATGATTTAAAAGAAACCATCGCTATTAACTTCATTGGTGAAACACACAATGGTAAACCGATCCTGACGATAATCACAGGATATTTTGGAGGTTCACACGGTGTTTGTACTCTTTATTGCGCTGCCACTAAATTAAATGACTTGCGAGACTTTAAAACTCCAATTACTGGTATCCAAGGTAATACTGAAACAACAGAATTCAGTGAAATTCAAGACAACATCCTTACTTGTTGCACTAATCGAAGAGTTGTTTTCTTTGGAGACATCGCCGAGTCACTCAATAAACTTTGGCTAGATTATGGTACCTTTCTCAATGCTAACACTGACTTCATCAGCCTTCAAGAATTGTACGGCCCTGAGAGAGTTCCACTGACGCCTCTAATCAAATTCTACTTTCCCAACTCCGAAACTTACAAAGCCAATCTAGGACCAATGGATGGAGCTAATCATGAAAAGGAGACAAGATTCATGCTGCGCTTGTATGTGAATTATTACAACCTAATTAAAACGTATGGACAAGTTCCAACAGGATTAGAAGCCAGGAATTGGTTGGTGGATGGGAAAGATATCAACTGGTGGAAACAAAACAGGGACTGTTCCGAAAAGCGACCGGCAGATGTAAAACAATAAATCGTCTATTGACGTAAATGCAATAATATAATTATACTAATTTGCGTCAATAAGACGTTGGTAGATTTTAGATTAGATTTTCGAAATACCAATTTGATAATTTCTAAGTATTTAAACCTAGGTAAATCATGCATTTAACTCACTCAAATAGTCAACACTTAACAGTTAAGAACTCATTGTCTGAGATCTAACTAGTCAACTAAATCATCTTTAACATAACCATCTAATGTATTATTAAACTAAAGTTATAACCAAGCCTGTTAAAATAAAGTCAATTTAACCAGTAACCCCGTCGTCATTTCTCTTCACAGGTTTAAATAAAAAAAGAGAAGCAAAGAGTTCGACCATTTTTAGTGCATTTCGATTGGAAATTCTGGAAAAAATTGTCAGGACTAATCAATATATGGTTGGACGAGAGTGAAATATGCTGGCAAATGAACTAGGATTAACTGATACTCAAGTCAAAGTCTCAGTTCCAGATGGAAGGATAAAATTGAGACAAAATCAGCTATCTGATGGTTTATTTTGAAATTTCAAGCTATAGCTAATTTTGGATAAACAATCGTAATCAACTGATTTTTCCTTAATTTTCATCGATTTAGTAATACAATTGATTGCTGCGTCAATGTGGCAAAGAGATTTAGTTGATTTTACTTTCAAACATATGTTAAGAGTTTCATCGCTGGTCTGGAATCCAAAAAGCTCAATTCTGGTCAACCTTCTCGGGTATGGCAATTGTGTTTCAATCCTTGTTTAAAGCCAGAGTAGGGAACAAGTATTTGATTATCTCCAACGAAAGTTTAAGTCCAAATGATTCTTTGAATGATCGCGAAACTGTAATTGTATTTTTAATTAAAAATTGAATTTTCTTCTAATAAGCTAGATGTCATGATGGTACAAGATGCTCAGCATTGTGTATCATAGATTATCAATTATTACTCATCTAGATCCTATTTGAGATTTAATCGCGATTGCAATAATGGAGACAATAGGATTAAGTTTATAAGATTTTTAATGTTACATATTGACAAAAATCAATCATGCAAACAACAAAATGTTTTGATTATCTATATGAGCAAAAGTTGGTGTACATTATCTACAATTTTTGAATCATATTATCCACAAGATAATTTTCAGTGAAGTGTGGTAACACTAATATGAATTGCATAATATAGCAGAAAAAAATAAATCACAATCATTGAAAGCAATTGAAGAACCAAAAAATATCAATCAAACAAATTACATTGATAAAAGGGGAAAGAAAATGATCTTTGAATGATGACGAAAAAAGGAGATCGAGGAGAACTTCCATCACAGAAGTATATTAATTCTGTAAAATAAACATTTGGAAATATTTCCATGAGTTTTGTAAGCAAATCAAAACACGACAATGAAGTAACGTAGATATTCCAGAAATCTAAATTTTACATGCAAAGCCAGCAACCATAGAGAAATGATCATAACATTATCAACAATACAATAAAATTCCATGAAATGGGTATATGCTTTGAGTGATGTTTTGTGTCCAGAGCAATGGTAAGCTTTGTGTTCAAACAATTATTTTTAGCTGCTGGTGTTGTTGGTTAATTCTTTGTAGGTTTCGGTGGAGAAACATTCTTTAAGATCACTCTCATTTAAATCGGCTCCATGAGCATTCTTAGCATGAGCCATAAACAGTTGTTTCAATAAGGCCAATTCTTTCGATAGGATGACAATCTTTTGTTGAAGCTCTTCATTCTCGGCCTTCAATGAATTGACCCTCTCCAAGGTTTGTATAGTCTTTACCTTTGACTTGTGTCTGGATTTTTTAACAGCAATGTTGTTTCGCTGTCTCTTTTTACGATACTCGTCGCTATTTTTATCCATAACAACACGATTCACTTTAGCATATTGAGTTTTACTGGTATCTGATCCAGAGGCCTCAGAAGAATCAAAATTGGAATCAGAAGAGTAACCATCTCGACTGCAACTTGCATCATCCATTTCATCACGTCTCTTTTTCCTTTGAGGGCCCATAGTTAGTTGATTAACTATCACTAGTTGAAACTATAATGATGAATACACACTAATAACGTCAGGAATGGTGATAACAATCAGCATTAAAAAAAGTCTCCGTTGTATAAATCTCGTGTCACTGTGACTCCGGTCCAATTTTCTTGTGTTACTTGGTTGTTTTTAGTGGTCGATGGTAGTTGTTTTATAGTGTGTAGATGATGATGTGATATATTTACAGGATAAAGTAACCATTAAATTAGAAATAGAAAGTAATTCAACTTTAAAGGATTGATAAATACAAACAACAACAGAATAAGAGTCAAAAGAAGAAAGCAAAAGGGTAGGTAACGTTGTCAAGAGATGTTGATGATGAAATAGTCTACTAAAAAAGAAATATTTGTTTTTAAACGAAGTCTCTATAGTGTTGATTAGAAGTGAAACATATTCTTCATGAATTCAGATGATGAAACACAATTCATCCAATAAACCTGGCGATTTCATAAGAAAATGTAAGGAGTATTGGCAAATCAACATGAGTGAGTCAACAAATAGCAGCAAAGTGAAGCAAACAAGAAATGTGAGTCGAGTGAGATTTTGTGAGAGTCATGAAGTTGGTTTTCAAGATAAATGAATTGCATAAATGGTATGAAATTTTTTCATCTTGCCTTTTTCCCTGAAATCGGCCTTTTTATACTGTAACAGCTATGCGTATGCAATTGCCGGATTTACTCATTTACTACAAGTAATATTTCAGGTTTTTATTTTACTCAACTGTAATGTCAATGATTATTCAGCTGACGTTGGTTGTCATTGGGATAGTTTATTACATCATTAGTGGCTCTAAAAGATTGAGATGGTTGAGTTTACTTCATTACATGCTCAGGCTTAGTAGCTTTACTCTAGTTATTTGTCATATCCTTATGAATTCTCTGCATATTTTTCCCTATTTAAGAGTCTATTTAATGGATTCTCAATGGGTCTTCTTGATAACATCTTTTATTATTCACCACACCAAGAAAGTACCATTTACTGGTATATCATGGGTGAACTCAATTTTAGGATAATGTATCTCGATCCTTTGGCCACAAACTTTCTCGGACGCATTAAAATAATTAATTTACATTTCACTAGAGTAAAATATCCTTACGTTTATAAATCCTGTAATGATCAATTATATTGTCACTCTTTCATCAATATTTATCGATTCTTCTTTCAATACTATCGACATTTAAAATAGATTACAGTAAAACTCAAAGAGTTACTATTACTCTTTGGTAAAACTTCAAATTTCATCTAGAGAAAATGGTTTGTTTTGAATTAAATTTACAAGTTAAAGTAAAGGGAAATTAGATTAAGTCCAGAACGATCAACTATTTATTCAATATTTTCATCAAAAATTTTTTGAATTAAGAGCGATTCAGATTATCTCCTTGGCATATCTACCTCTACATACATCTGTAATGCCTGAAACTTTGATCATGTATGTTGACTCTAATTTGCCGTGGTTCATGAATCAATGAATCTTGTAGTCTTTTTTTGCTAAAAAATCCACCAAAGAATTACCGTATTGACGCGTATCGTGGCGCCGCGCTTATAAAAAAGTACGCCATCATATAAGCGCCTTTTGAGCCACTGCAAATGCGCGAAGATCATTGCTTATTATTAAAAGGCGCCTCTATTGTCACAAAATTGTGCCTTTAAGAGTACTGTCAAACCTCCAATAATGTCACTTCGTGGGATTAGCGTTTTGGCTATTTTTACATAATTTCTAGGTGGAATAGCCTTTATACGAATTTTATTTAACAAAAAAAGTTAATTTTTAATTTAATTTTGAGATTTTTGATGTTTAATTGGGCAATTCGTATAATATACCCAATTAAAACCATTATTGAAGTCCTTGCAAAATTTATTTAATTAAAAAACTGAATTAAATTAAATTGTTTAATTTCGTTACCATGACTCTGTGACATTTTGAGAGTGTGACATTATCGGAGGTTTGACAGTAACATTCTCATTATTAAGCCCGGTGCTACGATACGCATCAATACGGTAGTTGATTTATTAATGAGGCTAAATCTATTATTTGTTTGGTATTTAATTAAAATGAAATTGACCAATGTCTATTTGTTCTTACTCTTTCGTTCTTTGTACTAGTAAAATTGCTTCTTTGAATAATAAGTTTAGTTTTGTGATTTCAAGCTATGCCCGTTAAATAATTATGTAGCCAACTATTACAGAAATTCATAATCTATTATGATAATAAAATTCAATGAAAAAACTATAAGCATCCAGATGAGTCATAAATTACATTATGTTTTTTGCCGACAGGTCTCGCTGCAATTATGTATTTTTCTCAAAAAGTAAACATTGTTTACTTGATTGAATGATTGAATATTTTTTTCTGGTTCCAATTTGACAGTATTATTTTAAGATGTGAACATTCTTGCAATTATGGTGGTCTATTTAAGATTATAAACGTGTTTCCTGTCATTTTTCGGATGTTTTGACTTGGAACATCAAGCACCTTTTTCACTATCCGTTCTGTGTCCAAAATTTGTATAAACGCCTACTTGTTTTAATACTTGTTGAAATTGTTTAAAATATAGATTAATAATGGCTGCCAAAGAAGTTCTTGGGTCTTTAATTAGTGAGTATCAGTGTAGTAATTTTTCTATTCTTGTCATCTGTTTTAATGTCCATTTACAGTTGATGATTGAACACTAACCACAAACTATATTTCTCTTTTCTCTAGATGAGTTAACTGACTCAGTTCTACTCAAATATGGTTCATTTCTAAATGAATTTGACAGTAAATTAGAAGAACTTCACAAAGTAAATTTACAATATACATACAGTTCGATAGTTTATGGATCATACTTTAATCCAGGCCTTGACGAGACTGTCCATGAAAGGACTGAGTTTGTCGATATTCTTCGTACCTGTGGTAATATGGAATTGAACCGTGTTTTACTAGTTCTTTCATCTTTGTGCCATGAAATGAATAATCTGTCTCAGATTGGTTTGAAAGATTTCATTCATATCATTGCTTTATACGGAGAAGATAAAAAGAAAGCTGACTGGAAAAATGACACCACAAAAGCGAAAGAAAGTAATGATGAAGCCGGTGATGAGCTTTTCTCGATGTCTAAGCTATTACCTACCCTTTTCAAGCTTCTCTGTTTTATCAAACGATGTCGTGAAGTTGTCCACAATTTAGCTATTCAAATGCAAGAGCTTTTCACAAGGTAAATAGAATGTTTTTCAGAATATTTTTATCAAATTAATCTGTATTGATTATAATCGATTATTTTTAAATTTTCAGGAATAATGGTAAGAAGGTAAATAGCAGATCCGGCATAGAAGTGAATGATGTACGCTTTGACGCTTTATTCCAACATCTAGGACAACTAGCTGTGACAATTGTTAACATCGAAGAAATTTTGTGTAGTCAAACATCATTAAGAAAAGATTTCATCAATTTCAAAAGAACTTTTGAAATTGTCATCGCAAAATATGATGATTTCCAACTTCAAGCTTATGATCATCAAAAAATGAAAGTTCTTCACTCGTTAACTGTTCAAATTGAGAAAGAAATCATTGATGGAAACTTATTTAGTCAAATTATTGATGCCATCAAAAGTACATCTTCTGAATCATCACCAGATCAATTGATAATATGTGATCATCTAGCTTTGTATATCAAAAATGCTGTGCAATTCCATGAAGGAAATACTAATCCGATTAAGGATGATAAAAAATGGTTGGCAATCAATGCTTTGTTGGCTATTTATGTTCGTACTTCAAAACGAGAAGACAGAAAACTTATCAAGATGGTTTTCGATTCACAGAAAAAGATTAACGCTTTATATATCCACCTAAAAGGGAACTGCACTATTTTTCCAGATAAATTTCTTAACAAACAGCTTCTTAAGTCGAGAGTTGATAAGAAAATGATTGAATATTTCAAACAGACACGAGAAAGCACTCTTAAAATTGACCTGACCGAAAAAGTGAAATCTTTAAACATCAAAGTTAACCTATGGATGTTAAAGTTCGATGATTTATTGAGTGAAATTGAAGAAACAACAAATGACTTCATCGAGATTCTTCATAAACAAATCAAAGTAATCGAAGAAGGACTTGATTTAGCTCTTCAATGCTCATCAATTGGTAAAAACCATATTTATCAACATAATTACGCCAAGAAGTCACTCTGTAAATCAGATCTAATTGCTGTCTGTAAATTAACAGCGATTCTTAAAGGCATTGAACTTTCGTTTTTGCGAAGAAAAGGAGAAATTCTTCAAATATTGGCTCGCTCAACTCAGTATTATTCATATCTCATACTTGGAGCATTGACTTCATGTAAAAAACGCCTAATTAGTGAAGTTAAAAAATATTCCGAGAAAAAATTGGATGTTTTATCTGCAATCATTTTGGGTTCAAATTGTATTCATGGACCGATATTGACCTTAGAGAGACAAATTTTGGCCTCTCTATGCTTCTCTATAGCCAATCAATCAATGAACGAAAACGAACTGGCCAAAGTATATTCTGGTTTCAAACGAATACGAAGTTACTGTTTAATTTTCAAAAGACTGCAAGATTGGACCAGTTGTGAATTCATCTTTTTCAACCGTTCTTTGATTGGAAATTATTTTAACCATTCCATAAATCATGAGCTTAACAATATTTTTGAACTTCGTTATTTTTTCCAATCCTTTGCTGAATTTGTGCCTATGGTGGAAAACGGCTTTTTATATGATGAAAAAAGAAGAGACGGCTTATTGAAAGATTTGGAGACAGAAATTTATTACCACTTCAAAGCTAATTATTTGGAAAAATTGTGCAGCTTAATGGAAGAACAATTAAGAAGAGAAGTTGCTGGAAACAGTTTGATTGAAAGTACGACCAACGATGCCAACAATCCATTCAAGAATCCATCGCCCAATCTATCTGTTATTATTTCCTGTGAACCACTTAGAATTTTAACTCGAATGATCTCAATTAAGGAGCACGTTGAACAATATTTAAACGAAATGGCCTACAATAATACTACCAATGCCCTTCACGAGTGTAAAACATACGAAACTATGTTGAACTTGGCTCGCCATAAATACCGATTAGAGCTTTTGGAGAGTCAATTGCCAACTCAAACATTAGAGCAAGGACTTGATGTTTTGGAGGTTACCCGGAATATCCATATATTTGTCTCTCGTTACCTTTACAATTTAAATAATCAAATGTTTATTGAAAAATCCTCTGAAAACATGCATCTCAATGTTTTACTGATTCGCCATGTTGCCAATTCAATTCAAACTCATGGTTTTGGTATAATCAACACAGCTGTCAATTTTACATACCAATTTCTCAAACGAAAATTATACTCTTTTTCACAATTTTTATACGAAGATCCACTCAAATCGAGATTGATAAAAGATCTGAAACATTTTCGCCAGTCAAAAGATGGAAGGTTTCCCTACGAAAGAGCAGAAAATCTTGTCAAAGGAATTCGTAAATTGGGATTAACTCCTGAGGGTTACACACTTCTTGATCGTTTTCGTCTTTTAATCACCGAAATTGGAAATGCTCTTGGTTTTGTACGTATGCTTAGAAGTGGTGCCCTTCACTGTAGCTCATCTTCAGTGAGCTTTGTTCCTGATTTGGAAGAGCTAAACACTATTTCATTTAAATCAATGGTTCTCGAAGATGGGTTCGGAAGTGAGTGCTTGAAATCGGCCCAAAATTTGGATCACATTTTACAAACATTGAGTCGCAACTTCTCTGAAGCCACCGATTATTATAATCTTCTAGTCCAAGTATTCCAAGAAACTTTAAAAGGAAAAGACAATTTCCATTTGAAAAAGTTCTACGTGATTTTACCAGCATTAACATTAAATTATGTTGAAAACAGTATTATTAGTAAAGAAAAGATGACCAGGAAAAACAAAACCGGAGCCGCTTTTACTGACGATGGATTTCCAATGGGAGTTGCTTATATCCTTAAACTTCTAGACCAACACTATGACTTTGATACTCTACAGTGGTTTGCTTCAGTTAACGAGAAAATTAAAATGGAAATGAACCAAGCTTTGAGTGCTCGTTCAGTTAATTCGACGAATTTGATGACTGAAGACAAATTATCGCAAACTTTGAAATTAACGGAAAAACGGTTGGATATGCTGCAAAAGGAATTTAATCTCCTTAATTACAGTTTAACCAGTAGTAGGATTTTATTTAAAGCCACAAATCAAGAAGCAAGAGATTAACTCTTCACCATTATCAAGCAAAGAAACCTCTATAAATTATTTAAAAAATTTTCTTCTGTTCTTTTTGAAGTCCCTGTGATATGAAATGCTAACTAATTTGATAAACCTGTCAATCTTAAAGTTCCTCAGTGAACTTCTAATGACTAAAATTGGAACAAAGAAAGTTTGATTATTAAAAAAAGATAAACAAAATTATATAAAAAAACAGAAATATAATTTAATGATTGTGAGAAACTGATTCTGTCGGAAATTTATTCAATCTTTTCTTTCCGAATAGGATTCAAACAATTTAAAGGTACAATTAGCTGAAGTTTATCTCATCGAAATTTGTGAAAATTTTGAATGAATCTTTCATGAATAGTTTCACACAGCAGGTTAAATAGAAGTACAAGTTATAAATAAATTTAGTTAATCGTTTAAGAGAAAAGGAAAACTGTTAATATTCATATGTTCGGCATTTAATAAAAAAAGAGTGTAAAGGTGATAAAACACATTTGATGATGAATAAAAAAGACGTGATACCACCGTGAAGAAATACCACTGATTAAACAAAATAGCTCATTTGAAATTAACTCTGACTTAAATCCATTTGAATAGGGCTACCTTTGAGAAGTTAATTAACAAATTATCACAGAGAAATATCGTCTATGTTTGTTCGTTTGGTAAGTTACCATTGATAACAATGGAAACTGTCATCCAGACAGAATGAGAAAACATTACGAAATGTAATTAGCAAGTGGTATTGGCATTTGATATGCAAATTTTGACCCTGGTTTCTATGAGAATCTGGAAAATTCTTAATTTATCATTCATTGCTCAGCTCCTTGCTCTAAATTTTTGAGCAATTGAATCAACCATTGTCGACTAGCTTTATCAGCATCTAGAATAGGGGCGAAAGTTTCATCTCTTAAAGGTATTGGTAAACAATTACGTAAAGCCTCTCGAGCTCTTGGATTATCACTTAAACGCAAATAGCAGCGAAGCACATGTTTCAAAAGCCGTGGGGAAGACTCTTTAACCAATGAAGCGATCATTTTACCCAATATCATAGCAACATGAGAGAAACGATCATATGTTTGACAGATATAATTAAGACCCGTTTCATCCAAGAGTATCTTTTGTAAAATAAATGTGGCCACAGTCTTGCTAAGGTCACTTCCATTTTCCATAATTCTCAAGCAAAGTGGAATTATCTCTGTAGCCAACAAGAAACTGATCACCTGTTGTTCATCTGTTTTAACCAAAGCTCCAATCACACCAAGGCTTGTTAAACGTAAATATTCAAACGGTCGAGTTTTAGATGTTGACGTTGATTGCAAGAATGGATATAAAAATAATGGTATATTTGCAGCCAGAAATTCACTTCGAGTTTCTTGATGGGAAGCGACACACTGGAGTAGTGCAAGAGCATTGCAAACACGGTTTGATTGGTGGGGAGACAAAGTTGCTGGGTTGAGAGCTGGATAAACACTAACAATCTCTTGAAGTAAAGCAGCAATGGCACCAAATGAATGCCATAGCAAATTGGCCAGATCAGGTACAATTTCCCGTTTTTTACCAAGTTCAAGAAGAGCGTTTTCACGAGTATCCATATTTGTCAATTGTGTTATCCATTGATACACCTGTTCTTTTTCAAATGGCTGATTGTCACTTGAGTCATCCTTCATAGTTTTCCCTTTGCTTTTTACCTCTATTTGACTATTTGACCCGAAAAGTTGAGAGTATCAGGCTTATGCTGCACTGAATTTTGGAAATATAATTAAAACTAGTTGATTAAAAATTAAAAGGTAAGATCCTATTTTTGGTCACTGAGGAGGAGACACAATAAGACTTTTTAATCACTAGTCAATGGTAGAAGTCCAGGTATTTATATGGTGAAATCAATCACTTTTTTAAAGAAAAATCAATTACAGTCAATTACAAAAAAACTGTCATCTACATCGAAGAGCAAAGAAGAAGAGACTGCTATTAATGAAAATAAGATTAATTGCCGTATAACAGCACTTGTGGTGCTAGTAGTAAGAGCTTCTTTCTTTTCTCTTTCTTTTTCCAATTAAAATTAACAAATTTAATCAATTTACCAAAATTGGTAATTATTTAAGCTGCAAAGATAGAGTCTCTTACTACTAGCACCACAAGTGCTATAATACGGTAACAAATCTTCTCTATTCCTTGATCTACGATTAATTCAAAATTAAATATCTTCCGATCTACTGCTAATAAAATCACAATTATTGTTCCATTTCGCTCCTGAATATTTATGAATATCATTTTGATCTTCTTTTACAATTTCATGAGGACTATTTAATAAATTGAACCTGATTTAAAACATAACCTCTGTGAAATTGACTGAAAAAGATTTTAAGTTTATATTAACTGAAGTAAACAGAGTCTCGAAGCAAAAATGAATCTGAAGATTCATTGAATACAGGGAATTCTAAATCTAAGACAAAAATCCAATTATTGCTCAGATCTTAATTGCAATCAGCCTTAGAAAATGAAAATTATCGAAATTTTAGTTGATTCAAGAGATGGCGCTCCTAATTCATCGTTCATCTAACTTGGTTTCATCTTTTCTGAACTTTTAGTTGAATTTTTATCATTTTGGGTCTAAGCACATTGACAACCAAATTCATAAATAATATTGAATTTATACCATTTTTAATTCTTCAAACCCTCTAAAATTTAAACTAAACTTAATGAGAGAACGGTAATCGGCTTTAAATGGCCTCTAAAGCAAGAAGAAAACAGTTTTATATTTTGAATGCTCTGATCGCACATTCATGTAACATTCATTTATTGTTTTCTCAAAAATAAACATTAAAAATCTTATAACGATTATGCAGCATTAAAAAATCTAACAGTTTTTAGGTCCGAAACTGTATAATCGTCTCTATGTTTTCCATGAGACTCTTTCAGAATGAAATTTCTCACTGACTCTCATAATCTTCCACTGTTTGAGTGTCAACAGTTGGATCATCTGCTAAAAACAATATCCGTTTATTATAATATTTCTTGTTATAAAACATATCAACATTATTAGATAACTTCAGAGTTTCATAAATAAGAGTAGTTTAAATTGATTATATTGTAGAGTTCCTTTACTGTTCTCGATATTGTTTCAACTTTGTTGACAATTTCAAAGGCTTTCAATATAATCGTCAGGATATTTGATTGCTCCGTCTACTGCACATCTAAATTCATGTAAAACATTGAATTGTAATGAGCAACTGTAATTGAGTCACAATAATCAATTACTTTGATTGGAAATTTTACTTTTATCAACTTTATTGAACCCTGTATTGCTGTACAACGGCACAATATACAGTTTTCAATTTGATTCAAGGAATGTATTTATATCTTGTATATCTTTAAATAATATGTCTATGAATTATATTTATCATAGTCTGATTGTTTCCATGTAAATGTTGGGAAAATTTCTTGCTACAGATCAATTCAGGTTTAAGAGTCTTTTGTTGATCTATTGATTTGTATTATTTTTTGCCATTTCGAGGAAACGGCTAGTGAATGATGAACTGAGAGTGAGAAGAAAGTTGACTCAATCAAAATGGATTTCTTACAATCAAATGTATTATAATATTATATATTTATGTTGATAAGATATCGTTCAGTTGATGATATTAAAAATCGATTCAAATGCTAATGATGTGTCGAGAAATCAATCAAAAGGCTTGTTAATTCTCGAATGTGTCTTTTTTCATATTTTTATGCTCGCTGTCTTTTTAAATAAAATTTGAATCTTTCAATTGTCTCTCACTCTGGTCTAGATACCTGTTTAGCCTAAATTAATCAACGACAAACAGGTAGATTGATTTCAAAAGGCAGTCTTAATTTCAAGGAAAACAATAAATGATTAACCAAAAAAAAATAAATCAATGAAGAGGAGAACCTTAATGGCTTAAGTTTCTAGGAAAGAGGTAAAAAGCAAAACCAAAATGATGTTATTGATTCAGTTAAAAGCTGGTTTATAGTTGAATTAAATTGCGATCAAAAGATGATCATCAGAAGCTTGAATCTTCAATTAACTTTTATTATTAAGCTACAAATAGATTTGAAAGCGTCTATTACATTTAAATCATTTCAATGCATCATTAGGTGGACGCAAATTTATGTATAAAAAGGTTCAAGTTAAGGTGAAATACAGAATGGAAGTATTGTTTATTTCATTTTAACTCGAGATTCTTTCAATATTTTATCAGAATTGAATGTAAATGATCGGAAAGGAATGAAATTTAATCAATATTTGGCTGTACACTGAAATTAAATTTAGGCTAATAAAACAAATCAATGAAGCAAATTTAACTTAATGTTGACTCCGTCTTATTGGTAGTTTGGACGCTTACTTTATCACCTGACTTGCCATCAGTCTTGGATTCAACACTTTTGCTTTCATCCTTTTCATTGCTTTCACTTTTATCATCAGTTCGAGTATCATTACTTATTTTATCATCAGTGGTCGTCTTAATTTCAGCTGATTCCTTGTCTTTACTGGTCTCATTTGATTCACCATTCAGTTTGTTTTTCATCTCCTCGCTGGTCGCAGTGGTATTGTTGTTATTAGATCCTGTTGTGTCATCACTGGTACTGCTCTTCTGACTCGTCTATTGGATCAAACAAAAGGTCGGTTGGTGTCACAACAATAACGGAATAATAGAAATATCAATAATTACCTTTTCTCCTTGAATTTTTGCCTGAACAGCTCGAGCTTTATTAATCTTCTCTTCGATAATTTCTTGTCTTCTTTTTTCAGCTTCTGCTTGTTTCTCTTTAATGTCATCAACAGTCGGAATCGAGGCTCTTTGCTCTTCTAATCGAGCCAACCGTTTAGGTGGATGTTTCTTGACTATGGACTCATCTTCAGCGCCATCAGCCACTACTGGATCAATTGGAATCTCAAATGCTACAGGTTTAGGCACTAAAAGTCAAGTCAACACACAAGTCATATTTAGATCGATAAAATTATCTTCAAACATTAAGACTTACCTGGAGTTGGCGGTCGATCTGCAAGACTTTTATGATCTTCCTGAGCAACTGAATCCAGTATTTTGTTTTTTTCATTTGTAATATTTTGAGGCCCATCTGTTGTTTGTGTGGCCTTTGCCGCTCCACAACCCATTTGCAAATAATTGAACCAACCAAATGTGATAAACTCGACAATTTATAATCAAACTTGAGTTACTTTTGACAGCAACTGAATCGGTTGAATAACACTTGACAACCTGAAGGATTGATGTTAATTGAAGGCTTGATCAGTTTAACAAATATTGAAATATCTGGATAACAATGGCTAATAAGATGCAAAGTGTTTAGGTCTGACAATTGGATGTGAATGAATTGAAGTTAAATAAAATAACCATCAATAATAGGTAATATTGAGAATGAGCAAGGCAAAAAATCGGGTAAATGGGAGTTAAATCCTTCCTACCTTTGGTGATATCGTGAATGAAACAAGAAAGTGAGTTGGGCAAAATAAGAAAACGTTCAAAGGTTCAATCACATTTAAAATATCAACAGTTTATTGCAGGTGAATCAGTTTTGTTTGGACCAATCTTTATTCAATATTTCTTGCGAGTCCATCTCCACCTTTTTTCTTGTTATTTTTTAGTCTTACTTCCGAGTCTATCGACTTCAATCTCACTCTGTTTATCTTTATTCCAACTTTACCTTTGTGTTGACATTTCCCGGCCAATCAGTTACCATGGTTAAGATAAAATGCAAAGAATTTGCGATATTTTTTTATCTTCAATGTCCACTGTTATTAACAATATTTCATAAACTCTAGTTTACCTCTCAACTGTTGTTCATTAATGGGTGACTTCAATTTTAAAACGACCTATTAATTTCATGTCCTCATTAATTTCAAGCTAACCATTAAAATATGTTTAGCCCAATGTTCACTCTTGACATACATATTATTAATAACATATTATAACGAACTAGAAATCAATTATTTCAAAACTTACAATTTTATTTACATATTTTGTATCAGTGTTTCTTGATTTTACCTCAATGTTGGTGAAAATTTATGAAATCTAATTTTATTCAAGAATGAAAATAAAACATAAAAATCCTTATTTGGTAAAATATTCATAGAATCCAAAACAGGTATAATTTCAATGATTAATTTGGTCAGCACTTGAGTCACTTCATTAACAATTATTTTAAGATCAGTATATTTTCATTGGAATAATTAGCAGAACGAAGAGAAAGTTTTATTCAATGGTTAACATTGAGGTTATCATTAACTGCTTATTCCAAGTTGTTCATTCAAAATTGCTTAGCCGTGAATAAATTGAATCGATTTTTTGAAATAAATATAATTTTAATTCTTTGATAAAAATTTTCAAGGCAATCACGATCAAGTAATTCTATTTTCAATAGATTCTTGATTATATCTAGCAAAATTACAATAACAAATTATTGATAAATAATGTAATAAGATCCGTATAAAATTATGTATTTACTAGTTAAGGAACTGTATTTCACACTTGATAATATTTTCCTATTGCGAGGAAATAGCAGTTTCAAATTGTCTCTTTCGCTTGAGGTACGAACTGTAAAAGGAAGGCTTCGAGAATTTCGTATAGAAGCTGCTTATTGAGATTTTGATCTTGAATAAAATCGAATAATTTAATTAGCCCTTTGCGGCAATTTTGTTGGCCAAATAAGTTACTGAGTATATCTGGAACATTATCGATTAGAAGTCTTTTGGCTTCGAATTGATTCTTTCGCCGAGTTGCCTCATTTGAAGGTTCTCTTGACTGAGCTAATTTACCGTCAGGCCACATGGCAAGTTTTAAATTAGATAGATAATAATGCAGCATTGATTCGGAAAATGTCCAAGAAACGGTCTCTCTGAGTTGCTTATTAATGGTCTGTCCATATGTTGTATGGACAAATATGATTAAAGTACGCCGAAGGAAGCCCATTGCTCCTTTAAGTTCAAATATTTCAGTTAAAAGGTTATAAAGAGGTTCAGCAATGTTATCATCCTTTGATTCCAACTCATCGTCAAATAAGGATTGATCATCAACATCTTCATCGCTGCTATCACCATTGTTTCCTTTATTTGAACTTGCTTCAGATCCATCAGGATTGTTAATACCAAAAAATGATGCAAACGGAAGATTCCAAAAATTAAATTGCTTTGAGAAAGATAATGGAACTCTGAGATTACCAGAACTTGGACAAAAGAAAAGATAAACTTCTTCCGATTTGACACAATTTTCATCTCTGAAAATTTGATCTAGAAATAGCTGGAGATTCACCTTTGCTCGGTTAATCAAATTTACATTTGTAGGTGCCACGTTTTTCAATCTGAGTATTTCAATTCGTTTGAGATTTGAGTTTATTCTGACTAGTTTACGTTTTAGCTCAATAAAATCAGCAATTGTTCGTGCAATTATCCAGCCATCAGCGCTTGATTTTTCCACTTTAGCATCTTTAGAACTAATTATGATGATTACCAAAGGAGAAGTGCTTTGCTGAGTCTCTAGTTGAATATTGTGAAGTTCAGCTCGCCACTTGTCAAGATTATCCAACCAGTTGTCAGACCAAACGATATGGTTTTCCAATTCAAACATTTCCTCCCTTAAATCTTGAATCTCTTTCATGAGCAACTCTGCTAATTTAGGATTGGATTCGTGTCCAGATTCTTTGATAGCATCTAAAGCTTGTTGTTTACCATCAATTTTCTTATTTAAGGCTTTCAGTTTACAACGAGCTTGGCATATATGTTCATCTATTACTGATGATCGAGAGTTACGTTGGGATTGTTGACCATCATATGCAATTGATAACTCAAGAGATGATAGTTGACTATTGCTTTCATCATTTTCTTCGCACTTGATTTGTCCAAAAAGATCCGTTTCGTTGTGAGTTTCAATCATTTCATCATATTCTTTGCTGACAATGAATAAAGGATAGTAACGATTAATCAAAACTGAATAAACTGCTTGCTGTGCTTCATAAAATGATTCCGGTCCTTTGTCTCCTCTCACAAATGCTTCCATTCCTTTGCGGTCATTTTTCCCCAATTTTATGTGAATGTTGAGAGAATTAAGAAAATAAGAATGTTTAAGAAGTTCATTGGCGATTTGATATTGTTTTACTCCTTTTTGATTCCTCATCTCTTCGACTGATTCCCAAAAGAGCACAAGATATTTAGAAGTTCGTTCAGGTATGTCAGTTGAATTTCCCAATGAATTTTGCAAAAAGCGGCGTAAAAAACTCCTACACAAATCAGATTTGATTATTATATCAAAGGCTAAAATCTTTTTCTTCAAAGGCTTTGGATAACTCAACCCATCCACAACGAGGACACTTTCTGGGTTGATATTTGTCTGTGAAATTGACGGATAAGCATACATAATCAGCTGGTTAATCCTTTTTGAGCACAAATTTTTTGCATATTGTAGGTTATTAATATAACGTTTCAAATCACGATTGAGTAATAAGTCTCCTTTCGCTAAAGAAGTACATTGACTTGGCCTTGCTTCTTTGTCCATAAGCTTTTGTCTTTTTAAATTTTCTAATGCTGTAGCCTGCATTATTTCCGAAACGATTCGATAGCGTATTTTCTTGAGATCTTCAATAGACACGCAACTTTTAATGATTTCAACAAAGTCCTCGTAAGATTTTGCATATGCGTAAGTTTTACGATGGCGCTCACTTTCGTCCAGGTAACCCTTGATATATTCAACAATCTTTTGATTAATGTAATCAGGATCTGAGAGCATCTCAATAAGGTTGTGTAAAACATGGATACCAAGAATTTCTTTCAGTAGGTTAACCAATGGCTGGCTTTTTGCATAACGAGCAGGCAAAAGTAAAACAAGAAGCATATATGAAACTTTGTTGAGATATTCAATTTCTTCCGCTTCGGATGACAGATGATTATACAGATCATAGGAATCTTGTTTTGAAAGGATTGAAGATATCTTGCTGATGTGAGATTGCATGATTGTGACTAGATCTTTAGTCAGAAAGGAAACATCATCAAACTGACGGCAAATCGCCAATAACCTAGAGAGCATTGTCCAAATTTCATTTTTCAATTTGACATCAAGATCCTCGGTATCATTTTGAGCCAAATCGTTGTACCATTCATAAATGTAATCACGGAAAACCAAGTCGATGATATCCTCAATAAGTGCATCAACATTCTTAGAAATCAACAGATTGCTTTTAAAATAATTGTTTATTGGAGGCAATCTTTCTTTCAATCTTTTATAGTTATTGATAACTCTAGAGACAGTAAGATCACTGTTGGACAAGTTCCCATCTTTGAATAAGGATCCTTTGATGGCTGGAGAAAGACAAACGGATCGTGTAATCAGGGCCAAGATCAAGAAAACCCCAATTAAAAACAGAAGAGTTATTATTATGATCTGAAGCAACAGGGTAATTAAAAAATATATCATAACTATTTATGGTTTCACTATGCCATGAGCAGCGAAATGTGACACACAATTCAAATGTTGTTTGACAAATAGATGGACCTCAGAAGTTTGGAATGTTTCATATCGAAGATTATCAATGTATATCACAGATGCAGAACAAACATTAAGATTAGTAAAAAAATTTCGATAAATTTAATAAACTATTAATCCAAAAAGGATTGTTAAAACACTAATACACACAGGAGTTTTTAAGTTGTCTGTTTACTTGTGAATCAGCTGTTAAGCATGTTCTGTTTGTTAACGTTAAAGTTAACTCCATCGAATAGTGTGTGATTTAGTCTTAAAATTGTTATATTAATTCAAATACATGAACCAGCTCATCCATTCAGATAGTAACATTCAAACACAATTATAAATGTTATCTTGATTATGATAAACACGACAGAATTCAAGTTTATCAATCAATGAAAGTTATCTCGGTAAGTATGGATGTAAACGTAAAAAATTCAACAATTCAATCATTTTCGTTTTAACATTAACTTTTGTCCAAAATTGCTTTAAAGCGAAAAATTGAGAGATTGCTAAACACAATTAACTTATATGACTTCAACATTTTTTATTTCTCCAGTTTTGTTGCTGGAAAATGTGTCAAAGGATTCGATGGATTCGTTTGTTGACTTAATATCGTGAAAAAATCTGATCAACTCTTCATCTTGACAAATCACTTAAATGGATCAAATTGGGATATCAAATGGCACACCAGAAGCCGACTTGCCAAGATACCATGTAAATGTAAGCCGAGCAAGTTTAATAGTCATTTGGCTTTCTATTCTTGTCATATTGATTCTTTCATTTATTGGTTGTATTTTATCAACATACATAATTTCCGGTAAACGACAAAGTCGTTTCCATTTCATGAAAACTTCAATCCAGAGTAACTCAAAGTGAAATTACCCGTTTTCTCATGTTAAGCTTTGTTTTCTCATCTTGCCATAGTAGCCATTAAAACCTGTTTTCTAGTCGCCACTTTGTTATGATTACTCAAAAGTGTGGCTACCGTTTTCATAATTATTTCAAAAGCATTCCCTCAGAATAACCTTTTCATGGTTTAGTATTAAAATTTAATAGACTTTTATTTATTGACACTTTTGATTTGTGACACAGTATCCATCATAATTATTGGGAAGCCACAAGTTACCACAATTTCACCATAAGAATAAAGGAATCTCCAACAGCTCTATTTTTTGTTCATGTGCTACAAATTAAATCAAGTTGATTATCTTTTCAGTCTATTATTCAGTCTATTTTTATCAATATATTCTCACTCTATCTATCTTCTCATCTACCTCTCCTTCTCCCTCTCCTATTCATCTTTCTCCTCTCTCACAAGCTATTCAAACAATTAGCAACACAACCAACCACATTTCCTCTTGGATCTCGCCTTTAACTTGGGAAAAGTGTAATACGGATACAAATTGCAGGGATAACTTTTTCCATTCTAATCTAAACTGTGCACTTATGTAACCAATTATGCCTTGGTCATCGTTTAATATATTCAAATCTCTTCATCAAACCCGTTAATTATTGACTTACAGGTCAACTTGACTACTCTGCCTGGATCACTTTCAGTGTCATCAATGACATGATGTCAGTCTCTGTTGCCACCAAAGTTTTCCTCATTTCAACTTCAGCCATTCCAATATCCTATCTGTTGAATCGTTTCATCGAGAAAACTGGACTAACTCAACCTCTGTTAATTGTTTTTCTATGTCACATTATTGGAATTTTGATTTTCTCTTTAATTGTTAAGTGTACAAAACATTCATTGCATAAAAACAATGAATACCTTTTTTACAGTAAGTATCATGTAAATCGATTTATCAAAATATTTATCGCAATTTTAACCAATTTTTTATGCTTTTTTCCTTTAGCTTTCGCTTTAATTTGTTTCATCAGTGTATCAAGTCTCATTATCGCCTTGGAATTGGAAGGTTTGATATCAGGTTTTACAAATTCATTTCTAAAACATGTTGAACCTCATCTCAGATCTTCCTTTGGTGCAATGATTTGCCATTGGAATGGTATTGTGGCCTATGCTTTAGCCTTGATGATCGTTGCTGCTATTACAACGAGGTAATTATTATTCTCTGTTAACCATTGTAATCTTTCTAACAATTCATCAATTACAAGGTTGCATACAAGTCTACTCTTAAGGCTCAACTAATACAATCTACAATTTATTGCTAAATCAAACTCACTTGATTCAAAAGAGGTTGTCAATCAGAAGCTCTGTGCACCTAATCTAATTGTTCATTTTAAAATTTTAAAGTTGATTTCAGTTGCTTTTTCAAGAAACAAACCTCTAATTAAATCAAAAAGATGAAGCGAGTCTTGTTTTTTCACCAACTTTACATTCATCAATAGTCAACTGTTACAGTTTTTTGTAGACACTTTTACAGTTTATAAATTTGAAAGCACAAACTCAGTTAATTTGATTCCTTCAATATTATTAACATTTTCTGTCAATCATTTATAAAGTAAACCTTTGAATTTAATGGTTTACCTGCTATATTGATATCTGAGATGGTTGTTTTGTTTAGTAATTGTTGTATGAAAAAAATCTGGTAACTCTCCACAAAGCTTGTTATGCTATGCTTTCACGGTCTGTTTCTGTCCTTTTTTGGTGTTATTTTACTCACTTTGTTTTTTCTCGTTTCTTTTTTTTCTAGTAATGATTTCATCGATATTTTATGTTACTGGCTTGGCTCCTGGGTAAATAATAGCCTAGTTTTGCTGCTAGGTATCATGATTGGTAAAACTGGACCAGGCTGGGGAATTCTTATGTACTTGCCTTACATAATTTTACCGTGTTACATTGCTTATCGTGTCTTGAAATCATCGAAATCAACAAAAAACCAAGCAATCGAAATAGAAGTTAAAACCTCGATATGGAAGCGACCATTGGATATGTCTCTGTGTTTCATATTTACTTTGAGCTGTTTCATAGCAATTTTACGTGGTCTTGCTGTTTTGGATAGTCCTATTTGGCTATGTAAAATTTATGGCAAACAAATTGAACCCTATCTGGTTTCATCGACTTTAGCACCTTTTGCAAAGATTCAAATGATTTTATATTTATTTTATTATTTACCATTTTATTTATTCGCTATTTATCACCTGATTTGCTGTTCGCATCAAGAGATGACAAAATTGAGTGCATTTTTTGCCGGAGCTGCTTCAAGTGCACAATTTACTCATATTGGTTCATCTTTCCATTCAAGAACTCCTTACATTCTTCGTGTTTCTTCTGATTTTTCTGCTCTACTCTTTTTTTGGCTCGTTAATTTGACTCTTCTAGTTGGACCTGTTTTACTTGCATTTAGATGTGCAGTAGAAGAAACAACTGAATATCCCGATGGTTATATTGAAAAGGTTTTCGCTCGAAAAAAAATTGTCAAACAAAGTTAAAATGATACCGAAAATAGTAGAGAAACTCTACAATATAATCAATTTACTCTTATTTTATGAGACTCTGAAGTTATCTGATAATGTTGATATTTTTATAACGGGCAATATTAAGCAAATATTGTGTTAATTTTGTATAAAATAATGACTTGTAATGTCAATTGTACTTATAAAGTATTATTGCTTATAGATTCAAACTACCCGCGTCTGTAGAGTTGTCTTGGCAATACTTTGCCCAAAGCGAAAAGCAAAAAGCAAAATAATCTTTAGTTGACTTAAATAAATTTATTCATTTGCTTATCTTTTAATTTTAATTTTTAATTTTTAATCATCTATTTTTAATTTTATTCCGAAAGTTCCTTAAAGCATAAGTCTGGATACTCTCAACTTTTCGGGTCAAATGGAGATAAAGAGCAAAGGAAAAACTATGAAGGATGACTCTACTGACAATCAGCCATTTGAAAAAGAAAAGGTCTATCAATGGATCACACAATTGACAAATATGGAAACTCGCGAAAACGCTCTTCTTGAACTTGGTAAAAAACGGGAAATTGTACCTGATCTGGCTACTATGCTATGGCATTCATTTGGTGCCATTGCTGCTTTACTTCAAGAGATTGTTAGTGTTTATCCAGCTCTCAACCCAGCAACTTTGTCTCCCCACCAATCAAACCGTGTTTGCAATGCTCTTGCATTACTCCAGTGTGTCGCTTCCCATCAAGAAACTCGAAGTGAATTTCTGGCTGCAAATATACCATTATTTTTGTATCCATTCTTGCAATCAACTTCAACATCTAAAACTCGACCATTTGAATATTTACGTTTAACAAGCCTTGGTGTGATTGGAGCTTTGGTTAAAACAGATGAACAACAGGTGATCAGTTTCTTGTTGGCTACAGAGATAATTCCACTTTGCTTGAGAATTATGGAAAGTGGAAGTGACCTTAGTAAAACTGTGGCCACATTTATTCTGCAGAAGATACTCTTGGATGAGACGGGTCTCAATTATATCTGTCAAACATATGATCGTTTCTCTCATGTTGCTATGATACTTGGAAAAATGGTTGTCTCATTATCCAAAGAGTCTTCACCTAGACTTCTCAAGCACGTAATCCGCTGTTATCTACGTCTAAGTGATAACCCAAGAGCTCGTGAGGCTCTACGCAATTGCTTACCTGCACAATTGAAAGATGATACCTTTCAAACTATACTTGATAATGATAAATCAAGTCGACAATGGTTGATTCAGTTGCTCAAAAATCTGGAACGAGAACCGGAACAATGAGTTGAGATCTCTTTTTTGAATGCTGATAAAATCAGATTTACTTTCGATGCTTTGACTCTTTATCGTGCTGGAAACTGCAAAATGATACTCAATGGATCGAATCATTGAGTTATTTTCATGTTCATTTCTTTAAAAAGTCATTAATAAATGTTATACATTATCCTATACATTTTCTGAATCAAGTTAACTCTCTCTAACATTTCATGACTTGATTCGAATGTTTCTTGAAATCAGTTAATATCATCAAGAATAAGTTTTAATTGGAGTTTTATAGATTTAAAATGAAATGAAATTCAAGTTGGATTATAAAAACACAACTTTTCTTCAATTTATGATGACTATCAAAAAAATTATTTTATTATTTCTGAATTTCTAGGAAGAGAAGAAAAGTTGCTTATTGAAACAGAGCTGGAATTGATTGTAAAAAATCAAAATTAAATGTAAGGTTATTACTAATCAACGCAAGCTTTCAAAGTTATATCCAATCTTTATAAAATGTCTGTATAATTAAAAACATTAATATTTAAATAAATCATATTTCTTCAAATAAACATTTCTTTGAATTACTTATTCTTTTAATGATAATTTAGTAAATGAGACATTGAATCGGCATATGTAATTAATTTTAAAGTACCAAGGATAAAAGGTTTTCCCAAGAAAACTGCACCCGCACCCGACTCTATTTCCTTGGTTGAATCAAAGTGTCAAAAACCTAGAAATAATCTCCGGGTCTTCAACAATCGACCCGAAGTTAAACAAGATTTTGCCGTTTGCAAAGGTCTCGATTTTTTGCATGAAGATCTCAGTGTACGTTTAATCGGATGGAATGAACTGTTGAAAATTCTCGGAGTGAAAAAGATTTTCCTTTATGAAATGGAAATCCATTCAAACATATCTAAAGTTTTACATTACTATCAAAACCAAGGAATCGTTGAATCAACTCCTATTACATTACCCGGAGATCAACCCAATTTACCCGGTTTCAGACATCTTTATCTTAAAGACAAGTTGACTGCTAAAAGACAAAACGAATCGATTCCTTACAATGATTGTCTCTATCGTAATCTCTATTCCTATTCATATCTAGCTTTGTTGGACATAGATGAAGTTATGCCCATTCAACACAACAATTGGTCGCAATTGATGGACGTTGAGGAACATGAATCGCTAAAAGAGAAAAATTATTCCAGAGCCAGTTATAATGTTCGTAATGCCTATTTTCTTGACGAACTTGGTGTTGGTGCACAACAGATGAAACACACTGGCCATGAGCCAGGAATACCTACCTATCTTCACATGCTTCAATATGTTTACCGATCTCGTAATTACACTAAACCTGGACAGTATGTTAAGTGTTTCTTTGAATTACTTATTCTTTTAATGATAATATAGTAAGTGAGACATTGAATCGGCATAGATAATTCTTAGCCATAATTTTTATGACGAAACATTTTGTTTGAATAAATGGCGATTAATGACGATAAAACAGATATCATTACATCCTTGTAAAGACGTAAAGAATATATGAATGATTATAAAAGTACAATAATCATTTGAAAAAAAGTTACATGAGGTTTGAATTTTTCCTTAATAATAGTTATTAGCTTGATTAAAACTTCAAAATATCGATCAGATATCTTCAAAGTATTTAAACAATAGGCATAATTAATGGTTACATAATTCAAGAGATGAAAAAGCGTTTTCAATTTTTGAAATGCAGGTCTTCTTTGATAAAGAAGATTTATAAAAAATTGGAGTGTATTGAAAGCAAAAAAAGATATTTTGATGAAAAATGTCGAAGTGAGATAGAATAAATTGAGCAGGTAAGTCATGGATAATACTTTGCAATGTATCACAATTTTATAAAGCAACCCAAATTGATTTGTTTTGCACCAATTTTACGTCTTTTAAGGTAGAGGAAATCAGCTCAATCTAATTTTAATTTCTTGATAAATCAATTTTATCCAATTTAAATGGATGCGAGCAAAAGATATTAAAAATGGTGCAAAACTCAATTTGGGGAACTGTATAACTCCAATTTTGACTGTGAATTTTCAAGAGAGTGAAAATAGTCGTTAAGCGCCTTTGACTACGATTTCTTTATGATTGGTCACAATGGGAGATGGTTCAAGTTTAACATTTCCAAATAATTGAGCCACGTCACGACCAAGGGACATAATTCCTCGAGCGCTATGCAAGTTGCACATTATTGCAATAACCATCTCCTTTTCTGGGATAATTACTAGCAAAGTAGTGCCCCCAGTAGCTGATCCTGTGTGATATATTACATCTTTGAAAGGTGGGACAGCTCCAGCGGCATGAAAAGGTTGAGCATTTCTTATTAATCCCCATCCAAGACCTGATTGAAATAAAGAAAGACTACGGTAAGGAACGAATGGAATTCAAGAAGAAATTTAAAATCAGAACACTTACCATATTGACACCATCTGAAAAGGTTTGGAGTTAATGAAACACGCCCGGTTCGAGATGGAGTCCACAATTCATCTACAGTTTCTTTTTTAAGGAAACCTACAAATAAGAAACTTTAAGTTAGCCAAAGAACTGTATACACAATACTACATACCTTTAGAATTTTCAGGAGGCATAAAACTATAAAGCATAACATTGCCAAAGTGAAGTAAATCAGGAACTGATGATAAAATACCTCCTCCAGCATATTTAAAACTATTCTCAGTGTAAGGTGCATTTTCCAAAGTTTGATTATCTCTAAAGTATTGTGCGGCTCTATTAAGTATGATCGGTGTACTGTCATCTAAATATGTATGAGACATTCCAAGAGCAGTGCGACAAACATCATTGATCAAGTATTGACCAAATGATTTACCATTTGGTAAAACTGATTCAATGGCAGCAGCAATTAAAGTGTAGCCAAATGTAGAGTAGTTAAATTTTGTTCCTGGTTTAGCAACAAGATCATCATAGGCAAAAGTTTCGAGAGCGTCTGTAGCTGAGTAATAATGCTTGTAAAAATTATAAGTTTCGTCCGGTGAATTGTAATGACGAATGCCAGCTAAATGACTAGCGATTTGTCGGATGCTCATCGTAACTTTACGTCCATCAAATTCTTTTTCAGGAAACTTGCCACCAACATATTCATAGATATTTTTATCTAAATCCAATTTACCCTCTTCAACAAGTTTAGCAACACCTAGCATAGTTAAGGGCTTAGATAAACTTGCAATTCTCATAACTGTATCCTTGGTACATCGTGAAGCAGCTTCAACATTAGAGAATCCAAAACCTTGTACCCAACAAGGCTTACCTTTAATCGAGACACCAACAACAAGACCAGGATAGCCATTCACAGCCATGGCTTGCTGGGCAAGATTGCGAGCTGCACGAGTCGCTTGAACCAAAGATAATGCAGCATCATTTCCTTGGAATAGATCAGGAATTGCTGAAATTGTATCCCTTTTGGTTTTAATTAGATCAGTTACTAATATAGAGTCCGAAACCTTTTCTTCTGCTGTAAGCTGTTGATTAACAACAAATCCAAGACCTGTAACAGCTGATGCACCTAAGACTACAGCTTTTAAGGCTTTTGATTTAAAAAACACCATTATAATTTATCAGAAAGTAACTTTGGCACAACAATAATCAATTTGCACAGACAAAGGTAGTCAAATAACTTGCAACTAGTAAGCTACATGGATCGCGTTACAGAAAAGCTTTTAAAACGAATCTTTTAAAAATCTCTTTGTTTATAAAAAAACAAGTTGACGCTTGAGCTCTGGAAGCCAACAAAAAGTCCACCAAATTTGAATTTTCATGCCATTTTTTATGTTGTTTGTTATTGGTAAAATAAACAGAGATTCGTATAAAATACTGAGTTAACTGGATTTTTCTTATAAATAGAAAATATTCAAGCAGTTGATAATAAAATAATGACGATAGAAAGTCAATTTCAGCAGCAAAATCAGGATAAAAGAATGATCCAGTTTGAAAATTCGACACCGCTCATTCATATTCACAATTTATATTATTTTCGATTGAATTGTTGGAGCTGATTTCAGTTGACCTGGATATTTGGAAAAAATGAATCTAGGAGATTTGTCGGATACTTTTCCATAAGCCAAACACATGGTAGGAGTATTATGAACCCAGATTAATTCATTCGTATTTCTTTGAGCATCATGAATCACAGTGATTAATCCAGCTGATTTTGCAGTTTTAACACTTTTCAAGAATGGAGAATCTGAAGAGAAATTGAAAAGGATAATCAGAAACAAGAATTTTAAAGATTTAGAGAATTGAAATACCGGTAAATTTTGTGCTAAACAGATGTGTAAATTGTTCAACCAAATCATCGGCAGGGTTAAGTAGAAGATGAGAAGCACACTCTTTAGCAAATAGAGTTTTAATTAAGTATTCACCACTGCCAGATGTGCTGATTCCTATTGAATCCTGAGCCCAGCAACCTGCACCATAAGTAGCAGCCTGACCAACTCTACCAGGCACTTTGAAAAGTATTCCACCAGAAGAAACACCAGCAGCTACGTGGCCTTGTTTATCTACAGCAACTGCACCAACTGTATCTAAACGCCTGAATTTAATAGGTACGCTTATGTCATCTCGATCAATCTTGTGGCGTAATTTGTTGTATACTGATCGGGTTTGCTCTGAAAAATATTGAAAGTAAGATTCGATTGTAAGAAATGGACAAATTTTCTAAGACTTGAAATTTCAGTGGATATTTATACGTATTACATTGAGATATACACTGAAATATATTCTCACCTGTCTCTAGATTTGCAGTGATTAAACCTCGACTTTCTGCCCAACGCTTAGCAGCTTCTCCTACTATGATATTAGGTGGAATCAATCCATAAGGATTTTCGACTGTTTGTTCTTCAAGTAGTAATTGGCTGATCTTAATAGGATTTTTTATCCCTGGAACAGCTCCAACACCGCTCCATAAAAGACGATGTCCATCCATTAAACTGGCATCACATTCAATGGTCCCATCTCGGCAAAGGTTTGAGCCATATCCACAATTAGTGCTTGGATCATCTTCCATGGCCATAATGGCTCGAGTTACTGCATCGATAGCAGGTAAATTGTCGTTTAAAGCTTGTAAGCCAGCGTCACAAGCTGCTTTACAAACGTTTTCATGAGTACTTCTTTTAGATTCGAGATGAATTCCAGCGCCTATTTGAATAGAGCAAGACAGCAATCAAAATAATGTAAGTCAATTGATAGATTGAGATTTGTATAAACTTCCTACCGGCATGAACAGCAATCATGGTCAAAAACGTTGCTCTTATTCAAGTCTTTGTGTAAGAGACGGATAAAACCAATGAAAATTAGATTCAAGACAAAGACATTTGATTTAAATCAAATGTCAACAAGGTGAGTGTAATTGGATAAAGACTTCATCAAAGTCATTAAATATTAAAATAACCACACTTAATTAAGATAACATAATTAGAGTATTTGAAAATGAAACATCACGAAAAATGATTTGAGAATCAAGAATGAAAGGAAAAGGTGAGTTGTTAATTTGAAATTGAATCAGCTGTTTCATAGCGGGAAATCGTTCAAATGTAATCTCGTACAGATAAAGGATTAATTGAATGATACATAAGCTCAAGATTATTAACACCGAGTTTCCAGTATTTCATCAATAACATACACTCCTGATAGGATATTAATCATTACTTCAACATAATGTTCTATATACGTTGAAATCATAGACAGTCATTAATAGCCGAAATTTGAATTAATAGTTAACGCGTTTTCTGAATTTTTATAGCAATTACTTGAAGCATCATCCCATTTTCCCTTCATCAAAATTATTTCAGACTCGAAAATTGATGATAAATGTATACTTGAATGCAGCATGAAATAAAGTAATAAGCTTGTTAGTAATTAAATAAAGTTTTAAAATTTATTTCTAATGATAACGATACCAATACTTTGAGTTGAAAGATACATTTGTATAATTTATATTTGAACGATGGGATTATGGGAATCACCAAAATCTTGTTTAATCGTCATCAAGAAATTCCTGTTAATTAAGCATATTAGTAATGTTAAATGTAAATAATGTTTATAAGCATTTCATGCTAGGAATTCAATTTACCTGATTAGTTTCTCCTACTTTACATTGATATTTTACGGTGTGGCATTTTTTGTGTACAACACAGTAACAGACTTCAATTAAATAAATATAAGAAATTATTTATTAATTTATTTACACCAATATGTACATCAACATCTTACCTTTGCATTGATATCCTTGTTTAACAATACCATAAAGGAGCCCATGACAATGAGAGCACAAAGTTGGTGAAGTAAACGAAGTAGCTTTGAATTGATGACCGTTAACTGAATGAATTTTACTTGGCATGATTAACTTGACAATTAGACAGACACTTGTTTGTTAATAAGTGAATTACAGTAGGTTGAAAGGTTGTGTAAAACTAGAAGAAGATGGTTCAACTGTCTGCTCAAAACTAGTAACTTAATAAACAGCTTTTGGATGCTCAACTATAACAGTTTCAGTCATCTAGCGATGTAACAGTAAGAGCTTATATAATGAGACTCTCTTGGAATAGCTTAAATTTAGTCTAGATTACAGCCGGATATTGTTATATCATGATATGATAACTGGCTAACCTTGGTGCTCAATGGATGAAGTTGTATTGAAGTTGAAAATGAATTGCGTTGTGAGCAAATCACACATTGAATCCTATTTTATCGTCTGAAGTTATAAAATCAAGTGATCATTTCATAAATACACACAACATTGATCCGGTTCAATTGATGAATAGTGACAACTAATGAGTTTAATCTCGTCCATTGATAATGAATCCAATTCAAAAGTATTATTATTCGAACCCCATCGAACTTTATCTTCTTAAGTTTATCAATGTATTAAGATAAGGCAATGTAATGTTTACCTTTTCTCAACGAGTTTTTGCCATACCCGGATCTAAAGCGTAATCACTGAGAATGACATCGCTCAAAATGATGATAAATATATGCTTTAGTGTAGTATCAAAGAAAGTAATAAGCTTAGTAGTTAAATAAAGTTTTGAAATTTATTTCTAATAACGATACCAATACTTTGAGTTGAAGGATACATTTGTCTAATGTACATTTGAACTATCGATTTTGACGTCAATTGGATATTTGTATAAAAAATGACTAATTTCGCTCAAATTGGTTCACTCAACCAATATTTGAATAACCTTTGAAGAGATGGAATAATCATAACCAACTCCAACAGAGTTAACCCAAAATTGGTCAACATTGAGCCGTTTAATCCCCTAAAAAGTATTAAAGGTTGAAAAATAAAATAAAATAGATAATTAGATTCTTATTATCTCAGTTGATGGTTCGATTTCGATCTAGTTGACTTACCCAGCGCAAATATATTCATAAACAGTATCATCATTAAAATCTTCAGGTTTTATGCTCTTATTACAACAATAAGTACAAATAGTCTTCTCGGTTCCATATCCTGATTGAAAGCAACTTGGTGTACAAGAGGTAGCACATCGCCTTTCAATTGCCGTGAAAACGTCGTTAATTGTGACCAATTCATAAGCACACAATGTTGTATCAGAAGGACAAACTGTTAGATACTTGGCTTCAGCATCAGAAACATTAACAGCTGGATTAATACAAGTATCCTTAAAGTTTATTCGTTTATTTGAATAATCAGCTAAACACACCAAACAATGGTATTTATTTTTATAATCGGGTTTCTTTTTCTTAGGTCTTGGCTTCTTCTTAACCTCTTTACTAGGAACAGCACCTTTTAACATCGAAATTTGAACACAAATGAAAAAAAATTATATTAGTTGAGTGGAGTTATTGATTCTTAACTTACAAACTCACCTTCAATTGAAGATATCAATTCAATACAGATGAATGTAAGGGTAAGATAGACACTTCCAGTAATCAGATTCATTTTGTTTGGTACATTTTAATCCTTGTTTGTATTGAAATATTGGAAATTTTGATCTTTGCACAATGAAATACGAGGGCTTAATAAAAATCTAGAGTGACATGAGAATTGACCATAAACATTTCAATGGGTATAAATGACCTTTATAATCAGTCAACCATTAATTTACCTGGTTAATGCACGACCGATTTCTGGTTACTCATAGGGGTTGGTAAGCAATTAGCTCCTATGGTCAATTGACATTGGTTTAACTTCCAAGAATCATAAATAATCAATTGATTTGCATGTTTAACTAAATTTACTTTCCATCTTCTCCAACTCCTTCAATTGTCACACAATTTTTGTTTTGCAATTAATATTCTCAGTTTATGAATTAGATATACTCTTGATTTATTTTTTTATTGTGCAGTGGATAAACTAAATGCATGAAACATTAGGAAAGTAATGAGCTAATTCAGTAAAGAAATGATATAAAAGATAAAACCCAACGAATAATATGGATAACAAATGCATTTGAATTTGTAATACTCTAGATAATTTTTTGGGTTTTATTTCTCTACAATTGACTATACAGTAAATTGCTATGGACATTGAAAATACGAAAAGATATACAAATAATATAATCATTTATATTTGAATTTAGATTGAAAATTCAATTATGTTTAGAGATAACTGCATCACATCGATGACACAGATCATTCGGTAGCCTTGAAAGATAACGGCGACACCTTGGACATGATGATTTGTTCGTTTTATTTAACAATATTGTAAATGGTATGGACTCTTCACAGGAAATTTTGATATCAGCTTCCACAGATTCCAAATCAATCGATTGGGATAATTTGACTTGAGATAGTTGAAGGATTTCTGATAATTGTTGTTCCAAATTGTCACTTGATGATTCGCTAGTCTAAATAAATAAATTTCAAGATAAATGAGAAAACAATTATTAGTATTGGACTTGATGAACAAATAGAGTCATTAAATTTTACTCAAAAGACAAAATTTATGCAAATTATTGAGTAAATTACTATAATTATAGATTGCAAGCTTTAATACCTTTAAAGTTTCGTAATCAGATTTTCGGTGGCAAATTATTGTAGCTGTAAATGGTTTACCGAAGTGTTTATTGTCTTCGGTCTCATTATCAATTGATTCTTTTATCAGTCTGATGATTCCCATGATCAATGAAACTTGATCATTTTTCCATATGGATGGACATTCAAACCACCCATCTAATAAACAACTTGCAGCTAGAATTGAAGAAATAAAGAGTTAATAACATGCGCTGATATCAATTAGAATACATTTGTATTTACCTTTGTTGTCTTTTTTCCGGATAATATTGATTTCTTCAAAAAGAAACGGAATTATTGGACTTAGAAAATTGTTGAAAGTTTCCAGGAAATAATAGATAACTGATTGACAAGAACTTCGACCAATAGAGTCCAAAGGATCGCAATAAAGACTATGATAATTACAAGATTACAGGATTAAAGATTCGTTCATTCAATCAGGAAGGGTTATCAGTAATAATTATTACTTACCTATCTTTGACTATTTTGAGATAAAAAGAAGAGAAATCGTCTATGAATGAAACAGATTCGGTTATAATATTTCGAAAATCATTATCGTTGTAATTTTTCTGGCAAGATTGATTAAAGGACCAAAGTTGATGCAACATATATTTATTGATTAAATTAAGCTTTGAATAATCTAATTTTCCTGGAGAATCAAAGCCACGTAATGATCCAAGACAAAACTTGAAAATGTTTCGAAACTGAATAAAACAGAAATGATAAAAATTGAGAGTTGATAGTTTATAAAATAAATACACACAATAGTCATTTACCTTTAGCATCAAAGTCATAGTTGTCTTCAATTTTTCGTCATCTACTTTTACATTTCCATGATGGGATCCGTAACGGGCAACAAATAATCGCATAACATCAGAACCATATTTTGATTCTATTAAAGGTAAAGGATCAATAACATTCCCAACTGATTTAGACATTTTACGGCCATCTCCATCGACAGCAAATCCATGAACATAAACTGATTTATAAGGAGCAAGATCGCGTAGGGCAATACTCAATATAAGTGATGTTTGAAACCAGCCATGACATTGATCAACCCCTTCGAGGTAGATATCAGCAATCTTATCACCGGCTAAGACAGAATTCCAAGTCATTCCACTGTCAAACCAAACATCAAATATATCACGTCCTGCCACAATTTCCTCTTTATTGACTCCGAAAGATTTGCAGACTTGATCTGGGATCAATTCACTTTCGGGGGAACTCCACCAAATTTCAATTCCATTTTCTTTTACTTTATTAATGAGGTAGTCAATAGATTCAGATGAGACGATGGGTATTGATTTATTAACATCTTCTTTCCGATAAAACACAGGGATCGGAACTCCCCAAACTCTTTGTCTTGAAATGCACCACGGAGGTCTTGTACTAATTTCATCACAGATCTTATTTTGTATTCCCGAAGGGAAAAAGTTCACTGTTTTCAACTGGGATAAACATTTATCACGGACTTTACCAACATCAATGAACCATTGCTGGCTAGTCTTGATTATAACAGGTTTACCACTTCTCCAGTCATAAGGGTAACTATGAACGAAATCTTCTTTATGAACAATTTCATCTTTCAAAAGATTCATGACTAAGCTCGATCCTCCCTCTAAAACTGATTTGCCATCTAATTCAGAGTGAAGTCCAGAAACAAAGTTGCCATTATCATCAACTATACAATTATTGATTGATAATCCATTTTTCTTTGCAATATCAAAGTCTTCTCGCCCATGATTGGGAGCACAGTGAACAAGTCCAGTTCCTTTCGATGAAGTAACATACTCGGCACTTAAAAAAGGTAGATACTGTTTTGAATCAAGTCTCATTGGATGTGAATAGGATAGTTTAGATAACTCTTCATTGCATATTGTTCTTTCCACAGACAATGGTGTTCCTAACTTGCTCTGAAGATCCAATAAATTTTCTTTGGCTATGATAAAATATCGGGATAATTCAGAAGCAAATACGATAATATACTCTATTTTAGGAGAGAAGGCAATAGCTTGATTTGCAGGTAAAGTCCATGGAGTTGTGGTCCAAATAAGAGCATAAATATCATGATTTGTTCTCAGGGTTAAATTGTGATTGACTTTAAATTGGAAGAATATTGAAGGGCTGGTATGGTTTGTGTTGTATTCAAGTTCTGATTCAGCTAAGGTTGTCTTATTGGATGGGGAGAAATAGATGGGCAGAAAACTTCTGTGAATGAGCCCTTTCTGATACAGCGTTTTAAATGCCTGTAGCTGGTTTAATACAAATTCATTAGAGAATGTAGTGTAAGGATTGTCCCAATCAGCTGCGATTCCCATCCTTCTGAAAACTTTGATTTGTTCATCTATTGCCGACTGGGCAAATTTCCTAGCTAGACGTGAGAAGATAATTAGCAAAAATTAGTCAACAGACCTTTCAAATAAATTCACATGCCATACCTTTTTGACGGATTTCTAACGGATCTGTTGGAATAGATTGGCCTTTTTCTTTGTAAACTTTGAGCTCAATAGGTAATCCATGACAATCCCAACCAGGGATGAAGTTAACCTTGTAGCCTTGCCGTATTTTATATCGGCATATTATATCTTTAAGTGTCTAGAAATTAGAAAGAAATTAAAAAATGACCTTTCGAAAATATGAATAAGAAATAAACCAAACCTTGTTAATGACATGACCAAAATGTAAAGATCCATTCGCGTATGGAGGTCCGTCATGGAGTACGAATAATTTATCAGATGGTCTACCATTTTGATCTCTGTAAAGATTGTAAAAGCAAGGTTTCTGCAAATAATTGTTTTATCATTTTTTGTACTCGAATGTCGTGATTTTAATAAAATAATCAGTTAATAATACTCACCTCAAGCAAATCTACTTCTGATTTTGGTGCTTTTCTACTTGGTAGATCACTTGCTGGAATAAACACTGTTTTTGACCATTTCTTTGCTGATACACTCGAACAATAACTTCGTGATTTAAATAAATTCAACCACTTAATTAACTTGATTGGTCCACTGTAAACATTTATCATTGCGATTAGTCAAACCGCAATAGTAAAAAAACCATGTGTTACATTGGATAACAACATATGAATGTCACGTGAGTAAATAAAGCAACAACCGTTGCTAATGTAAATAACTTGATAAGGCCTGGTTTACTCTGAGTTTTTCTGATTTTTCAATCGAAAGTTAATTCAAAGATAATTTTAATAATCATTTTGTAAGAATTTTATTAATTTAAATTTGATACTTGCCTTATAACCCCTTCATTTTTATGATTTTTATATGCTTTTCCCAGAATTATCCGTTGACGAATTTCGTCTACAAATATAATTTGAACTAATTTGTGAAGTTATTTCGTTACTTTTATTTAATAAGTTTTATCTGCGCTATTTGAATGCTCAACATTTTTAAGGATAACTAATGAATTGGATAATCAATTCTCAATCGGATTACTTTTTAAGGTATTTATTTTTGTTTTCAAATATATCGTAAGATCTAATGCTTGTAAAATCTGGATGCCTCTTTATAACATTAAAATTATTGAAGATATTTTTTATCAACACCTTCTGAAGAGTGAGTGTATTGTTGTTGTTTCCAGTTTTAATCTAATATCAACGGTATCGTATTTTCTATAAGTTAATCGACAATTACTGTCTATTTAATTAACAGTGTTTAACACAGTAGCATAGTAACTAAATGTAAAATTACAACTTATATAAAAGTTACATACTGTTAGCAAATCAATATGGTGATAATTTATCTCATAAAGTCTTGTTAACATCTTGAATTGTTTACAGATTCTGGTTTTAATGGTTTATATTCATCACATACTGTGAAATTACTTATATTATAGCTGGTATAACTAAAGTAAGTTGATTTTAATCACACAGCTTTGAAAATAAATCATATCTTGTATCTAATTGTTACTAATCTTCAATTCTTTTTCTACATTGTTTTTCTCAAATTAGTTCAACCATTCTATCGATAACTCTAGTATTTCAGTGATCACAAAGACCCATCATGACTAGCTTCATTGCTGCTCGATTAAGTCCTTGTAGTCTTAATATAATAAACGTGTCTGGACGATGGAGTTCATTAATTTCTATTCGTCGTTCCCTATCTTACAACCACAAAGACATTGAAAATGCCCATACCAGAAAAAGGTTCGTCTTGAAATCACCCTGTTCATCCCACTTGTTTACTATTTCATTTCTCTATTTCAGCAGTACACAAACTGGCCTTATATTTGATGCCTCCATGGTTGACCACAAATGTCTTTGGGATGAAAATTTTCCAGAACGCCCAGATAGATTTATACGCATTCTAGAAAAAATGCAACAGTTAAGCTTAGTTGATCGATGCAAATTATTGCAGGTATAGATTTTCAAATTAACTCATTTTCTTCTATCAAGTATCAATGATACATGGTTTATCTTTCAGCCACGGCTAGCCTCAAAGAAAGAAATACTTTACATTCACACTGAAAATCATTATGAGCAAATGAAAGCTACTGAAACGATAACTGATCCAGCTGAACTGGAAGAATTGTCATCTAAATATGATTGTGTTTACTTTCATCCCAAAACCAACCAACTTGCATTATCAGCTGCTGGCTCTACAATTAATTTAGTAGATGCTGTATTAAAGGACGAAGTTAAAAATGGATTTGCTTTGATTCGTCCACCAGGCCACCATGCTTTTGCCGATAAACCTTGTGGTTACTGTTACTACAATAATATTGCCCTTGGTGCTGCTCATGCAATTAATGATCATGGATTAGAAAGAGTTTTAATTGTTGATTGGGATGTTCATCATGGACAAGCCACCCAATTTTCATTCGAAGACCAAAACAAAGTGCTTTACTTTTCAATGCACAAATATTTAAATGGATATTTCTGGCCTAGACTCATTGAATCAAACTATACCCATGTTGGACGTGGTCCCGGTAAAGGTTTCAATATAAATGTTCCTTTAAACTCTGAAGGCCTAACTGATTCTGACTATCTTGCGATATTCCACAACATTTTGCTTCCTGTTGCTTACGAGTACAATCCACAGCTGATACTTATTTCGGCTGGATATGATGCAGCAATTGGATGTCCATCAGGCAAGATGTTACTTTCTCCGGCTTTGTTCTCCCATTTGACCAATCAATTAATGACTCTTGCTGATGGAAAAGTTTGTGCGATTTTAGAGGGTGGCTATTGTCTTTCATCACTTGCTGATGGAGCTGCACTTACTTTACGTACTCTTCTTGGTGATCCATGCCCTCCTTTACCCGATTTACATAGGCCTTCGAAACTCAACGAATCAACTGTCAACTCTATCTTGGATACTATCTGGGCTTTGAAACCTTATTGGAAGTCATTGAGAATCCAAGAGGAATTTAAAGATTCAGAAAAACAAACCAATGCAAATGAGACTCTTCGTTATATTCCTGATGTTGAAAATAGTGGAAAATTATCTTCAAACAAAACTAGAGAGAAATATTGGACAAGAAATTTTTATCCTATTCATGATGCTGAAACTTTCATTAAATTGGAATCTGAAATTCAACAGTTACGAGATTTAACTGATTTAACTGTACCTCCAACAAAAACTTGTATTGCAGTTAATTTTGATGTCAATCGACATCATGATAAAAACCCAAATCATCCAGAAAGTCCTGCCAGAATCTTGAGCATCTATGAAGGGCTCAAAAAAAGTGGTCTTTTAGATGATTGCGCGATTATTGAAAGTAAACGTTGTGCAAAAGACGATGAGCTCCAGTTGATTCACTCTGAAAAGTTTATCAAGGAAATTGAGTTACTAGAAAACATGGAACAAGAACAGATTGAAGTTTTTGTGGATCCCCTTGAAGTTTCACCAACTTATTTGAATAAAAATACAAATCAAGCAGCTCGGCAAGCGGTTGGTACCTTACTTGAAGTTACTGATCAAGTTTTAACAAACAAATGTCAGAATGGTTTTGCTATCATCAGACCTCCAGGTCATCATGCAGCTAAAGATAACGTTTCTGGTTTCTGTATTTTTAGTAACGTTGCCATTGCAGCCAAATATGCAATCAAAAAATATAATCTTAAACGAGTTATGATACTGGATTGGGATGTTCATGCTGGAGATGGAACTCAATCAGTTTTAAAAAATGACCCAAATGTGCTTTTCTTTTCCCTCCACCGTCATGATTCTGCCTCATTTTTCCCTTATCGCACCGATACTGGATTAAAAACTGAATCCAATATCATCAACATTCCATGGAATGGAGGATCAATGACAAATTCTGATTACATCTTAGCATTTAGCAACATTATTCTTCCAATTGCCTATGAATATAATCCAGAGATTGTCTTTGTTTCATCAGGATTTGATGCAGTCAAAAATGATCCTCTTGGGGAGTACCAATTAGATCCAGCAATTTACGGTCATTTCACTCACCTTCTTGGTGGACTCGCAAGGGGCAAATTGGTTATTGCTCTTGAGGTTAGCTTTCGATTTTAATTTGAGTTATTATTACCTTTTGTGTGATACTAAATGCTAATCAAATTGTTTCCTTCTTTTTCTTAGGGTGGTTATAATCTGACTGAAATCACTAATTCAGCAAAGCATTGTGTTTCAGCTTTAACTGGAAAGTCTCCTAAATCATTGGAAGAATCGAGTATCAATGAAAATGCTATAACAACCATTCGAGAAGTCATCAATTATCATTCGCACAAATATTCATCTTTAGCTTTCAATATCCAACTACCTGAAAATAAAATGATTTGATCTCTTGATCAAATACACTCGTTATTAAACTTGTTATATAAAATTGCAAATCCGAGTTAATGATTAAAGATCTAATAATAACTTTTGTAAGAAACCCGTATTTTTGGCTTACCTGAATTTCATTTAAAAATAAACACGAGTTTTCATTTTACTGTTATTGGATTAAATTGTTGGTTTATTTTGAGTAATTTTTTGCATTAATATCAATATTTAGAAGATTAATATAGATTTACATAATGGAAGGCTTAAAGCATCAATAAAATGGCTACAAATTTTGATAAAAGAAGGAATGAATCATTATTTGGAAGACCTTTCAATGAATTTAATGCACTCAATGCATAACAGTTTTTCATCTCTCGAGTCAATTCAATTGCTTCACCAGAACGGATCAAGTGATACAATTGTTTTTGATTCATTTGAGTAAAATCTGTATCAATGAAAGTATCCTGGCTTGATAAAAGGTGCATCAACAAGGGGGTTGAATTAGGATCAAATAAGTGATTGTCTTGGTTATTTGTTGTCGGAGGGAATGGATCGAGGAAAGGTTTCATTTCATTAGCTAATTGCCAGGCTAGACCGAAATTTAGACCAAAATTGTAGGCTGAAGATTGAACCTTTGAGCTTTTATTGGCCAAGACAGCAACTGACCGACAACTATTAGCCATGAGCGACCCATAAAGCTTAAAATTACGCTTCTCCCAACTTTCAACTGTATAATCGTGAATAGATTCACTTTCCCTGATAAACTGACCTTCCATCAAGTTAGATATACTTGAAGCCATTAATTCAACGACCGGTGTGTTTTTCAATTCACACAATCCATTCCAAACACTGGCCAGTAAATAATCACCTGATAAAATGGACATCTTGTTACCAACCACAAGTCCATTATTGCCAGTCAAATATGAATTGAGATTGAGGACACTTCTATGGATATAATAGGCTGAGTTGATTAATTCAATCATTTCAGCAAGTAAACATTGACTTCGAATAATATTTGAATGATTTGTGGTCAACTTATCTGAATTGGGTCCAAACGCCTTAGCTAATAACAACACAACTAGTGTACTTGTTGAAATCGAGTTGCCTTCTGCCATCAATCGCCTAAAAATTAGTTCACAACAGTTAATGAGATAATTTCAAAAGGCTTCTTCCATGTAAATTTCAATTTCATTCCTACTTACTTTGCTGTTTTGAGAAGAGGATGATTAGTTCCAGCCAGTTTCTTTAATTGTAAAGTCACATTGGTAATCTCTTGATTATCCAGGTATTTTGAATTAAACTGAGTCGTTGAATAGTGAACGAGCTTTTCCCCTTCACAGCACAATTTACTCCATTGGTCATCAAAGGTTGCTGAACTAAAAACATTTTGCCAGTTTTCGGTTGGATTGACTTTTAGGTTTGATGTGGTTTTTGGTGTAAATGTTGGTGTAATCTGTGGAGTGACTGAGGCCAGAGGTGAATAATTGTAAGTATTGTAAAAACGTCGAAACACTTTATAACACGGTATTAACTTCATCTTGATTCAGCTGTGTTTATTTAGATACTATTCATTTATATTGATCATCACTCATCTAACAGTTGCAAGTAAAATAGTGAAGTGAAAACGGTTTGTTATGATGGCAAGGAGTCGATGAGTTTGAAGGAGTTTAGTTGACAATCAGGTTACAATTGAGGGCAATTAAACCATAACTGAACAAAAATGTAGGCAATTTATTGTGGTTGCTGTTTTAATCTCAGTTCAAGTCCGGTTCTTATAGTGATCATCTTCTCGCCCATTTTGTTCACTCTTGATATACACTCTGTTAACAATCAGTGAAGCAACAGTTTAAAGTTGAATAATGGCTACTCCATTGAAAATTATTAGAGCAAAATCACTGAAATTGAAGCAAATTTTCAAATTAACTGTCAGCTTTATTTGCATAACCTGACTTTCATCTTTAATTTTATTTAATTTTCTTTAATTAATATCTTGAAATGCCCATCGAGTCTTAATTTTAATCAAACTTTATATTAATGCATTGGATGGAATCTTGTCGATCAATAGTTTGGTCTTCTTCACAGTAGATAGAGTGAGCTACTTATCAAATACCGTGGACTATCAACTATCCAAACAGCTTTTTTGTTTCGAGTTTTTATTTTCTATTATTAATTGTATTTAATTGTGTCTTTTTATATTTAATTATAGTGTGAACTGTTAAAATAAGTATTAGAATGACTGAAGACGACGAGTTTTTCTTTGAAGAGGATAAACTGTAAGTAAAAAGCCAATAATGGTTATTATTATAGAAATATTAATGTAAAAAACATGAACGGATTTCTTGTTTTAGCATATTGATGCAGATTTTCAAATCATTTCAAAATATTTGATGTATTTTAAACTGATTATCTTTATTCATCTTTATTCATCATGTCAATTATGCAAAATTGTATTTCAAATAAATGAAGTTTCAAGTTATAGAAGATGAACAACTAGACTCTCTTTCCTAGCTTGTTTATTGTTGTCCTATTCAATGTAGTTTTGATTGTGCATGATTTTTTTAATATATTGATTTCAATTGTTACAAATTATTCAATTTAATCCTTAAATTCTTATTTATACTTCAGGGGAATGAGAGTAACATCTGGAGTGGTCAAGATTGACAAGGATGAAAACAACCTGATAGGGATTTCAATTGGAGGTGGTGCACCTAATTGTCCATGTTTATATGTTGTCCAGGTAAAATTTGAATGAATTTCAGCCATTTCTGGTTAATTTTTAATAATCATTCAACTTTATTTTTCCAGGTTTTCGATGAAACTCCAGCATCAGCAGAAGGAACTCTCGAGTCAGGTGATGAGATTGTCTCTGTAAATGGTGTCTCTATGAAAGGAAAGACAAAAGTTGAAGTTGCCAAAATGATTCAATCTGTTAAAAGTCAAGTCATCATTAACTATAATAAATTGCATGCTGATCCAAAGCAAGGTAAATCGTTGGACATCATCTTAAAAAAGGTGAAACATCGAATGGTCGAGAATATGAGTTCAGCCACTGCAGATGCTCTTGGGTTGAGTCGAGCTATCCTTTGTAATGGTAAATAGAGATCCTAATATCATAATAGCTACCATTACTGATTCAATTTCATTCCCCATTGAATTTTCTTTACACAAACAGACAGTTTGTTGAAAAAGCTGGAAGAGTTAGAAAAGATGGAAGAAATGTACAGAGGAATTATTGATCACATTTTATCCTTATTGAAAAGTCACATTGATATGTGCCAGGTTTATAAAGGTAAGTTTCAATAATAAGCTTATCTAACCATAATTATATTCCTAATGTTATAAAATCTTTATCAAACAGCATTTGGTGATGTATTTGCTGAAATAGGAGTCCGAGAACCAAATCCATCAGCAAGTGAAGGATTCAGTAAATTTGGCGAAACCCATAGAACCATTGAAAAACAATCGATTGAAATGCTACAAAATATTAAACCGGTAAATTGCAAGATGGCTAACTTGCTTGATTGTATTTTAATCGACTCAATTTATCTTCAACAGGTTCTCAATGATCTTCACACCTTTTTATATAAAGCAGTTCCGGATACAAAATTAACAATTAAAAAATATGCCGACGTCAAATTTGAATATTTGGTAAGTTGAAGTGATACCGATTTGGATTGTTTCCTAATTACGCTAATCTTGCAAATCCATTTCCTTGATTATAATCCAAGCTTGAATAAATAACTTTTTTGTTTTTTACCTTTCTTTGAACAGTCTTATTGTTTAAAAGTAAAAGAAATGGATGACGAAGAATATCAATACCAAACATTACAAGAGCCACTTTATCGGATCGAAACTGGCAACTACGAGTATCGATTGGTTTTAAGATGCCGTCAAGATGCTAGGAAGCGTTTTGGTAAACTCCGTTCTGATGTTTTGGAAAAATTGGAGCTTCTTGACCAAAAACACGTCCAAGATGTCGTTCTTCAACTTCAACGTCTCATCTCTTCATTTGGTAAACTTCACATTGAATGTCATTCATTGATAAAGGACAATTTAATATCACCGATTGAGGTTGATTTATCAAATACTTGTACATTTACATATCCTGAACTTGGGGTAAGTCCATACCAGGATGATGTCGAAGAAGAAGATGAAGGCGAAGAAGCCATGCCTGAACTACTTGGAGGATTAACATTGGATGATGATCCACCGGCCGCAATGCGAACAAAATCTTCCAAAAAACTTGAAGAAATTGATCTTCTAAGTATTGATTGAAAAAATCCAAAGACCAATTTAAATAAATAAGTCATCTTTAATACTATCAAGTGATTAATTTAACCACAAGTTTAATATAAAAGTCATTTCATTGTCTTTATGCTAAATTCGTTCTTAGCTTGTTTGATTTACATGAGCTAAATTGCATTACTCAATGAGTAAACATTTTCAAAAGTACTGGGTAATATATTGGTTGAGTTTGACTGTAAAGCTGACAAAAATTCATCTGAAATATTCACATACCCAAGAAGTTTGAAGACATCCTGACAATATTCCTGAACCTCTTCAATTTTATCTTTTGTCATTTGTTTTACCCATTGATTTACAACTGTTTTTGAATGTTTAATCACAGAGTATTTGTCACTTTCACTGGCATTTTCAGTGTGAGAATGTAAATAGACTTTCAATTTATCGGTAAATGGTAAATTCAATGATTTGTAAAGCTTTTGTACTGTTTCTTCAGGCTTCATGGAGATATCTTCATGACGGATTACAGACAATTTATTTGGATACAGTTTAACTAGTCGACTATAAGTATTGATATCTTCCCTCATTTGCTGACAAATACTTTTTGGTTCAATACATTCAGGATCAGATGAACACCAAAGGAATTGAGTCCTTGAATTGAACATTGCGCGAGGATCTCGCACTAAATAGATGACATTAAAATCAATAAATGGATCCATTGAAAGCATACCTAGTTGAAGAGCACTCATTGGTAACCGAACAGTTTTTATTACTCGATTTTTCAATGGTAAGCATAACTTGGTTAAATTTTGTGGCGAAGATGGACAAACAGTTTGATAACGATTTAGACAAACTGGAAACAGCCAGTTCATCCATTTATAATTCCAACGATGTATCTCGGTTCTATTTAAATTCACGGAAGGTCCAACATCAAATTGACATTGAAAATAATTTTCAATTATGTAGAGAGCTTCGTCAATTTCATCGTTATTGATGCGTTTCGATTTAGTGAACAATTGCAATGGCTCATAAATGTAGCATGTATGTGCTGCTTGTTGTATAATGTCACCTAAGAATGATGAACCACTTCGATAGTAACCTAATATTAAGACGTATTTAACTAGTTTCCTTGAATTAAATTTTCTCGAGTCTGGAAAGGGACGAATCGATCAGTTACACAATAATCAAGCTGTTTAGTAACAAAAAAAAACGAAAGGCGATCACAAAAAATTGACTTACGTTCAACTTGTAGGATTGACATCCAATAGAACAAGAGAGCAAAGCCGATCAAAAGGGTAACCTTAAAGAAAAAAAATCTAGTTGCAAGTCTCATTGATGAGATTAAATAGCATGAACAGTCGAAATGGTTCTGCTTCCGATTGTAACTTGAGTACCGGGTTTACCTAAATGATGATAGAGGTTCAAATGTAAGGGATAGTTTTATATCAGGTTCAGTTTGACGGAAGGATAATCAGTAAGGTAAAACAAATCATGGGAATCAAACAAAGAGATGACTTTACATTCAAGGGGTGATCACAATTAACATCTAAACAATCTAAACAACAATAACAATTAGTGATCTCACTCTTAACTTCAATTATATCTCTCGTCCCAATCTTACTCGATTCCAAGATAAAAAAGATGTAACTTTTAGATCAGATGAAAGGGCTGTCATCAATATAAACCAGAGTGCAATTACCATATAACTTCACGATACAAATAAGGTTAACAATTAAAACTTAATTAACATCTCCAATCCGTGGGAAAATATCTCTAACCATAAATTGTCGAAATTTAAGTCGCAATTCTGTGAAACATTGAGATCGCAGATAAAATCGTTGACTGAGAGGGGGAGTATCAAATAATTAAACATTACCCGACTTTAATTAATGCTTATTCAGTTGGTGAATCTCATTTGCCTAATGAAAGATGAACAACTCATTGCAAGCCTTAACATCTCAGCATTTATAGAAACTGATAGTTTGCTTAGTTAAATCAATTATTAGTGTAATCATTATTGAATGACCTGTTGTTGATACGGAAACAACAGAACAAGTTAGAGGTGACAAGTCAAGGTAAATGTGGTTTATTGATGTCCTATTCAATGTAGTCTTAATTGTGCATGATTTTTTCGTATATTGACTTCAAATGTTACAAACTATTCAATCCTTAAACTCTTATTTATACTTCAGGGGGAATGAGATTAACATCATGAATATGAATTCAGCCACTGCACTTGGGTTGAGTCGAGCTAAAGGGCGAGGCATAAGTCGGGTGACAAATTTAAATCAAATAATAAACTGGTAAAAAATCGGATTAGATTAAGAAGTTTAGGTTTTTTAGATTCACGAGAATGTGCTCTTTAATAAGGTATATTGTTTTTGAAAATGCAACAAGCAAAATGTCTAAAAAACGACAAAACGTTTGAGGCTGTTCCTTAGGTCAACGCCAGAGTCTTCTGGTACGATGCTATATGATAAGAGCCATTTTCACCATTTGCAAAGTAAAATTGGCACGAACGAGAATATTATCTTTTGTAATGGTAAAAAGAGATCCTAATATCGTAATAGTAATGAAGATGTATTTGCTGAAATAGGTGTCCGAGAATTAAATCCATCATCCCTACATCCGAATACAAGAGCCACTTTATCGAATCGAAACTGGTAACTACGATTATCGATTGGTTTTAAGATGCCGTCAAAATGCTAGGAAGCGTTTTGGGTAAATATCGCTCAGATGTTTTAGATAAATTGGAGCTTCTTGACCAAAAGCTTGTTTGCTTAGCTTGTTTAATTTAAATGCGCTAAATAGCATTACTCAATGAGTAAACATTTTCAAAAGTGCTGGGTAATACATTGGTTGAGTTTGGCTGCAAAGCTGACAAAAATTCATCTGAAATATTCACATACCCAAGAAGTTTGAAGACATCTTCACAATATTCTTGGACCTCTTCAATTTCATCTTTTTTCATTTGCTTCATCCATTGATTTACAACTGTTTTTGAATGTTTAATCACGGAGTATTTGCCACTTTTACGGAGATTGCTAGTGTGAAAATATAAATAGACTTTCAATTCATCGGTAAATGGTAAATTCAATGATTTGTAAAGCCTTTGTACTGTTTCTTCAGGCTTCATGGAGATATCTTCATGACGTGTTACAGACAATTTATTTGGATACAGTTTAACTAGTCGATTATAAGTATTGATATCTTCCCTCATTTGCTGACAAATACTTTGTGGTTGAATACATTCAGGATCAGATGTGCACCAAGGGTGTTTAGTCCTTGAATTGAACATTGCGCGAGGATCTCGTACTAAATAGATGATGTTAAAATCAATAAATGGATCCATTGAAAGCATAAATAATTCAAGAGCACTCATTGGTAGTCGAACAGATTTTATCACTCGATTTTCCAATGGCAAGCATAATTTGGTTAAATTCTGTGTTGATGATGGACAAACTTTTTGATAGCGATTTAGACAAACTGGAAACAGCCATTTCATCCATTTATAATTCCAATGATGTATCTCGGTTCTATTTAAATTCACGGAAGGTCCAACATCAAATTGACATTGAAAATAATTTTCAATTATGTAGAGAGCTTCGTCAATTTCATCGTTATTGATGCGTTTTGATTTAGTGAACAATTGCAATGGCTCATAGATGTAGCATGTATTTGCTGCTTGTTGTATAATGTCACCTAAGAATGAAGAACCACTTCGATAGTAACCTAATATTAGGATGTATTTAACTGGTTTCTTCGAATTAAATTTTCTCGAGTCTGGAAAGGGGTTAAATCAAGATGTTTATTAACACAAGAAAATGATCACAAAAAATTGACTTACATTCAACTTGTAGGATTAAAAGCCAATAAAACAAGAGAGTAACGCCGATCAAAAGAGAAACCTTAAACCAAACAAATCTAGTTGGAATTCTCATTGATGAGATTCTATAGCATGAACAATCGAAAAGGTTGAGCTTTAAATGTCGAGAGACATTGAGATCGCAGATAAAACCGTTGACTGAGGGATAACTATCAAGTAGTTGAACATTACCAGCCTTCAACTAATGCTTATTTAGTTGGTGAATCTTATTTGCTTTAACGAAAGATGAACAACTAATCTTATGCCATTAACATCTCATGTCTCTGTATAACAATATATGATGCTTTGCATCAAAGTTAATCAAATCTATCAAATTGTTGTACCATTATTATTATTAGCTTGAGTGTATTCAATGACAATGAACTTATCGTTAAACTGTCTCTCAAATTATTTCCAGCCATTGAGTTGACCTTTACAATTGTTCATGTTTGTAGTTAAAATTGCATTTTAAATATCATTTTGGGTGTTCAAATAAATTGTGACCTAAGTGGTGCATTTATAGAAACTGATAGTTTGCTTAGTTAAATCAATTATTAGTGTAATCATTATTGAATGACCTGTTGTTGATACGGTAACAACAGAACAAGTTAGAGGTGACAAGTCAAGGTAAATGTGGTTTATTTGAAAAGCTTGTAAGGTGAATCAAGCAGTTAACTGTTAATGCTGTTTGATTAATAATTAGTTGGGGTAAAAGTGAAAATTGTAAGTCTTTTTCACCTAATAACCAGGTTAATGTGTGAAGTTATTAAAGATGACTTTGTTCCCGTGACATTACAAAACTGATAGATTAACTGGATCAAAAGGGTGATTGTTTCAGGATCAAATCTCAACACACAAATTGAAGTACATTGAAACAATTAATAGAAATGTATTGTGAAACTAATCTTCCGTTCAATAATGAAGTTGATGAGTTTTAACTGTAAGAAAATGCATTAATTGATTATTTAATCATTAAGATCAAACACACATTCAGATAAACAAAGCAGGCCTTTTTGGTAGCTCTTTCAACCCTTTCTATTGTTTTCCCTCACTTTCTCTTTGCTCCCCATCTGATCTTTCGCCATTCATTTTGCTTTCATGTTTTGTTTTGTTCTCATTCATATTATTAAGTTAACAAACTTGACTTAGTTATTCAACCGTAACAATTTGTTTAAATATGATTCGATTTTAATAGCAAACAATCAGTTTTACTTTAGTCAAACAACAGTCAACAACAACTCAACAGTTTATATTTGTTTTTAAACACCAACAACAAACCAAGCAAAAATGGTCTCCAAATCTTTCATTGTTTGTACTCTTCTCATCACAATTGGTCTCATAATGCATGTTCAAGCCGGAGGTAAGTTAATATTTACACAATTAAAACACTTCATTTATTCCTTTAATTCTTACTATTAAAATGTAAATTATTATTTTCTAGACAAAGGATCTAACATCATTCTCGGTGGTGGAGGCTATGGCTACGGTGGTGGACATCTTGTCTTATCAACGGTGAATATTTTTTCTGGTTTATGCTTAGATTGTGCTTTACTTTAGCACAACCAGGAATACTGTAAACACAGTCAATCACTTCTTGTTGATCAAATTAATTGTGTTGCTAATATATTTGCTTATCAATTTACTATTATTTAGGGAAAGAAGGGCAAAGGATCTAACATCATCAGCTCAGGATATGGAGGTGATGTTGTGTTGTCAAGTGGATATAAAGGCAAAGGATCAAACATTATTTTGGGACGTGGAGCAACCGTTGTTTCCGATAGACGTTAAATTTACAATCAACTCTCGTCATCTTTCATCATTACATTCGATTCAATCGCTTTAGTTATCCTGATCACTACCATTATTTATTTATTTATTTATTCATCCATTCGATTATTTATTGTAAGTTGGACTTACGGTTACATTTATAAAACTTGTTCATTTGTTGATCTCCATTTCCATGTGTGATTAGTAATCACTGATTACTAACAACATGCGAAAATATTTACATCTATCTAATGATTTTCATAATGAATCCAAGTTTAATTAAAAATTTTCAATCTTATCACATCTGAAAACGTTTATTTCATCTTTTTCATCTCAAATCGTGAATCGTCTAAAACTGAGTCCTGGTCAACTTAATAATGGAACCAAAATTTCAATATTATCTTGACTCGAACAAAATACATTTATATTGAAATGAAAACCAAATGAATATAAAATAAGTTTCAATTCTCGATTGAATTATATGTTAAATCTTATTAAGTAAATGATAAAGAACAGTGAAAATTAACAAAAAGTAGATTTATCTCGATTGATTTTACCGCCTTGCATTTGTAAAGTAAATTTTTTTGCCGATAGAGGGATACTTCTGGCTGACTTTAAGACTTTATATTTTCCTGTTTAGAGGACGAATTATTTGTTTATTTTGAATTTATTTGATTAAAAGTGATTTAAGTAATGATTGGAAGACTGTTTTTTGGTTTTGTTACTGGAACTTATTTCGGTGTTTATCTTGACCAAAACTATTCAATCCCCAAAGTTGACGAACCAAGGGAATTGTGGAGCAAAATACAAGAGTTTATGGAGCAATATCGTAAAAAGAAAGATTAATTGTGCCTTTTCAACCTTTATTTCTTTTATTCTTTCTTTATCACTTGCAAGTATGTATTTCTCTCTGAATTTGGCAAGTATCACACTGAACATAGCAACACCAATGAAATCGACATCTACATCGCTCATCTACCATGGCAGTATGTGTGTCATAGCCTCGACCACAACACATGGATTCACAGCCATCTGATCCTCTTGAGGTTCTATTACAAACTCTTCCCTGGGTTCCAAATGTACCACCTTTATCCATACAAAAATCAGGAGAACTGTCAACATGGACCAAATCCTCCGCTGTAGGTAATTTTTGGCGTTTATTGCGGACCTGAAGTTTACCTCTTTTATTGATTTTCACTTCTGTTGATTTTTCGTACTTGTCCTTTAGGTAATCACCAACCTGCCATATTCAAAAAAACACAAAAGGAACAAGAATTAATCATTAATTAATGAGTATTTAGATTGATTTAAAATTCCCTTGTATAAATGTAGAAATGTAAGTTAAAGCTTATCCATGTAAAATATTGGGTTCATTGCTTTGATTCCGTCTCCTATTCATATTCACCTTACCTTCAAATTCCAATTTTTACATGATAAAAATTGTACAGAACAAGTAAAGTAACAAAAAAACCTCCACCTTAATGCAACTACTTTTTCAGATTGAAGATTATTAATGTAAATGGTATGTTCATTTGTTAATAAAACATTTGTTTCTGTATTATACTTTCTTTTTCTCTAACTCTTCAGCCTTTGATATCAAAAGAAGATTAACATCCAATCCGATTTGGTTCCATTATCATAGGATTTTCCATTTCTTTTGAAACATTTTCATCTCAATTGTCTTCCCTCTAATTCCTTTTATTTTACCATCTACATTATCATTATTGGCATTATTTTTTACGATCAAATCTACAATGGGGCAACAACAAGAAACAACTATAAAACTGACCAATGGCCATGGACAAGATATAACATTACAATGGATTTAATGTCGTCAGGATTAGATTCTAATGGGTGGTCATTTCTTCTAAAATCTGCTCACTGTTTCCTGCATCTTCATCATCTTCATCTCTTTCCAGTTGTTGTCAAAATGATTGGATTCGGTCCTTTAAAGCTAACCTAATGTTTAAGGTGGTCAGTTTTTGTCTACTTTTGTCATTGGCTCCAAAGGTTCATTTACACCACTTAAATGACCATGATCATCACTATTATCATTATCACCATCAGAGTTGATCATCAAATTTCATCCTCATCGTCTTCACTCAAATCTTAGTAATCATCACAGTGAATATCAATTGTTGAACCGAGAAGAAGAAACCAAAATAATGAACCAAATATTAAAGATACACTATAATGATTGATGATTGAAATTTTTGTTACTAATTGCACGGAATCATTGAGGCCAATAATTATGACTTGATTCCGTGACTACTTTCTATCAAATAATACTATATTACAGCTGAAAAGGCAAAAAGATATCACCAAAAATGGCCTCAAAATGGCCTCACCAAGGTGGTTATTTGATCACCTTAAATGCATTACAGACTGACTATTCTCACTTTCCGTAAAACCAGCCATTTCTTCAAAATAAATTAAATCAGCTGAAAATTGATTATCACCAACAAATAATTAACAGATTGAAATTTATAAATTGATTGAAAAATGTACAAAATATTTAATGTTATTAATGCAAGAATTGATTCACTAAAATTGTTCTGATCCTTGACTGTTGCGAAGTGTTGAGAAATTGTAAATCATTAAAAGATGTTAATTTACTCGTTAAATGTCAGTAAAGTAATCAAAATATTGAATTGAAACTCATCATGTAGGCTAATTGAATCATTTGCTTGATTCTTGAAATTTTGGGTAAATTAATTAAAGGCAATTTGGAGGAAAAAGTTAATGATAAGAAAAAAAAAGTGAACTTGTTTGCCTTCATTTCATTGTGTGTTCAACCAGCCTTTATTAGAAAGCTAATCAATAGAGAAATCCTATTCAAGTTAAATCGTTACAATTGATTTCATTGTATAGAGTAGGTGTCAATGTAAAGGTAAGTTGTCAACATCATCATCATCATCATCATCATTCTTTTTAACGCTATTTCAATCTTTCAATTCATCTTTTCTCTTCTTCTCAATGTTCGCAATGAAAAGGAAGACAAAAAAGACATGAAATGAGAAGCTCGAACAAAATAGGAAACAGAGAAAAGATAAAGACGAAAATGAAGAGAAAGATGAAGATAATGATGATGAGGATGATGATAAAGTAATAGGAAAACTGAAAGATATTGAAGGTTAAATGGTTATCCTGTAAAATCACACTCAGCCTAAGGCCAAGTTGTTACAAAGACATAGAGATGATGAAGAGATGAATGCCTTTTTTTGTACCAAACCCTAATAAGTAATTACAGGTCAACACGAAAGTTAATCAAGTGCTATATCATACAATAAATATATATTGCTTGACAAACCATGTCATCTTGGGTTTAGGTTTACTCCATCATCTTCTTGTTCAATGAACACTTTGGCAAAACAAGAAACGCTTGCAAATAATCAAGTTCAACTAAAGTTAAATCTGTATTTTTCGTCGTCAAATTTGACCTGAATGCCGATGATATATACTAAGGTATTACCTTTTTTTTATAATAGTCATCAACCTCCTCCTCTTATTCAAGGAGAAAAGTCCAGAGAAAGTATAAAAGGTTTTCAAGAGATAAAGCAAAATGATTAATGAACTTTCATGTTAAGATAGTCTAATTACAGACCAATTTTAGCTTAATTTGACAGCAAACTATTGAACTAAGCCACCGTCATTTTTGTTGGACTCCTGCTGCTTGTTACAATCATTATCATGTTGTCTATGTGTAGGCCTATTCAATTTGCCTTTGATATTACATTTTAAAATCGTATTTTCTCATTATTTTTTATATACATTTGTGTCTCTACAATCAATTGGCAAGGTCTTCATTAGTAATACCATTAAATTGATTGAAATATATTTAATCTTGGGAATTTGAAATGAATAGGAAAATAAAAAATTAGTTCAACTTGACAAATTAACAAACTGATTGACAATACATAATATGGTGTTGACCCCTTCACTCTGTGACTAATAAAACCGGGAAATTTTTCCCAATGTTACGCCATTTTCACCATTGCTAACCTGTTCTTCTTCCTAACAATTTACTGTTTGATTTATAAATTATTTATGTTTGTTTCTTCTTTAATGGCCTTCTAATGTGATCTTTAATCAGCTTTATTATTGTGTGTATTATTGTTAATTTTCTCAACAATCAACCATCATAATTGATTGCTAACTGATTTTAAGATATTTATGTTTATAAATCACGCTCTTTTTTGGGCTTTACTGTCATCTCATATCAATTTACCGATATATCATGATGGCTTGTAAAAATTAAACACTTGGTAACCCGATCTTGGTGCCATTAAATTTAGATTATTAATTGATCAGGCTAATTTAGGTTTACTGTGAATTGCAGCTTCCTGAAATGAAACTGGATGATATCAATAAAGACACCAACGACTTTAACAAAGGTAGGTAAAAATTTTATTTGAATGTTATTTTATTTTTATGTTTTGCTTAATCATGACTAATCATGCTTAATTAAGCAAAATAATTAACTGAGTAGAGTTTATTTGCCTTTAGGCTGATATCCAGTCTTTCATCAAAAGTCTACTATCTTTAGGTTAAATCTTCATCTCGCTAGTATCCATTGATTTTTCAACTCTCCTGACATTGATAATTTAATAACATTCCTATAGTGATACAATCTAAATGTGAGTCAAAAATGAACCAATTTAAAAGATCAATTAAACAGGTAACCTTGGTTAAATTCAAATATGCTCAGTGAATACACAATACAAATTAATAACTCACGATTAATACCATGTTGATTTTCATTGTGTTTTTTAACGAACTCAACCCACAGTTTGATTAGCTGGATTGATTTAGCATGCAAAACATCCTCCTCTCACGATTGTAGCTTAATTAACTTATTGCTTTGATTGCCTGCGGTAATAATAGCTTGATAAGAAGATGATAAAATGTTCGAAAAAAAGTCTTTACATTGTTACGGTATGCATGTATCAAATTGGGAATATAACCGTTTCTTTACCAATTCAATAACATTTCACCATCAATATGCTATTAGATTTCATAATGGTGATTAGCTTCAAATGAAATGGCTAATCAATCAATCATGTTTACAACCTAATCCCTCAATTGCTAACAATACACTGCAAGGAGCTGATTGTTTCACATTTTTCAACACCAAAATTGAATTTACTTATCTTCTAATTATATTTGTCTTTTATTTCAGGTAAATCATACTCAAAGAAAGGAGAAGAGAATTACTATAAACCTTGTTACTGAGAGGTGAAGGTTAAATACATTGATGGAGCAGAGTAAAAGGACGTCAATTAAATCTCAGTAAACCATTAAATAGTTTTGAAGAGTGCAATTAAACCATGATTAAAGACAATTCTCACAGCCATAATAATAAAATTGTAAGTATTAAATTTTTTGCTCCATCAAAATGTCTTAATAAATGTTGTGTTTTATGTCTTTTCAGATCAACTTTCACCGAAACCATTCACATTAACATAAAATGCAAGTTAACCATGGATCAAAGATGAGGAGAAAAATGCAAGAAACGGCAAAAAAAGATCGGAATAATAGCCAAAAAGATGCTATGCAAGAAAATAAAAAATGTTGAAAAGTTAATATGGATAAAGTGAGGAAAGTCAAAAGGAACCTTAAAATAATTTTTCCTTTCAAGACAAGTTTTCATCACTTCTTTTGATTCTTGTAGCTGTGAGAAAGATGGAGCATAAATGGATAACTAATAAATAAGTGGGGAAAAAGTGGCCTAAAACGTGATATAAAAAAGCTATGAAAATGAAGATCGCAAGATCAGGATAAAAAGATGAAACAAAATTATGATACAAAATGATGATTATTTGCTGGTGAAAATGAAGCCTGTCATTAAGTTATAATTTGTTAAAACAAAATCAAAGCGATTGGCCAGTTGTTTATTATTTTCCTATTTTATGGCCAATCTAATGGTAAATATAAAAGACCACAAAAGAGGCCTTAATTGCGGTGAATCACAATTAACTAAATTAACCTGGGCCCTGCATAAGATACTTGCAGCTTGTCATCTTTCCTCATCATCAAACATCATCATCATCCTCTTCATCTTAACTAACATTGATTCTTGAAAGGCAATTTTTAATACCAATTTTTTTTACCAAATAAGGATTACTTAACATTTACCTGTTATACACCTAAGGGTTTGGCCTTTTTTGATTCAATATTTGTTGAACGATTGATTTATTGATAAACTTATTGCTTTTATTTGTATTAAAACATGAAAACATTTGTTTATCAGAAACTAATCGTTCTTGAGCAGTTGATTGTTTCAATTTAAGGCCAATTTCATTGTATTATTACACCTCTTACCTCTCTGAATGAAGACAATTGCTGCCAACAAGTTATCAATGAACACGATCCAGAGACTCCATGACATTTACACGTGACTCGAGTTTTCCTTATAACCGCCTATTCAGGACAAAAAGACACAACAAAGTTACAATTATAAATTAGCACAATTTGTATTTACTGTTGACAAGTTTGCTTGTAAACTTGATTTATCAGCCAATTTTTTGTCTACCAAAAACTCAATCTAATCTGGACACATTGAAGGCAACTTTATACTTCACCAGTTTAATTTTACAAGCATTAAGTGTAAAATTGACGGTATTAATAGACCAATACAACCAAAAATTCACTCGAGATCAATAGCTTGAATAGGCAATTCAAGTGAAGCTCAAAATTTCTGACAAAGTGTATTATATTTAATACAATTGACAATCTAACAACTATGCTAACCATTTTTACATTGTAATAATTTGACAGATTAACTAGGGATTATTATGGCCTATGCATTTGTAATAATAACTAGACAAGAAAAAAATTGTCATTTTGAGGACAAACAAAGAAAAATAGTTTCTATTTTTTTCTTGGTGGTTCCTCAACATGCTAAGAAAGATTGTCAATAGCATTAAAACTTACCCTTCGTCCAACTTCATTGTTATGAAGATTCATTAATCGACGACCTTTATCTTTAAGTGACTTCAAACTGGACTTTTCTTTCTCTTTAAGATCGATGAAAGTTTCGGAAAATTTATATCCATAATCAATATTATCACCACAGCCACCCCAAAGCCAGTCTTTCTTGAGATTTCGAGGTCGAGATGCTTTTGAACAACCACAATTGGGCAACTGTCCATCCCTGCAAGCTCGAGCAATTGAATGGACAACTCCAGCCGTTGAAATTGCATGTGCAAAAGCAGCTTCTCGAGAAGCTATCATTGAAGAAGAAAGCAAAGAAAAATGAAAGCAAATTAATTCAAATAAACCAACATGAATAGACCAACAAATTGGACAGTTTTTATATGGAATTGGATTTACATTTTAATCAAACCAGAATTGGAAAACCTGTGTTCAATTATTTGACGTCTATTAGAAGCAGCAAAATTTGATTTGTTTAAATCAAGATTACAATGTTGAATTTAACTGAACTACTTAAACAGCTTATCCAGATTATGGACATTTATTTATGTTATTTTGCTAGAATTATTTTGATTAGATTTACCCAAAAGCGAATGAAGTTACATTTTAATGTAGGCGGATTTCAATTTCAGGTCACTTTTTAACATTTCATGGTAGAGTTAACTTTAAAGGTGATTTATCAACCATAATTAAGCACAAAATAGTTAGCCAAATGATACATAAAGACTGATAGTGTTTCATTATTCCCAGCTAAGAGGTTTAATAATTTTTTGTGAGCGCTATAAGAAGCAATTCACTTTTTTACTTTCATAATGATTCCATTGATAATAACAATGTTATTACAATTGAATCATCTAATTAGGAGCTTAAAACATCTCACACTAAGAGCCTTATTTGGTAGACAATTTGACTGATGACCAGTTGAATAGTTACTCCCAATGATGATAATGATTACTCTTTTCTTCATCCATTTCATTTCATCTTTTCAAGACTATTGACCTTTACTTAAATGATGATTGAAGTATTAAATTAACAAGAATTACTGACAATAGATGAATAACTTTAGCTGTAAGCATTTCATTATAAAGTAATAAGCTAATCAACTGTAAAATCAATATCAAACCAATGATGAATTAAATGGATAAAAATAAACTTAAAATATCACATTTTTACCTTTTCTGTTTATTCATTATTCCAAGTGTTGATTTACAAAAGGAATGTGATTTAAGTGAACAATTAGATGGTAATATGGTTGAGTAAATTGAAAAGATAAACTCAAGTAATCATGATTAATCTACTAATTCAACTGTAAATGCTAAGGTATATAAAAATGGTAAAGGTAAAAGTATTGAAAAGCGAAACTTGTTAAATTGTTGCTGCAATTGATCACTAATTTATTTACCTTGACCATAAAAGTTGAATGTTTTATTATTGTCAAACAATTGTTAAACCAATTATAATCGGTAAAGAAGATCCGGAAAAAATATAATAAAACAAAGCAACATTAATCAACAATTAGGAATCGCCAACATTTACATTTCAATCGATCAAATGTATTAATCTAAGGCTGGATAAAAGCTACAATAATTTAATACCGCAATATTATTACACCATAAAAAACATTAACATTTCAATGAAATAGCCTTAAATTTCAGCAATTAAGGAGTTTGAACGGACAAAAGCTGATTAATTATGTAGACTTGGAAATGTTTAAATGTATTGTAAGGTTAAAAAAAGTGCGCAATTGTAACAGCTTAATGTTTAAGAGATGCGCTAATAACAGAGGAGACTTTAGTTTCAAAGGTATGAATTGAAGGCTCCAAAAATGGTTCCTCCTTTAGGAGTAAATAATAAGTTGCCAAAAAAATGTAATAAGCATATTCAAGCCTATTTTTCAAGTCAAAGTTTAAGACGTTTTTATATTTTTTTGTAAAATTTTTTTCCAAAATTGTTACAGCTCAAGACTATGTTGATGCATAGGCGTTTAAAGGTGAACATGAAAAACATTTAGACTGGTTGAAGTTAATCATTGACATGTTCATTTTTAAACAGTGATTCAGTTTGACTTGGAGATTTAATTCAGTTGATAATCTCAATTTGATTGTTTAAAAGGTTTGATGGATTAAACAGTGTTACTTTGATAGGAAATGATGCGACTTGGGAGGGCAAAGAATCATCTTCATCATTATAATTATCAGGTTAATCAAGTATGGCCATCATTAAGGTATTAATAAACATACTTATGGATAGCTGATTACTGATTGTCATAAAAATAGATTTAATATCGATCAAAACGTTTATCAAAATCAAGTTTGGATGTAAAAAACAGAGGCCCAAGCATTTGGCCAAACCCAAGAATCAAGGGCAACGGTTGGGCCACTTTTGATTAACTAAATTGTGGGCTTAAATAGTTGAACCACTAGACAGATTATAGCAAATGTTTACAGATCCAGTTGAAGTTAAATCAACGTAAAGTGATATTGCAGGTTATAAAATTGTGGTTAGTTGGTAAAATGGTTAAGCAAATGTAAAATGTTTATTTGCTCATCCATCAAATTATTTTGTTATTTTGGTTAATTTAAATGATCATTCTCATCAAATTAACTTTCATTTGCAAGTGATAAGCTTTTCAATAATTTCACAAATCATCACTCAAACAATTATTGAAATGATCAAGTAAAGCTAATTACGAGTATGACAATTGATTCAAAAGCTTTTAATGATTTTAAAGTTAATCATTTTGCACTTCAATATTTTATTCAACAAAAATTGTTAATTAGTTGATCTTTTCATGTAAATGAAATGATTTAGTGAAAATTGTTAAAACTGAAAACTAATTGCATTAAAAGCCTTAGGCTTATGGAAGATTTATTATAAAGCGGAAAAAATTTAATCATCTTAATCCAGAATCATTAATTGATGAGTTTATAACATTTTCAAATTAATTCCTATTAATAAAGACTTTGATTGTTTTACTTTTATAGTTGGCCATTAAAAAGTGGTAAAAATTTCCGAGTAACATTTCAATTCATAAAGATGGCAAATGAATAGCACTAATAAAATATTCAATTGATTCTTTTAGTGTTGCAAAGGAATAGAGAGTAAAAGCGTTTCTGTTTCGAGTTAAGGTTTGTAGAGACGAAGTAACTGAGTCCATTAGTGCAATTAAAAAACTTGTGCGATCGATAGTTTACGAGAAAATCGAGGTCAAAGCTGAAACTTCGATCGTCTTTTGTGCAGTTATGCGACCAGATTTTCTCATCAAAATCATTTTAGCTAATGTAACTTTTTATTGCAAACCAGAAAATGAACTTATTTTGTTCATTAAAATTTTCTGTTTCTTGAAAAGCAGATCACTTCGATTTTAGGTTTAACCTGGTTTTTGGAGTGACCGTGAGAGTTAGAGACCTGAAACGCATTTTCTGTGTATGAAAATGGCTTCTGAATGTCAATGTGCAAATATTTTGTTCAATTTATAAATAGTTCTCTTGATTTTGGCCATTGGTCTTAAAACTTTGCGACTCAATATTTCGAGAATGATAGTACCTACGATCACTATTCTTTCGCCAATTCAATTCTTCGCTAATTGATTATCCCATGCAATTTGAAAAATTTTCAATAGCGCATTTGGCTTATGATTTTTGGGTTTTAAATATGCCATTTGCAACTTATTTACCAAACAAAACACATCTCAACCCATTTCTTGGTAAATAAACCAATTTTCTGGTTTAACTTTCAAAGCAAATGTAAAGAGTGCTGCAAAAGACTCGAACATTTGAGTAAATAGTTTAGACTTGGTTTGTAGGGACATAAATGATGAGTCTTTTGGTGCTATTAAAAAATTCATACAATGGACAATTTATGAGAAAATCGAGGTCGAAGTTGAAACTTCGATCGTCTTTTGTGCAGTTGTGCGACCAGATTTTCTCATCAAAATCATTTCTCTAATTTAACTTTATATTGCTAATTAGAAAATGAGCTTATTTTGGTCTTTAAAATTTTCTGTTTCTCGCAAAACACATAACTTCGATTTTAGGTTTAACACGGTTCTTTGATTGACCGTGAGAGTTAGAAACCTGAAACTCATTTTCTGTGCATGAAAATTGTTTTCACATGTCAATGTGCAAATAGTTTGTTCAATTTCAGAATAGTTCTCTCAATTTCGGCAATCAGTCCGGCAACTTTGAACATCGATATCTCGAGAATGAGTGTGCTTACAATCGCCATTTTTTGACTAATCATTAGACTTTGCAATGGGCTATAATATTACAAAACTGAATATCAAAAGAAATCTAACCTCATTCTTTAATAACGAATGTTCATCTAACACACTTTAAGGTTTGTGTTTAAGTAACCATTTAGCTTTATTCACTATTGTAAACCAGAAGGCAAATCTAACAACATTATTACAACATTTAATATGATGCTAGCGCATTTCGTGGAATCTTGAATCACCTAATCTTTCAATACAACATATCTTATGATTGCATCTAATGTTTGTTACAAGAATGACGATTGCAAACGCAACTGTTCTGAGGATATCGGTGTTCAAAGTTTGCAGACTAATTGCCGAAATTGAGAGATCTGTTTATAAACTGAAAAAAGTATTTGCACATTGACATTCAGAAACAATTTTCATACACAGAAAATGAGTTTCAGCCTCCTAACTGTCACGGTCACTCGAAAAACCAGGTTTAACCTAAAATCGAAGTGATCTGCTTTTCAAGAAACAGAAAATTTTAATGAACAAAATGAGTTCATTTTCTGATTTGCAATGAAAAGTTACATTAGTTAAAATGATTTTGATGAGAAAATCTGCTCTCATAACTGCACAAAAGACGATCGGAGGCTCAACTTTGACCTCAATTTTCTCGAAAAATATACATCGGATGAATTATTCAATAGAAGCAGTAGACTCAGTTTTTATGTCCTTACAAACCCACCAAGTCTCAATTCTTCACTCAAATTTTGGAGTCTTTTGCAGCATTCTTTGCATTACATTTTCAACTTTAACCAGAAAAAGGGTTTATTTACCAAGAAATGAGTTTAGAGGAGTTTGTTTTGTTGAATAAGTTGTTTCTTGTGTATTTACAGCCGGAATATCATGAGTCAAAAACGCCAATGAAAAGTTATTGAAGCAAATTGAGTTCTTTATTAGTTTAGAAACGAATTGATGTAAAAATGCGATCGTCGGTGCTATCGTTGCCGAAATATTGAGGCGCAAAGTTTTAAGACCAATGGCCAATATAAAGAGAACTGTTTATAAATTGAAAAAAGTATTTGCACATAGACGTGTGGAATTAATTTTGGTGTGCGAAAAAATGATTTTTAGCCTCTTAACTCTCACGGTCACACGAAAAAATAGGTTAAACCTAAAATCGAAGTTAACTCCTTTACAAGAAATAGAAAATTTTATTGAACAAAATAAGTTCATTTTCTGGTTTGCAATAAAAAGTTACATTAGCCAAAATGATTTTGATGAGAAAATCTGGTCGCATAACTGCACAAAAGACGATCGAAGTTTCAGCTTTGACCTCGATTTTCTCGTAAACTGTCGATCGCAAAAATATTTTAAAAGTACTAATGGACTCAGTTTTTTTGTCTCAACTCTTGACTTAAAAGAAAACCATTCGCACTTGCTTCTCACGATTAATAATTGACATACAGTTTTACTGAAATTTGCGAATTGAATATTTTAGATTGTTTGAATTTTTATTTTTAAGGAACTTTCTCTTGCATTTAATATTGCAAGTTCAATGTACAGTTATTAATCCATCAAAATTGCATTACTAATCGTAATACAATGAATCAAATTGATTAAGAAGCATGAAAAGCTTAATGTTCAAAGATCAATATTTTCTGGTTTTGCTTTTGCTTAGCAAAGCAAAGGTTTTAACCAGACTTTTACTACATTAAACCAATTTGATGAGTAAATTGCTACTCATTGAATTGAATAAATTGTTAAAAAAGTCAAGTTTAATTGTAAGTTACAGATGAGAATTGAAATGTAATTAACTGTTGAGCGAATCGCAACTCTTGACTTTACATTGTTATGTGGTATTTTTCACTGAATACAAAAGGTAATTGAGTTAACTATTAATCCAAGCAGATTAAATGATACAATTTGTTATATTAATATGCATCTAATGGTAGGTCAAAGATGAGATTGGCCATGTTGAAGAGAAATGCTGAGAAAAGGAAAAATGAGAATATTGATGAAATTGATGTTGATGATGATAATGAAGAGGATCGTTTCTTCCCTTTCCATGCAATCTGTATGATGATGAGAAACAAGACACGAGTTTGAAATCAGTATCCAACATTATTCACCTCAACATCACCCGCATCTTCCTCCTCCTCCACATCATCATCATTATCAACTTGATCCATTGATCCGTGACTTTGATACTAATATTGAACAACCTTTTAAGCTTCCTCTTCTTTTTTTATATAAATTGATAAATTCGGGTAAAACTGTTATCCATCTGAATGATACTAATGATGATTGAATTTGTTCTAATTTGATTTACGATAAAAGTAATGGATAATGATAAAGAGTGGACTTGTTAAGGTACTTATGTCCAAACAGTAGCAGTTGCAAATCAAAACTGGAAAGGTAACCCAATGAGTGGAGCAAAGGGCAATCTAATTGAATCTACCAAATTATGATGATGATGGTGATGATTTAATGTTAAGTGGTTTGTATTTTATAACAGTTTTCAATGATAAAAATTGTTGGGCGTTCAGTTGATGAAAAGGACGGAAAAGCTAAAAAAATGATAATTTTAGTTGAACAAATGTTGAGGATGCAATTAAAGTAAACTTGAATTAGTAGCCAAATTGCCGATCAATTGATTTTATTATTACTTTCATTTTTAATTCCCATTGAAAGCCTTAAGTAAATGTAAAGCTAATAAAATAATCAACTGTAATCATAAAAGCAACTCGTAAACGGTAATGCAATTTGGTGGAGGAAAATGTTGAAAATCATTTTCTCATTTGAAAACTGGTCTAAAATAGATATTTCAAATTGGCCTGAAGGACTTTTGAAGACAATTTTAGGTCACTAGGAATGAGTTGAAGACAAAATGCTCAAGATTATTGTTTTGAAATTTGATTGAAACTGGAAGAGTAAAGCAAAGACTTGAAAGTCATTGACAAATTGCTGGGATGCAACTGGGAGTGAATGTTTTGTAGTTGTTTGATTGCTGTTAACGGTTAGAGTAACGGTAATATCCAAGGAAATTGGGATTCCATGAAAGAACCGGAAAAATAGGATATTGTCTATTCTCTTTATTACCTATTGTTTGGGTCAATTGAGAGTAAAACTTTTGAAATTTGAACAGAGACACGAAACTGTAAAGTTTAAAGATAAATGATGATCAATCGGAGGATGACAAGGAGGAGGGTAAAGATGAGGATGAGAATCAGTTTAATATAAATTTTGCGATTTTTTTCCTCTTCTCTTCACTTCTTTTCTCATCCTTTTGCTTATTCAACTAAAGGTATTGTAAGAGTATATTGGTCAACTGTAGTTGTCATTTAACCATAAATCATGTTAAATGTAGTTAAGGTTCAGGCCAATATTAAACTTATGGTAATATTAATCATTTAATGGAGCTTATTAAAATTAATGGCTGTGAAACAATCAAAAACATATTCCAATGGTTTCCAACCATGAAAGGTACCTTACTAGGCAATTTACAATAGTCAATCATTGGGTTGATTAAATTTCATGTTTGATACAAAAGGGAAAAGAGTTTATTGAAAATGGTAAATTGAAAGTGATTCAATTGATCAACAATTGAGATTAACCTTTTTGTTGACAATGTTTCCATCTTTCCGTTTAAATTAACAAATTAACAAGATTATTAATCATTTGTCACGTAAATTGTTTACTTTCAGTGTTTACAAACAGTTTTATTATCCCAGGTTAAACAAGTTTCAATGAAAAAGTCAGGTTCAAGTAAAGATCAGTTCAACAAGTAAAGGCCTTCAATGGGATTGGTTCCTCTTTTTTGGCCATTTTTCACTAAAATTTTGGCCAATTTTTTTGCTCAACAACTTCTTGCCAACCTTTTGTTAAGAAGCGATAACAAATTTTTGTTAAATTTACGTGATTCTGTCAATCTGTTGTAAACTTTTTTGTTGCCTCTTACCTTGCAAGTTAGGCTTGATTCAAATGCTAATGGTTAGGCGATTCTAATGAATAAAATATCTTATTATTGGTACATTTTTGTGTGTATATTGCTGAGCATAATAAATTGTTGAAACGGAAATTGATGGAACGAAAAATAGTGCAAAAATTGTTATCTAAATGTATAGTGAAAAGAAGAAGAAGAAAAAATGGATTGAAAGGAACGTCAAAAACATTGTGATTGATATTTTATTACATTTATTAAGGACTAAGGGTTAAGATGAAGATGGGAATGATGATAATCAGTTTGACGGTTTAACTAACTCAAGATAAATCTATCTGGGAAGGAAAACTCCAACTTTAATGTTTAATTTTTCATCTTCATGTTCATCATTTACTTTCATCTTCTTTTCCTCTCATTCCAATCAGTTTTAACCATCTTCATCATTCACATTTCATCCTTGTTTAATGGACTTATTATGCAGTGAGAAGTGATAGTTAATGAATTGATTAAATTGATTAATTGACATCAATGCGATTCCAATGACACTTGTCTCTCATTTCAAACTGTGAGCTTCTTGTGATAAAACGTTATTTTGTCACATTTTGCATTTCAAATTGAAATCGACTTTTAGATTTGATTTTTTTTGTTGAAAATTTGAATGAAAAACATTTGAATGCTCGAGTAGAAACAGGAAAATCTGTGGTAAAACGTTGATTAACAATAGCAATTGTAATCATTCTTGGATTGTGTGATTTTACTGTGAAGGCTAATAATTTTCATTCGCTTCTTTTACTTTACAAATTGAGATTCTTGTAACATTCAATTTTACCGTATTAACTTGCTAATAAATGGTCAATTTATTCTGTGCTTGGAATAATAATTAATGATTTGTAGCTCTAAATTGTATCAATTACACTTTCTGAATATTTAATTCCATGGGCTTAGGTTTTGTATAACCAAAAACAACTCAAAGCTGTAATTGAGTTCAAAGGCAATGTCAAAACACAGTTATTGTAAAAATTGGTTAAACCCATTTTTAACCCATTTTGTGATTCGTTTAATGAAAATACTCTTGAATCATGAATATTACTTCAACTCTGCACTAAGCTAAAGATGTGCTTAAAATAATGCAAAAGTTGATCTACTAATTGAATTTTTATTCACTAATTAAGACTTAATTGGGTATCATTGATGGTTAGCTGTTTGTAGTTAAGGTTTATGAACAAAGTATACTTTTAATCGTCATAATATAAGTCTAATTGAATTTGACTCCATTGCTTTAGCAATGCTTTTGGACTGTTGTAAGCTTCATTTCATTAAGCATAGAGCTTGAGGAAACAATTATATTAACTTTTAGTCAACGTTTTTGTTATTATAATTTTACAGCAATTATTAATTGCAAGATGATAATTGAATCTTACCTTTGGTTAAAATTGATCCGAAAACGGTTGAATCGTCGATTGAACAGTTCCAACGACTGTTTTTAAATTGCCATTGACACTCGGTTATTCCGAGTCGAGCTCCTTTACCAATGTGAGGCATATGATCCTTATAAAGGTGACACAGTTGCATTTGTCCTTTGGATAAACCCTTCATTTGGTCACAAGTTAATTTGCTTAATTTTTCCTCAATCATCATTTGTTCCAATCTCAGTAAATCGGGCGATTTGTTGGCCATCAGTGAACCAGTTAACGGATCGATATCATTCTCCGTTAAACTGATTCCCTGCATGCCCAGGGTTTTGGCGACGAAAGGTAAAAAAGCAAAGACAGACGAGGTGTCAAACAAAACAAGATAATAAATAAGAAACGCAAACATTAATAATTAATTTGGTTAAATGAAAACTGGTGACTTCAAAAGTGTTTTTAAACAATTTTCAAAAACAAAAAATGGTTAAAACACTGTTTTTTATAAAAATGTTTTCATTAGATGAAAGGTTTGTATGAAAAACATGCGATCGATGTGAAAACGAGTTGAAACGACAGTAAAAAGACGATATTTATGATAAAAAAGCGAAGAAGGTAGTTAAAGGTAAATACAAGGTAAATCCAAGGTAAAGTATTATAAGATGTATAACCCTGTATATAAAAGTCAAAACCGAAGTGAATTTGTTTCCCAAGTTTTCCCAAAATTAGAACGCAACTCTGTCACTAGATGCCACTTTCCGTTGCAATAAAGTTTTAGTCGAAAAACTCTATCAGAGCGCCATCTCTTGATCTTATAACAGAGCATAAAACATAGTTCTAATGATTGTTATCCTTGCCATTTTCATTCCCAACTAGGATATTAATAGTAGGATATGCTTCAATCCATCATGTTAAGTCTCTTTATTTGATAAGACATGAATTTAAGCATCACAATAAATTCAAGACCAACATTAAAGTCCTTCTCAAATTGACCTGTTGGAATGAAATGGTAAATTTCGCTAAATTGTGATCAAAAGGTTGTTAAATCTAGAATCATTTAAGTTTGCTTCATCTTCTTGGACAACGTCCGATTCCACTGCTGGGAAATTCATATTCTTCCTACCGATTCCTCAACACATTCAGTCAATTAAATGGACTCAATTTAAATTCTGTATATGCGGGCATATTTGTCAATTTATTGACAAGTAAAGAATCAAAAATTAAATTCTGGTCAAATTTCAACCTTTTAATCACAACTGCAAATGATATTTTTGTTACACCGTTTCTTCATTCTAATTAAACAAAGTAGAGGACTAAATTTTAGATCTTTTATTATGAATCAGGGTCTTATAATTTGAATTGACTGTAATTTATTAATAGCTATTAACTTTGTTCTGATACAATCCAAAATCTGATCTACTTAATTGGTATATTTACCAATAATATCACTGATTTTGTTCCCTGAGGCCAACAAAATCTCCATTAATACAAACATTTCGCATAAAATTTAAAATTTTACTCAGAAATCGAGCTTCACAAGTCATTAAACATTGCTCTTAATAGGTATACTCATGATTTAGGAGGCAATTTTATTAGATTAAAAAGTAATATAAATGCGAGATATTGCTTGAAAATTCAAACAAAATTGGGTCGGATAAGCTAACTGATCAAAAGTATTATTATAAATACAAGCCGAAAGGCCGCTCAATTTAGATCAGATCACAATAGATGTCAGACAGAATTATGTTGCTAAATCAAGTGTTAAGTAATCTCATCTTTAATCACTTGCACTTTATTTTTATTTGTCATTAATAAATCGAAATTTAAGAAGTAGGAATCCCTTTCATTAGTGATCACGAATTTGTTCGTTATAATTTGAAATAATCAGATTAACCAAAGGTTACTCTTTAGGTGTTATGTACAAAAATCATTTATTGATCGATTTTGTTTTTATTATACATTTAAAGCCGTTTAAACAAGTCCAGCTTCAACGGTCATTTTTTAATTAGTCAATCATGGAAGGTAACCAAGCTCATTAAATAAATCAATTTTAGATAAATGTTGATCTTCATTGGTTTCGCCATTTTCCGGTTTTCCTTTCTTTGTCCCCTTTGAAGTACCATTAGCGACTAAAAGTGCATCAACCTGACAAGTGGTTTGATTCTTTCGCTTCTCAATTAATTGTTTCAAATTTTCAAGACCAGTTCGTTCTTCAGGAAGTTCTTGTGTTCCCATTACTTTGGTTGAACTGTAATTGTCATTAACTGTTTCCATTCCGAGAAAATAGCCTTTAGTCTGATTACTTGATTGACCATTCAACTGTAATCTATTTAATGGTAAATTGCCATTAGACAGACCTAATTTACGATCACCAATGTAATCTAAAGGTTCAGCTAAAGATAAATAACGAAGATCACGATCAGCAAAAAGATCAACTTTGTTTCGCTTCTTTTTCCGGCGAAATTTAAGGTTAAAAGATTTTCGAACCCAGGATCGAAGTTTCCAGCGCCCCAACCGACGAAACAGACCATTTGATGATGATAGTCGTGATGGTATATCACTTCGATAATGATTAGGATAAAGTGTTAAATGATTATTGTGATTGTTAGATGATCCTAGAGGCCATCCACCATGAAGGTGGCCATTAATAGCTGGATTGACTTTAACCATTGGTGGATAAATTGAATTATCTCGTAAATCATCTTCAACGAAAGTTAACAAACCATCACCATCAATTAAATCACTTGAAAGGAAAGCAGAGTCATTTGTTAAATCGGTTAAATTATCATCCTCAATGATACGGTTGAATCCATTGTAAGCTGACTTTGAATAGCGTTCATTATGACGAAAATCGTTCAAATGGTTATGACAAGAATGGTCCGAATCGTTATTGATGATACAGTTGTTACTCTTATTGTGACTAGATGTTGCTGATTGACAATTATTTTTCATTTTACTTCTTCCATTAATCCTGTGATTATTATTATTGGTATTAACGAATCGTTGACCTCTTCGACCTAGTTTACTTAAATTCTCGTCTTCACTTATATTTGGCACTTTTGGTGATGTTAGGGGGTCGATTGGTTGTTTATTGTTGGCGATGGTTTCTTGGAGCGTACTTTTGTATCGGTGGTTATTTTGATTGATTGATTCATTGTATTTAAATTGGACAACATAACCATTGTAATTATTTGTCTCAATCTGGTTGGGTTTGGATTGAGTTAATGGTTTGACTGCAGTTGAATTGTCCAAACCATTTGAATAATTCATATTGTGATCTCTTTTAGTGACTCGTTCGCTCTGATGACTATTATTCGAGTTTAATTGTCTCTCCAATTGTCCATTTGATAAGCAAGCTTGGCACATTGAATATTGGGAAGATGAATGTTGAGATAATTGTTCTGATTTAGAAACACTTCTTTTATCCTGCCTGATAACCCTGGATAAGTCTGATGAGGAACTCAGCCCATGCTGTGTATTACTATTTATTTTAATACCAGCCGAAGAAGGCCATGGCCGCAAACCTATTTCACGACGGTAATTGAACATTTCTCTTCTCGGAGATGAGGAAGATAGCCCAGATGATCTTGTTGATTGAATTAACCCCACAAAACGTGGCTCCTCTGAGTTAACGGTTAATCTTGAGGTTCTATCAGTTAACAGTGAGGGTGACTCAGTTCCAACAACATGGCGAGGATCGGCAGAGATTGTTGAAGAGGACAATTGTCGAGATGACGTACGAGATTCAACTTCATCAAATGTTGAATAAGAATAGCATGGTAAATCACTTTGTAACGGGACCGAAGGGTTACCAACCTTTAAAATACCATTCTGAACATCAGATAGGTTGGAAGATAGGTTTATGGCATCTTCAATTGTACAACAAGCAAATAAGTGACACTCGAAAATTTTAGGTGATGAGACTTTACGTAGGACACATAAAAATAACGGAGGATGACTTAAAGATGATAAAAATCGCGATCTACTTGTTGTTAAAGGAGTGTAAGAAGAAGCTTTAAGAACAGCTGTTGAACAAGAGAGCGGGATAAAAGCGGCGCCAAGACGATGGCGACCTCTAACCTTAACCGGACGACAATTAAATCTGACTCCAGCCCATAGCACAATATTAGATAAAGGTGTAATCACTTTGGTGACAACAATTCGGTTTGGATTAACATTGGATTGTCCAACAACGGATAGTGTTGTAGCAGCTGAAGGGTCAGGTTCAGCGATAACAACACCATAATTACATATTTCAATAATTTGATAAGCTGGCGATGGTGTTGATGAGAAGGAAGAGGAAGACGAAGAACTGGTTTGATTAGATGAAGTGGAAACAAATTTACGCTGAGCAATTGTGTAAAGGTCAATCAATTCACTTTGTATGGCTGTTATACCCTTATTGAGAATTGCTGATCGACCTGTTGCTCTAATTGCACCCAGATATTTAACTTTGACACTTGTTAACGATGATCCAAGGGAATCACTTGAAAGAGGTGAATTTTCACGCTGTTGTTTGTGATGATACTGGTGATGGTGAGAGCGGTAACGACTGCGTCCAGGAACACGTTGATTACATCGGTGCTGTTGAGATTTGGGTTGTTGTTGATGATGAGGGTAACAACTATCGACACTTTCCTTTGACCGATATCCTAATAATAGATCCTCAGGTTCACCATTCACTTCATCGACCACTGGTGAAAGAGGCAGCTTATTTGAAAAGGACAAAACTGATGTTGATAACATAGTTTAGTAAAAACAATAAAGAAAAAAACCACAAAATCAATTAATCTTTCAATTTAACATAACTGATAAACATATTTAGGTTGATTGGGTATTCAATGAGTTAACAATTCCAATCTTTGATAAACATTTTTAATCCAGAGCTGAGGGTAAACCTGTTGACATAATCACTAATCGAGGTCGCCATCTTATCACAATAAAGAGATTGGATCTAATCAGATATCAGTCAATATCGATATTGATACAATGAGGGATATAAATTATGATCGGTGAAAAGGTTAACACTTAATGGTAAATCCAAGTGAAAGTAATGAAAGCTTTCTCCAATAGAACTGAAGAACTGAAGACGACGAAGATGAGGAAGGTGGACGAAGAGAAGGAGAGAGAATGATGATTAAGATGATGATAGAGAAAGAAAGAGAAACTGAAAGCAGCTGTCAAAAGAAACCAGTTTTAATTTAAATGGCCTTAAACGAAATGAAATGATCATTGAAACTATTAAATCTGACGTTTTTTTCAGCGTAAATGTTGTTTACAACGGGCTTCATTGAAATGTAAACGCTACAATAATGATAATAATAATAGTCATAATAAATAAGATGATGATCAAGATGATGATAATAAATGGCCTAATGATGATAATGATGACCAGGATCAACCTAGACCAGTTATGTTTTGAATGTTCAATTTCTTGGAAGAGAGAGAAAAAAATTGTTGTGTGAAAAATTGATAAATCATTTTTCATTGATTTTACTGTTTTCTTTCCTTTCTTGGAATTGATGTGTTTCTATCTGAGAAATAACATGATGATTGCGATGATGATTGAATAATAATATTTATAAGAAGATGAAAAAGTTCGTGTGAAAGTATAATTTTTTGTTTCTTGCTTCATCTTCAACTGGCAATTGGCTTCCTCTTGGCCTAATTTGAACCATGTTAACCCAGTAACAATTTCAAGACTTTCATCTTTACTTTCTCCTTCAACATCATCTTCTTCTTTGTTTTTAACTCTTTCCACCATCAAATCTCATCATGTGGAACGCCCTGGTCATCATTCAAACTGAACTTCAACAATAACAAAAAACAACAGTAAGATTAACATTTGCTGGTAATAATGATTCGTTTTGAACAATCAACTTTCCTTTTCTTACCTTTTTCTCTTCTTCTTCCTCTTGTTCCTCTTCATCTTCGCCATCTTCCAAGGTAACTTGAATCTGTTTATAACTTTTCTCTAGGTCATCATTTGTTTCAACAATGAATAAAGAATTAATCAAACAACAATGAGCTACTTTATTCAGCTCACATTTTCATAGTTTTTTTTTTCACTAGAAGTACAACAAAAAATTGAACTTCCAACATTCATTTATTGGAGTAAATTAAAAGCAAATAACATACCATTTTTGTTTCCTACTTGGCGTTCAGATGATTATAATTCAATAAGTTCAACGAATATTCAATGATGTCAAAAAACTACTCTGATTAGGCTAATTTAATAAAAACAATTGTATCGTTTGATTTTATTTACAACGTCTGATTGGGTCTTTGGAGGCAGCTCCATCTTTAATCAAATGGCAAGACTTTTTTTTGCATAACAGACATTTTTCGAGATTTTCAACAGCAGCTTTTGTTATTTGTTTTGTTTTAAACACTTTTCCTTTGACATGATTGTTTAACAGTCAAGTTTAATTTTAATTAGTCAATATAACCTTGTCTTTGAGTGATAATTTAGTGCTGTTAATGTTGTCGAGTGGATTTCTCATACATTTATGGTTTTCCCGAGTCAAGAGTTACTGGCTATTTTGTGTTTAATGTTGACACTTGTCTGCTGCATAAATGTGCTTCAATAATTGATTCAAAATGTTTCTACTTCATTTTTCTTCAAGTGATTTATCATTAATGCATTTGATCAAGTATATTAATGGTCGCTCAAAATTATCAGCTATTTGTGTGTTACACCTTGAATTGGTTGAACACTTAACTTACCAGTGAAAAACGTTTTACAAACGCTATTCAAGTTTGAATGAACCTTAATGAAAGAGTCATAATCAATCATAAACCAAATATACAAACAAACAAAAAATCAATCAATGTTAATGGCTGTTATTAACTCTTACCTGGCAATGATTAGATTATTTTGCATTGACCAGAACAATTACCTCAAACAAGTCAAATTATGTTGGAAAAAAACAAAGGACAAAAAAGTGAATTGACCATTGCTCTTTATTAAACGTATTACTATTAATGGATTGTATTGTTAATAATGCATGTAAATTGTTGAAAGGGTAAACCCTTTTTAACTAATTTGTTGTACCTTTGTTGTACTAACTGTTTACTAATTAACCGCACAAGTTAAGGTCAGTTGGTGATGTTAATGAAAGGTAAGTTGATATCTATTGTACAATGAAGCTATTTCATTTGTTTTGTAATCTGACATTTATACAAACACATTTTTTCTAATTATTTCAGGTTTTAACTGACCATCAACTCAAGCTTAATTAGTTGGAAAACAATTGAGGATTCTTACACGTTCAACAATTTAATGGCATAACACAAATGCCATGACAGTAACAAGATCAAAGCCAAGAAGTGTCAAACTCTGGTCAGTAAAAATTTAGAAGGAAATCGGAGGAAGTATCATTTTTGGCGATTTATCTTAAAATGGCCATGGATTTCTCATCTTGGAAGGAACAGCAAACAATCGGAAATTTTCTTGACCAAATACCGTGAATTTGATTGCTTTATCATATTTGGCTGACGAAATACAAGACTCTAAGTGATTGGCCGAGACTTGAACAGCCAGTATAAACAGCTTGCTATTAAACAGTCAACGATGATACAAATTGACTGGTATCAATGATATCTTTAAAATATTATATTTCATGTTATTACATGTTACACGATTATTAACCTCAATATCATTGATTGTAAACCTTCAATGTTTAACAATCTCAGGGTTTTACATGATTGAAAGTGAAGCCTAAAGTGGTTCAACATTTTAAGGTGAAAGTTGAATAGATAAAGATACAAAAAGATATTACATAAAAAAACAATGAAATATTAATAATAATGGTAATAAAGTAACTCCAATTATCTAATTAACTTTATAAGTCGTTAATCTTGTTTCAAGCTTTCCTGGTTTTAACTGTTAATCAGAAACAAAAATCAGGGTTTGTCAAATCACGTTTACCTTTGACCGGAATATGAGCAAAAATTAATAAATTGACTTTCAATTTTTAACTCTTTAACATATTATCTATAACGGTCATTGATTACAAACTGTGATTAATGTAGGAAATGAAATCTGAATAATTTAACAGTCAAATTTCAATTAGATTTACCAATTTCATCTTGAAGCTCATCTTGCAGCTTAGCCTGAAACTGATCATATTTAGGTTGCTAATACAATGGTAATAATAGTGGTCAACAATTCATTAAACTTGAGATTCAATTACGATTCAATTAATAGACTTGATTGTCTGATGGATGTGTTATAAAATACAGTATTTACCTTCAATTGTTAACAAATTGGAGTCTAACGTGTTTACCAGTGAAGGCCTTCCTTTCAATACATTTTTGTCTCTCTCTCCTTGTGATGAACCTTTAATTGTGATTTTTCTTGTGTGTTGGTTAATTAAAGAGGGAGAATCAAGTAAATTATGTATTATCATTATTGTTATCATTATAATGATCATGTCGTGATTACTGTTGTTGTTGTACTGGTCAGTAGAAGCTATCAGGTTAAGCCAAACCTAAAAATTGAGGAAACAAAAAAGGTAAATGATAAACTTGAAATGAATTGTATTATATTTTATAATGTAAAGTATTACATGATTTTTGTCTTTTAATTTTCATTAACTATTCAATCATTAATTGTTCAACTAAATAATTAATCCATAAAATAAATAATTTATACAAAGATTGAGTTCGGAATATTTGATTGTCTTCAGTCAACATCAAGAAACAAACAACTAGTTTCAAGTGTTTGCATAATTACCAATCATTTCATTCATCATAACCATCATTCTCATCATATTTGTCCCTTCATTAACCTGCCATTTTCAGTGAAAAAGCATACTTAATCATTTCTTGTTCAACCATTATGAATGATTACCATTAAGATTTACAGATTAACTTTCATTATTTAGTTTACATCTATTAACATTATGAGTTTGTAGCAATTTACTTGAATATTATAATAAATGATTTATTATTATGATCATCACTTGATTTCATTTTCAATCTAATTTGGTTTCCCTTTCAAAGTGTTTCATGTTGCATTTTAACCCAAAAATCACAAATCTTGGTCAATTTATGATTTAATCGTAGTTTGATTTTTGATTGAGACCAAATTGTTAAACATTATGACATGAATTCATGTAGATTGACTTTACTTGAAACTCATAAATGATCAAAATTGCCGTGGTCCTGACAACAGTTATTGAATTGTATTTGATAAATGTCATGTTTAACAAAAACATATGTTAATCTCCTTCAACTTAGAAACTAGATTAACGTAATTCTTTGAAAATTCTGGGTTAATCTGGATCGAATAAATTGCTGCATTACATTTAAGGTCATTTAATGATATGTGCGTCTGTTGTTTCTGTATAATTTCATTATTAACTCTCTTTTAATAAACATTATTGTTGTCATTATCATCATCTTTCATCTTTCCAGTTGCTATTACTTGTATATTTTAGTAATGATTATATCGACAATTATTTTGTTGATTGTGGTGAATTAAACGAAACACTTTTTTTCCTTCTCACTCTAATTTAATCACTTGTTTTCCCTAAAGAATCAAACTTGCTTTCCAGTAGAATTGTAATATTTCATGTAATTCAATTATGAGAAAGTGAATAGCTATGAGAAAAGGTTATTTCATTTGTTTGACAAATCTTCTAATCAATCACAATAAATCATTTTAATAATCGCTACATAATTTACTTTATTTCATGAATGAACGGCAAATAATTTCTATAATTTCTTTATTGTTACTTTCAATCAGAAGCTTTTATTTCTATCATCGTGTTAGTTGAAATTGAAAAAATCATGTAAGTTTACAAAGTTTAAAAGTTTAGATACATTATTTAATAGCGTTGAGACAAGATGGACAGACAACATGATAGTAAAGAGATGGTCAAGGAATGGAATCGAAAGCCAAGTATTTAGGTTCATTGGAAAATTCGGTTCTTTTATGGAAGCAGTGTAAAACCATTTGAAATCTGAAGTGAGATTATTGAAGAGATAAGAATGAGCACAATTAAACAGTTGTAGAAAAAATTTAATTTAAGCTGAAAATATTGTTAAAAGTAAAGACAAGACTAAAACAATTAGTTTGATTTGGGGCAATATAGTTGTAACAGATTTTTTTACTGTTCAGAAATCCATTGCCAGCACTTGAGAGTTTAACTTAAATTCCGACTAAAGGTTTCTTTAATTTGCCTTTCGCTTGATTGACTTGCGAGATGATCCTTCCATCAATTCATCATCATCTGTGATAGGTCGACGAAGATTTTCAAGCCGTGTGTACAAATCTTCAAGTTTGTCATCAGTAACTTTGGGTGAGCGGTCTGGAACTTTAGGTACTTCAATATCTTCATCTTCTGCCATGAATGCTTTCAATTCAGCTTCCAATTCGTCATCATCAATAATGGTTGTCGCCATGCTTCGACCCAAGTCACTGAGAACATCATTTTGATTTTCGAAAACATCTTCAATGCTGGAAATGGTATCATTAATTTCTTCGTGTTTAAGCTGCGCTGATTTTAAAACATCAGCAACCTCTCTGTAAGCATGAACAACAGCTTTGTTTGATTGAACATCAACCAATTTCTCCGAAAGACAATGAATATTATCAAGCTGAGCTTCTTTCTTGCTCAAAACGTCCTCCAACCTCTTTTTCTTTCTTAATAATGCCTTGGCTTTTATTCTGTTGGAAGATTTTACGGCAGCCTTCGCCTCTTCGAGAGCTTTCTCGATTTCAATTTCAACCTTGATTATATCATCTTCGATTAGATCACGAGCTGATTCAAGCCTTCTCAAGCTTATATCCATATCACTGAACTGAATGTTATCACCAAATTTGATATATTTAGTTCCTTTGTCTTCCATAGTAACAGCTTGCTTGTTAGCGATTAAATATAACAACAAAACATCCAACTGATCGGGTTCTATTTCAAAATTGGTCAAAATCAGTCGTTCGAATTCTTCATATTTGAGACATTTGTCAATATATTGATGCTCCGTGAGTAGTGTCATCAGTTCCTTGGCTCCAGAAGTTACTGCATCAACGTTCACCAATGCTAAGCTATTAGTAATATCTGGATCGATTATTTCACATTCTTCTTGTTCATCTCCTTGATTATTAAACCATGATAAACCAAATTTCAGAGGTTTGCTTAAAGATCCCAATCCCCAGGATAGCCAGCTTGAATTGGAACCATTATCAGCACAAACATTATTAATAAAATAATCTCGAGACACAAGATTATTACGACGTTTCAGTTCAGATGCCACAAGTCTTAAGCACTCTAAATCAGGTATCAAGTTATCACGTTTGAAAGCCTTGCTGATTTCAACCAAATTAAACTGGTACCTTTTCTCCTTCACACTCCATTCATTGATTGCTCCAATCCAATAATTAAGTTTGGAGTCAAAACCTTCAGGATTACTTGCTCGATTACGAAATTTGCTGTATAAATGTCGGATTCGGGTTAAGCTTAACGGAGGTGATCCTTTATCCGTATTAGGCATGACTACAGATGATTAGCAAAGCACAATTTAAAATTAATTGAAAATAGTAGAAAGAATCAAAAGAAATTAACAACAAAATAACAAAGATTTGAAATGCAGCAGAATATTTAAAATAGCCAATCACATTGCATCATCTGTCGTCAGCTGTTTCCTAACCCAAAATAATCCATCTACAATGTAGTTTCTACATTTACCCGCTCTTTTCAGTTTTGCCTTCTTTACAAAATTGCGTAAAAATAACATAAGAAATTAATTCCCATCTAATATCAATTTAATGAGATGATTGCTAGACAGTTTTTTTAAATTAATAAATTTTAAATAATATCTTTTTTAATCAAATATCATGCTTTAAGTTGATGATGTTTATTTCAATCATAATTTTGTTGCCTTGATATTGAAAATTCCTTCCATTCATTTGTTCAAAATTTACACTATTTTTCCTCATTTATTTTGTTGAAAGCTTTATGTTATGATGATAGCTAAAAATTACTAATGATTCCATTGCAATTGAGTGATCTGATTTATTTGAGTGTTGCAAGTTTCAATAAAAATAATTGATTTTGATGACAAGTTTTCAATTTTTTTGTGGTTTTAAAATGGTTCACTAGATGGAAGCTCAAACAAATACCGTATTTTCACTTATTGGTTACTCTTACAATTGTATTATAAATTATAATACATGGTGAAGCAGTTTCAAGTTTTTCGTTGTTGCCAAGTAATCGATCGGTAATCCTGGGTTAGGGTCTTTGTAATTTATCGGCACAAGTTTGCAGTGAAGCATTAGAAAGAGAATCTGTCTGGCTAATTTGTTTTTTTCGCCTGGTTACATCCATAATATATATTATGAATGTTCAAATCGACAGTTAAGACCAGAGCGTTGACTGGATTATGGGACTTGCCTCGAAGGTCCTGGCCACCATGTAGCAATTTGCTAATAGTTGCTCCAAGAGCATTGATGAATTTCATTTTTTCATAGGCATTCGAGCAGACTTGGTGACATGTAATGACAGCAATTCTCTGATTTTTCCATACAAAAATATTGGCCAAAATATCATCTCTGAGAATATCGAATTTGATCAGAGGTTCTGGTTTATTAACTGTTTTCTTTGTTATGGCCACAACAAGCTCTCTTGAACAATCGTAATTCCATACATCTCTGCATCCTTGTCTCTGATCTGGTCCTGGAGCATTAGCTCGAGCGGCAAGACCTTGAGAAAACCGGCTCTGGACTCGATTTGATGTTTCCTGAAAGGAGCATATGCAGTGGTATCTAGAACCAAACTTTTTTTTTGACAAAGTCTAAACTTTCGTTGGATAATTCTTCTCTATGTAAGTTTAAAGATGATATAAAAAACATTTATTCATATCAATACTTTGAGACATTTTAGCCTCAAAAAACTTTTTAATAACAGGAAAAGGGTACAATGGAAAGCGCTAAAAAGCGAAATGGAATATTATATAAAAAAGGCGGCTTATTCAAATCATACGTATAGACAGTCACATTTCGGTTTACCATATTTTTTAACACAATTGCGGAGGATCAGATGCATTTCCTTTCTGTGTTTGTCAATATAAGGTCGGTTGTCTCGGTGAGTCCTAAACCATCCATTCACTCGTTTTAAAACCTGAAAATAAAGAAAAATCAGTTAAAATTTCAAATATTAATGATAAATAAAATAGCCAATTACCTTGGTGTATGGATGGTTAGCGCAGGGACACACTCCAATAGAGTGTTTCCCTCCAGGCTTGTAGGGGGTGAAAGAGGATCTCCCTGGAGCCTTTGGCATCTTGTTTATGAGCAGATTACACTGAAAATTACTATAAATTGATGAACACTTAATTAACTTTGTTTTCAGATTTGTACACAAATAACGGATTCTCTACTCTTTGGTCTTGATGAGATACTTTTCGCAACGCCTTCTATTGTAAAATTTTAGATCTATGCAGACTATTGTACTTACGGATGTTAAGTTCATGCAAGAGGCCGGGTTACAGAGATGGGCATAAAGATGTTGACTTAATGTTAGCTTAATGGTCAGCATTGGCGATAAGCCATGATTAACCATGATTAGCCATGTTGTTTATATCAGATTAATTCTTGGATTATTTGATCCAAATTACCACACTTAGCTAGTCAAATGGTTTTTTAGCGAAATTAAGTTGCAATTCAATGTACTGTAAATGATTACAGTGAGTGTGACCTTTATGTGAAGTTGATAGTAAAACTAAAATAAATTCATCATCAATTCTTAGCTCACTGTACGTGTGCGGTAAGAGCACGTACAATACTCATGGCTCATGAGCTATTGTTTTTGGTCAAATTGAGCTTTTACTCTCCGGCTAATAGAGAAAAGGTTTAGCAATAACAACGGATCTCGGAAAGTAAATCACAAAATTTAAAATTTTCATAAAAAATTCTCTATTAATAGATTTCTGAGTTTCTGATCTTGGCCTTGAAAAAGAGGCTTGAGACATTATAAACGTGGCTATGGTAATAGTACAGCTATGTAAATGCTATTGATTTAAAAACAATTGGAGTGATAACGAGTACACTATTTGTATAACCAATTATTATAAACGACTGAAGTGAAAAAATGATTAAAATGTTGGGTTTACTTTTGATGAGCTTACATTTGAAGTTTACTTTTTTCAATCAAATGATCCAACATTTTAGCTTAAAATGATCTGTTTATTTTATATCACTTTTTACATTTCAATTGTTCATAAATGTTGTGGAGTGACCGTTGAGAAAGCTGGTCCAGCACCGATTGAATCAACTAATCCAACTCTTGCTGAAGAACAAGCATTTCTGAAGTTGGTTGGTAATGGAGATCCAGATGAAGCGGCAAGTTGTGGACAACTCATTGAATCTCGAGGATTTCAATATGAGCGTTATTATGTGACAACAAAAGATGGTTATATCCTTCAAAATTTCCGGATCATCAATCGTTATGCGAGAGAAGCTCGAAAAACTCTTAAACCTGTCTTACTAGTGCATCCATTATTCACGTCATGTGCATCCTGGTTGTTCAATTCACCCGGTGGACACATAAAGCCGTGGATAGGCTGTAATCCACCAAATGACACTTCAGCTGCACTTGGATTCCTTTTGGCCAACTTGGGTTATGACGTTTGGATTATTAATGTTCGAGGAACATCTTATTCAACTAATCATACACATCTTGATCCTGAAGGTAACAGTTTTTATTTATAAAATTGATTCAATAATAATACGCTTTCTTTTCAGATCCTGAGTTTTGGGATTACAGTTTCTACGAAATTGGAATTTACGATGTTACAGCAACAGTTGAACATATTAAAAATGAAACTGGATTCGGTAAGTTTATCACAAAATTCAAAAACACAAAAAAATTCAATGCATATTGACTGTCATGAAAACGAAAACCCTAGTTTCTCATGAAAAGTCCATTTTGTAAATTTTGTAAATCTAGTGAACTTTAAAAAGGAGACTGAAAGTTATTTGCTAATCAAAAATATATGATTTTTCATTGCAGAAAAGATAATTGTTATTGCTTTTTCACAAGGAACACTCCAAATGATTACTCAAATGTCTCTGATGCCATGGTTTCAAGATAATTACGATATCGTCATCCTGGCTACACCGGGTGGGTTTGTTGGTGAATATGGTTTTTTTGCTTCAATACCGAATAAGCCTGCACAAGAACTGTTTAGTTTGAGCAATGGGCCCTTCCCAAGCGATTCAGCTTCATTCTTGAGTTCACTTTCTGTATTATGTGCTCAACAATTAACAAATCCCATCTGCGTAACACTTGTTGGAACTTTAGGTATTGATCGAAAACAACTCAACGCATCGAGACTTAATGTTTATGTAAGTCTTCTTGACCGAACCTCGAATAAAAATCTACTCCACATCTTCCAATCCGTTGAAAGAGATCACTTGAGTTTCTTTGATAATGGTGAAGTTAAGAATTACGCTTTATACGGCTCGGCTGAGCCTCCAGAGTTTCCTTATTACAATATTAATCCAAATAAATTGATATTCATGAGTGGCTTGAATGACCAGGTTATAGATCAACGAAATGTCCAAAAATTTAGAAATTCACTCTGTGGTAAGAATCAAAATATTTAATCAATTCATCAGCTTACAACCATAAATAATGAAACCTTTTTTCATCTCCAGACCGAGTTGACACTGATCATATAATTCAAGATCCTTATTGGAATCATGGTGATTATATAATAGCACTCCAAGCATATGAATACTTCGGTAGCGTTGTGGTTGATCTAATCAGGGAACGTGGCGACTTGACTGAATGTAAGCTAAAACTATCTGGAAATTAGTTTCTTTCAAAGTGTCTTAAAGATGTATAACATGGTTTCATAATGGTAAATCTATTGCAATTGTGATTTAATAGAAATATTGTCAATTTCAATATCCAATTAGCTTATTTCTATGTATATGAAATATATCATTTAATAAAAAATATTCAACAAAATAATTTTTATGATTATTTAGGTGCTGCATGAAAATAACCGAAGTGAAAGCCTTTATAATACATGTATATGAGCATAAGAAATACAACAAAACGGTTCGTTTTATCGCAAAACTGAGTCTAAGTTCAATTTTTCCTAAAGATTCTTCTAATAAATATTTTGATTATTTTGAATGTGTTTATTAAAAACCTAAAATCTATAAACATGATGTTTCAATTTTATCAGGCAACTGCTGAAAACTGCAATTGCTTAAAAATACATTTGTATTTGCCAATGAACCGAATGCTTCCAACCCTGTATCGATAATTCGATCTTGAACTTGAATCTGACTTACATAATGAAAGAGAAATTACAATTGACGTTAAATAATCGTCATTCTAATGCATCCGTCATGTGTCCATTTTTTATATTGCTGTTTGTTTGATTGGGTGTTGATTTATATTAATCGAACAGTTTAAAGTTGAAATTTCTTACACTAGGAAAAATTAATTTTACTGACGCTTCCATTAACTTTCACAATAAAACATGTAATGGTGAATACAATTGTAATTTGGTTAACATGAAAAGTTTTTAAAACACAATTTCTGTCATAACCAATTCTCGCTACTTTTTTCGCCTTTAATCAAGTAACCAGTTACCAGTAACTACATCTCTGTTTGATTGTATCTGTTAGGATTTGCTATTTGTATCGAGTATTTCCATCGAGATGTTGGTTTTCTGGATCCTATAAGCTGAAAGTGAATAACATGAAACTGACATAATGCAATATGTTTGTTTTGTATTAGCATTCAACCCAACTTGTAATTAATGGACTCAATTGGAAGATCAAGCGAGGAGGAATCACCATTAATTTATGGGTTAGAGCATCAAGCTCGAGCTCTGTGTTCTCAAACAATCTCAACTATTGGTGCTGATGTTACGTTCGTCAGATTTCTGGTTGGAACTCAATCACTTCAAACTTCAAATCAAGTTCATCTGCTTGAATATTCTGAAGAAACAAACAATCTTTCTAAAGCTTTTTTCAAACATGATGGCGGTGAAATATGGTCTATCAATTGTTGTCCAAAGAATCCTAGATTAATAACAACATGTTATTCCCCTACCTCTTCTTCAAGAACTCGTGACTGTTTGTGTTCATTATACGAATTGCCTAGTGATATAGTTGACAGTCTAGCTGACAAAGATTACAGTACACCACCATCATTGAATAAATTGTGTGACTTCAAATCAAGTAAGTTTAATCTTTTAATGACAACTTCAAAATACAACTCGACTATTTCATATTTTTAACTTTATCATCTTTCCATTTACTTTAGATTCAAATGTTGGCCGAACCTCGATCTGGCAGCCTGAAGATGGCAACCAATTGATGACGTTTGAAGATAGGAAAATAATATTATGGGATATTGAAACCAAACAATCAACTTGGTCCACTGCAATAGATCCAACATCATCTACAACAAAAGCATCCAATAAGTTAACCAAAATCACGACAATAAGATGGAGTCCTCATTCCAATTGTTCAATTATAGCAGCGGCTTTGGGAAACAATGTTTATGCTCGTGACATTCGGTGTAAATCGTCTTCATTTGCTTTTTATTTAAATGCTCATAGTCAACAAGTCCGTGATGTAGATTTCAATCCAAATGCCCAATACTATATGGCGACATGTGGTGATGATTGTGAATATAAATTTTGGGATGTTCGTAATCCTACTACACCAGCAATTACCATGTTAAATCATTCACATTGGGTTTGGTCGATTAGATATAATCAATTCCATGATCAATTAGTTTTGACCTGTAGTAGTGATTCTCGCGTTAATTTAACTCGCATAAACAGTTTAGCTTCACAACCTTTTGGACAACTGGTTGATCCTGATGAAAGTGATCTAAGTGAAGTTGGTGATCAAAGTGTTATTTCTAATAATACAACTTCAAATACTGGTCAAAATAAATTAGAAGATGAACTTATATGTTCATTTGAAGAGCATGAAGATAGTGTTTATGCCGCTGAATGGTCTGCTTCCGATCCATGGATATTTGCTTCACTTAGTTACGATGGTAGATTGGTGATCAACAAAGTACCCAAGAAGGAAAAATTTAGTTTACTTTTCTAAGTTATAAACATAAATCACAAATAATTATAAATTATTTTTTGATTAAACATCAAGTATTGATGATTCGGAATGTGATAAAATACTTGAATACTTTAAATACTATAAATGAAAAGTTAATTAGTGCAAGTAGCCATTTATCTGATCTTTTTTATTCGGTATGATCAATTGCAGAGAGACATTGAGAGTCAGCTAAGCCGACGCCATTATTTTATACATTTGCTGAAAACTATTTGTAAAGTTTATTAAAAAAACTCACCAATTCTCAGCGAACTGTTTCCTCGTTTATAATATCATGGCGCTGAAAAATGTGCTCGCTCAATTTAAGAGTACTGCCCAGTCATGGACTATTGTTTATGATCAACTTGAGCCTTTTCTCGACCGGTTAATAGAGAAAAGGTTTAGCAATATTAACAGATCTCTGAAAGTGAATCCCTCATTTTCAAATTTTCATAAAAATTCTCTCTTAATCGATTTCGATTTTTACAACTTTTTTAGCTCTGAGTTTCTGAGCTCGGTTTTCCTGTCGTGAATACAATCATTCTCGTTTGTTTAGAACCAACTTTCATGTGAACAAAACCAGAATTCAAAAGAGTAAAACCGGCTCACTGTAAAGTCACAGAGTTTTCATAACAACAAAACCGCGTTCAAATGACCAAAACTCATTTTCATAAGACAAAAATGCTCGAGTTAAAGAAGCATCTTTATTCAGCTTGTAAGAAGCTTGAGTCATTATACACGTGAATATGGTAATTGTACATTTGTTCAAATATTCATGGATTTAGTAGCAATGCATTAATATCGTAGCAAGTTCACTATTTGTATAACAATTACTAAGAGGTGACTGAAAGAACAAATGATTAAGTTGTTGCTTTTACTCTGAATTGAGCTTGATTTGAAGTTTTGCTTTTTTCAATGAAAATTTATTATTTTGCAGTTTGAAATGATTTATTTATTTTATATCGCTTTTTACATTTCAATTGTTCATAAATGCTGTGGAGTGACCGTTGAGAAAGCTGGTCCAGCACCGATTGAATCAACTAATCCAACACTTGCTGAAGAACAAGCATTTCTTCAGTTGTTTGGTAATGGAGATCCAGATGAAGCAGCAAGTTGTGGACAACTCATCGAATCTCGAGGATTTCAATATGAGCGTTATTATGTGACAACAAAAGATGGTTATATCCTTCAAAATTTCCGAATCATCAATCGTTATGCGAGAGAAGCTCGAAAAACTCTTAAGCCTGTCTTATTATTGCATCCATTATTCACGTCATGTGCAGCCTGGTTGTTCAATTCACCCGGTGGACACATAAAGCCGTGGATAGGCTGTAATCCACCAAATGACACTTCAGCTGCGCTTGGATTCCTTTTGGCCAACTTGGGCTATGACGTTTGGATTATTAATGTTCGAGGAACATCTTATTCAACTAATCACACACATCTTGATCCTGAAGGTAACAATTTTTGTGTATAAAATTGATTCAATAATAAGTTTTCTTTTCAGATCCTGAGTTTTGGGATTACAGTTTCTACGAAATTGGAATTTACGATGTTACAGCGACAGTTGAACACATTAAAAATGAAACTGGATTCGGTAAGTTTATCACAAAATTCAAAATCACAAAAAAATTCAATGCATATTGACTGTCATGAAAACGAAAACCCTAGTTTCTAATGAAAAGTCCATTTTGTTAATTTTGTAAATCTAGTGAACTAAACAATTTAAAAAGGAGACTGTAAATGATTTGCTAAACAAAAATATATGATTTTTCATTGCAGAAAAGATAATTGTTATTGGTTTTTCACAAGGAACATTTCAAATGATTACTCAAATGTCTCTGATGCCATGGTTTCAAGATAATTATGATATCGTCATCCTGGTTACACCGGGTGGGTTTTTAGGTGATTTTGGTGCATTCGCTTCAGTACCGAACAAGCCGATTCAAGAAATGTTGAGTTTGAGCAATGGACCCTTTCCAAGCGATTCAGCTTTTGTTTTTGGTTCACTTGCTGTATTATGTGCTCAACAATTAACAAATCCCATCTGCATAAATTTTTTTGAAGAAGCTTTTGGCTTCAATCGAAAGCAGCTAAACGCATCCAGAACTAATGTTTATGCAAGTCTAATTGATCGAACCTCAAAGAAAAATTTACTCCACATCTTCCAATCCGTTGAAAGAGATCACTTGAGTTTCTTTGATAATGGTGAAGTCAAAAACTACGCTTTATATGGCTCGGCTGAGCCTCCAGAGTTTCCTTTTTACAATATTAATCCAAATAAATTGATATTCATGAGTGGCTTGAATGACCAGGTTATAGATCAACGAAATGTCCAAAAATTTAGAAATTCCCTCTGTGGTAAGAATACAGGAAATTCAATTAATTCATTAGCCATAAATAATGAAACCTTTTTTTCATCTCCAGACCGAGTTGAAACTGATCATATAATTCAAGATCCTTATTGGAATCATGGTGATTATGCATTAGCACTCGAAGCATATGAATACTTCGGTAGCGTTGTGGTCGATCTAATCAGGGAACGTGACGACTTGACTGAATGTAAACTAAATCTATCCGGAAATTAGATTTGCTTCAAAGTGTCTTCAAAGATACATAACATGTATTGTGATTTCATAGGAATATTATCAATTTAAACATCCAATTATTTCTATATGAAGTATATCATTGAATTAAAAATATTGAACAAAATTACAGTAATCATCATAATTTATTTGAATAAAAACATCCGATCATTAATCAGTGATTTCGCTGAAACTGTTTAAAAAGATACGAATGAGAAACAAAAACATTGAATATCTGCAATTTGTAATCAAGTAACGAGAATAATATATCTCGATATTGATTAGTTTATATCAATAAATAATCATAAATCTTTGTACATTTCGTGTTAGATTTTACTGTAGATAGATTTAACTGTAGGTTGACAGTAAAGATTAACTTTGAATAGACTTTTTGATTGTGGAAATTAAGCGATTTTCGTTACCAGAGATCTTCAAATTTGTATTGTGGCTCCTTAGAGCTACTGAAAAATTGTGAGTACCAGCGTCGGAACATGGCTATTTGTTTCTCTTCCTTCACTAATTTTGGGTTATTCAGATAAATTTTGTTGCTCCATATTTGAATATCTCGTTCAAGCTAGAATGAAAAGAAAATTATAAATAAGAAATTATAGCTTGATAAGAGACTTTGATATTTCAACCTACCATGATTGCTTCAGCTCTTAATAAAAATTGAGCAACTATCGATGACATCCAATTTGGTTCCATGTATAAATGATGAATAATTTTCTGTTTGTTGATAGCCAGTGAGATCACACTTTGAACATAACAGCCTTCCAATCGGATGCCAAAAAGGTTGAAGCAAAAGAATAGATTAACAATTGCAGGTCCAATTTGCTCTAATCTGTCAAACTCCAGCTCAGCCAATTTAAAACCAAACAAAAAAGTCATTGATTTCAGACTGAGAATAGCTTTGTGACTATCGTTCGAAGCACCCTTCTGCCATGTACTTTCCCATCTGTGACTGATGGAATCGATGAGTATATTGTTATTTTCTTTTATTTTTCCTCCCCACATGAAAGAAGGAGCATGAACTTCATTTAAATGTGCAAAATCAGGTCCGTTTTCAGGTATCTCCTGCAAAAAATATGAGTTATTTAATTTTGTGATTGCGATGGAAGACATAAAGCACATTAACTATGCGTATTTACTTGAAGTAAACAATTGACTAAATGCTCGGTTCGTCCAAAGTATTTCCATTTTTTTGTTGTAATATGATCAATAATATTAGGAGTCCAAGTTGGGTCTTCACCTGAAAGTAGGTAGAAAAGTAAAGACCATATTGTTCAATACTATTTACTAATGAGTAACTATTTTGATGATTTACCTTCTGAATGATGCCAAACATAAATGAATCCATTCATTTCCAGGCATTTCCAAACTTTCACTTTTACTCCATTTGGTGGTTCTGATGAATAAATTATTGTCAGTTGATTCTATCAGAACAATTGTTCAATAAATTGACTTACTTTTGTCCTTAGCATAAGGAACTTCAAGGCATAATCCATCGTTTGCTCGGAACACCCAACCATGAAATGGACAACGAATACAATCAGTTTCACATTTTTTCACTATTTTACCTCCGACTGAGAAATCAGCTCCTAAATGTGGACAAAATGCATCCAAAGCATATGGTTTTCCAAGAGACGATCCAGATGACGATGATGATGATGAAGATCTTAATAAAATAATTCTGTGTCCACAGAAATCGAAACGTTTGATTTCATTGTCCTTTAGATATTGAGATTCACAAACACCAATCCAGCCGTTGGGAAAGCATCCAGGTTGATTCAAACGGTTAAGGTTAACATCAGTCCTACTAAAATCCTGAAATGAAATAAATGATTCAGTCAGATTGATTGTTGCATATTACTATTAGATGACACATTAACACACAAGACTATTCTCATGCTGAACTTGCTTTCATGTATTGATTTTCAACCAATTTGCACATTTCTTTGTTTGTCATAAGCAAAAAAAAGGCTTGAAGCAATTGCAAAAATTGTTTGATCAAAGTGACAATTACATTGAAATACTTACTCGAATAATATTAACAGGTCTATTAAGAATAATAATCACAACCAAAACAATGGTAAACACAATTAAATAAACAATTAGTTGGACACTTAGATTTTGATAAGCCAGCGAAAGAGAATCTACTGTGACATTGAGTAAACCGGCAAATCCCATTGATTGAGTTGTGTGGAACAGTAGAGATGAAAATAAGAAATTTATATTAAAAACAAGATCGAAACTTCAATAAGTCAAATGGTAACAATTAAATATAAGATACGCTCTAATTCAGCTGCAAATCACATTGAATATTTGCTTTAACAACCTCATAGGTCTTGAGTGGTTATCCGTACATCTTCAACCTCGGCATAACAAGGTTAAACTAGTTATGAAAAAAACCGGCTGTGTTTGCCTGTTTCAGCAATCTGTAATCAGCAATCGAGCTAAGAAAAAGATTAGAGTCAAAAAAAAGTGAAAAAGTAGCAAATTCAGCTGATGAGAGAAAAATGTGACTCAAAAGTTTAAGATAAAAGATGAGCTTAAGAATTTACTTTTGCGTTCTTTAAACCGAAGAAACCGGAAAATCAGGTAAATATTATTACAAAGTGTAGTAAGTACAGTTTACCTTAACCCTTCTTATCCTCTAGTTGCTACAAATATATTTTAAATTGGTTTCGAAAGAGGTTAGTAAACTGGTTCATCTTGCAAATGCTCAAACTTTATTTTCTGAGTATTTGCTAGATCATTTCATAATCAGCATAAAAATTGCGCTTTAAATCAAATTTTAGTGTTGTACACAATCCTACACAAAGAATATAAAAGGATGCAGTTTTTTAATGGGCGATGATCAAGTTATCATATGCAGCAATAATTTAATTGATTGCTTTGATTTTTCAGCTTGCATTTTTATTTTGTGAAATATGATATTTCAATCATATGTAAGTTCCGACCGTTCCCATATTAAATCATTCACATTGGTTTTGGTCAATTAGATATAACCGATTCCATGATCAATTAGTTTGGACCTGTAGTAGTGATTCTCGCGTTAATTTAACTCGCATAAACAGTTTAGCTTCACAACCTTTTGGTCAACTGGTTGACCCTGATGAAAGCGGTCTGAGTAGAGTTGATGATTCTAATAATACAGCTTTAAATGCTGGTCAAAAAAATTAGAAGATGAACTTATATGTTCATTTGAAGAGCATTAAGATAGTGTTTATGCCGCTAAATGGTCTGCTTCCGATCCGTGGATATTTGCTTCAATTTAGTTACGATGGTAGATTGGTGATCAACAAAGTACCCAAGAAGGAAAAATTTAGTTTACTTTTCTAAATATCAACGTATTACAAATAATCATAGACTAAATTATTTTCATAAATAGTTTACATAATCAGAATATTTAATTACTTTCCAAATGGAATCAAGTAAATCAATCTACAGAATCAATTTATAATAAAACTATTTTTGGGTTTAGTCAAATATGTAGATTAGTTCTAGGCATTCATTGCAATCAAAAACGGTTCACAGTCAGCAATTAATGACTAATTTCAATAGTTAAATATCACTAGTAATGTCTCTATCCATGGCTACCTTGGTGGTGATTCTGTTTTTTCACTACTATTTTGTTTACTGTCCATTATCAATAGCTCTTGGTCGATTCTTTCCTTCGCTCTTACAACCTGCAAGTAAATTAGACGATGGTTGAAAAAATTATTAGATTTAATAAAATAATCTGGAATAATATAATATTATTTTAAAACTATAAATTTCTATAATTTCATAACAGGCAGTCGACCTTTGAAATGTTGAGGTAAAACAATTTTTAGTATCATAGACATCAAAGATGCGGTTAAACCCCATATACGAGGTATTTGACGGCCATTGCATATATCGTCATGGTAAATTGGAGTGACCCAGCCACTTTTCCAATGAGTATAATTCCAATATTCAGCCTTGCAAGCTTTTTCTAATGGAATTAGAATTACCTTCTCAACTTCAGATGAGTTGAAATCAGTAAGATTTTGTCTGGAAAAATCATAGTCAAGATAACCCAATACGGGGTAAATAGATGAATTATGTTTTGGTCTAATAATGGGTTTTAAGACACCATAAGTTTTCAGGGAATTCCTATCAATACCGAGTTCCTCAATTGTTTCTCGTACAGCTGTTTCGATAACATCTCCACCATCCTTACGACTCTCCTTACCACCGGGAAAACTTACCTCCCACTTGTGTGTAACCAAATTACTGGATCTCAATGTTACCAAAATACTAGGTTTATGATCTTGATCTCTACAAAACGGCACGAAAACAGAAGCTCTTCTTAAATTAGAATCGCCGTCTTTTTTATTTCCTTGATTACTCCTTGATCTCAAGTTGGCACCGATTTTTTCAAGCCGCTGGAATGCCTCAGTCAAACTTGAATCGGAAATAGCTTTCTCAAACACAGTCAGTTCGTTTGAATTGTATGAATTTGTTGAGTATAAACGTTGTTGGGGTGATGAAGTAATACAGACCAAATTGCTTGACCTCTGAAGACTTGCCAAAGTATGAAACGACGGTGAACATGAAGATTTCAATATATTTCTCACCTTTGACTGGATGTAAAAGGAACCGCCTTTACTTCTATCATTAACTTCGAATAAATGTTTATACTTGGATTCGATATCCTCCTTATTTAACTGCTTCTCAATATTTAATATTTTAATCGCTTCCTGTAAATGATAAGATGACGAGTTAAAACAGACTTAAAAACAGACAGTTGAAATCATTAAAGAAACGTACTTCTAAACTAATTCCGTGTTTAAGATCCTGTGTTGCACTTTCTTTATTGGCTCCAGCAGAAGTGGCCCGTCTCTGAGCAGCCTGTTGGCTAGCTATGATAGATAATTTGAAATTATTTAGTTTTTTTTTAAAAATAATCACAATTGAATTTATTCTTACCTGCCATTTCTTGTTTAAGAGCCCGAGCAAATGCACGGCCTACAATTTGAGCACCTTCAATGACCATTTTATAGATAAATCTAGCCTATTGATAGACATAGTCATCCATATTGATTAATAAACCAATAAAACATCAATTAAGTTAAAAAGTTACTTACCATAATTAAATTATTAACTAATGTGCACTAGAAAAAAATAAGGTTACAGTATCACATGTTTTAAAATTTCATCATAAAGGGATCGTATTATAATAACAGTTTAAACAGACAACCATAAAAAAATAACAACTTAAGGAGGACGTCAGAAGTTGCCTATTTTCAGATCACTTTCAAACTAATTTTTCTTATGTATTTTTTTATGCTGAGTTTAATTATGTAAATTATTTTTTTGTCAGAGTTACCGTTCGAAAGATATATACGAAAAAATCAAAAGAATTTGAGGATAGAGGAACGTGAAGATTCATGAATAAGAGTTAGAATTATGTTATCTAGATTTGTTTTTCATATAATTCAGTGTTCTCGATCATATATTTGCAATAAAAAACTAGAAAAAATGGTGCAAAATACCCAAACAGTTTAAAAGTTAGATGAGTCGCATTTCGACATTTGTTTTAACCATGTTCCAGTTAGGGACGCACAACGATATTCACATTTTAGACATAATCAGTTATGCTGATTCCATATTTAAAATAAAAATGACAAAAAAATGGTGCAAAATAAGTCAAAGGTGAGAAAAACTATTTCGAGTTTGTTCGGGTCGATTTCTGTCCATGTTCCAGGTAGGGACGCACCATGATTTTCACATTTTAGATATAATCAGTTATGCTGATTCCATATTCAAAATAAAAATGACAAAAAAGTGGTGCAAAATGAGTTAAACATCCACAACAAAAATTCGAAACATCTCTACTA